CCCCCCCCCCATCATTATGCGTGGAACGGCCCCTTCTATAGAGCAAGTCGAACTGGCAATAGACGGAGACTTTGGTTATGGGTGCAGAGACCTCATTCAAGTAGCTCAATCCTCAAGACTTGAAGATCATGTTGGTAGCTCTAGACCCCAGGACAGTATGGGAGATGGTATCACTTCCTCCCAAATCCTCTCAGCCAGTGTCTAGAAGAGGACGTCATGATCAAAGCAGGCTAAGTCGAAAGTTCGTTCAAGGCAACCTCCTCGTCCAACAAATGTTCGTCGCTATGTTGATGGTAAACATTATGGGCTGGCCACGCACATGAGCAGGTGCTTCGATTCTCCGGCCCGGGGACGCCCGCCTATGCTACAATGAGCAATACTGCTTTCTATTTCAGAACGACATGGCATTCTCCAGCACTTGCCCCATTGTCCATGCTACAGCGACGTTGGCCAGTCAAGTGATGTCGGTCGATCATCTTGTATATCTTTCCTTCTGCTTTCCCTCATATTGTCGTTTCACGGGCAAAGATAGTCGGTTTCTTAGGCGCTGCTTGCAACCGGCGCATGATGTCTGGGGCGTCGGAACGACGCAGCAGCACATGCACTTACCGCTGCACGTGTACTCCCCACGGGCGTGCCGTTCCTGAACCAATCGCTCCTTGGCTCGGCTCATATGGAACTTGAGATGGCGTGCGCACTTGCTAGCTCCGGTCTACTAGACCAGGGCACCACAGACGCCCCCCTTCTCCTTGTCGTGATTGTCACAAGTTCCCGTGATAATGATAGGGCCGCCATTGATAGCGGTAGCGGTCGAAGCCGCGGAAGACTGAGCCATTGGAGCGCTAGGCGCCGGGTGAGTGCCTGCAGCAGTCGTAATGGAGTTGGTGGACTCGGCGGCCGTTGAGAAGTAGCAACACCGACGGAAGTTAAAGCCGTATTGACGTGAGGAATGACTGGGTCGATGAAGACTTGAGTGACACCTTCAACAGGAGCAATGGCTGAAGTGCTGGAGGCAAGTGCTCGTCACGATGACAGGATCGATAACGGACTCCGGACTTTCAAAGTTGTCGTCAGCGAGTAGCTGTCACGGTCAACAAGGAATGAGGATGTCACGAGAAGAATATATAGCCTTTGCTTTACGCAGGGATACTAGGGTATGACTGAGGAGAGAGTCGGAAAGTATAATCGAGTATCTAGTCCTCGGCTGCAATCTATATGCCTAAGCCAGTTTCTCCGAACTCCTTCCCTCTTTGCTTCTGGCATCCACCACCAGAACCCCAATTCCACGCCTTTCCCTGATACCTCGATCTACTTCCCTTCGATCCTCCAGTCCGCTGCGCCATCACATGACATGCCTCAAGCCGAAGAAGCAGCACCGCCGCCAGTAGGCGGGGCGCCATTGCCAACGAGAGCCAGCTTCTTGCGCAGACGATGAGCCCTGAGGCGCTGCCTACAGGCGGCGCAGCTGGTGTTGGGAGCAGCCACAGGGCCGCAGTACTTTCCTGAGCATGTGTACTGGCCATTTCTGAGACGTTGAGCCACCAAGCGTTCGGTTTCCCTGGACATGTGGAACTTCAAGTTCTTCCTGCAAGTGCGGGCTCCGGGCTGCTAAGCCAGAGCGCCACATGCGGTCGCCATAGTTTTGGTCTTGAAGGAGCAGGTGTCGGTAACAACGATGGGCGCACCAGACACTGGTGCGGGGCCAGGAGCCCTGGCATTGCCGGGGGTGAGGCTGAATGCCGGAGCAGGTTCGTAGTAGTAGGCAGTATTACCGATTGCAGAGTCGGTGGCAAGTGTCGGGTTGTCGACTAGCATAACTGGCGAGTTGGTGGTGGTGGTAGTACCGCTGGCCATGTTAACGGCAGGATCCGTCTCCTGACTGTAAAGCTCGAAGTCGAAAAAATCGAGCCAGTCGTCGTTTTCGATGGTGCCGCTGTTGGCGACGCCGCGCATGGTGCTCAAGTTCTGAGACATGTTGTCCGTACTTTTGATGCCGCTAAGCGATTGCTGATATCAGTGCAGATTGTCGTTTGATGTTGTCAATACACTCAAGTAGAGGTACTTGACTCCTGAAGGGCTGGTCGACAAATATGACCTGAGTTTGGGAGGTGGGGGTCAAGTGCCATGTCAGAATATTGGGTAGGAGAAATCATTGGAATAAATACCCACCCTTTCAGTATTTCCAATTACCCTAGCGGTAAGATGGTACAGACAATCCTATGGTCTAGCCTTTCGGAGAATCCAGAGTAGGTGAATTGCTGGGCCTTACTGGGCTCCTGTTATCCTCCTATTCAAACCCTATTGTGCTGTTATCCACCTGTCTCCTAGACTATCGGACGAAATCGTATAACTCAGGTTTTCCGGGGTGAGTACGCTGAAACCCATGATGTTGGCGTACAGCAACCCCGAGTCGTCGTTGTGGGTAGTAATGCTGTCGACGACGCCGCGCATGGTGTTAAAGTACAAGGTCATGTTGTCTTTAGCGGAAAGGCCGTTGATTGTTTCGTCAGCCATATGTGGCCATTGCAGCTTGACACCGCTGTTATTTCATCACGGTTCATACAAGGCCTCTTCATGATCATTTCATTGACTGTTTACGAAAAAAAAAAAAAAAAAAACAAAAAAAAAAAAAAAAAAAAAAAAAAAAAAAGCGGAATATCTTCGAGTTTCAATACTTGTGTTTTGTTTTCTGGAGTTTTGGTCCTGGAGGCTCCTAGTCCTTTTTTTCTTTTCGATGTTTCCTTGACCCTGCCTGACTTGTAGTACCACCGGAGGCAGTGCCTTTACCTATATGTACGCCCTATTTTTCCCCTTCTGCGACTTGCGATAGCTGGCGTAGTAGAGTCCCGCAGCTAGAGCCAGAAGTGTTCGCCACATGTTCATCTCCGGCGCGTCGGAGGTCCCTTGTGCTAAGTCTTCTTCTTTGGCTTCTTCTGAACCCTGCCAGAGAGAACACCGACACTCGCAGCGGTTCCCTTTGCCTTGGTGGGTGTATATTACGATATATGCTTGCTGTTACGCCACTGGCAACGATAGCCGTCACGAATTTGAAAGAACAATAAAGTGGTTGGCAGAAAGGATGGGATTCGATGCCAGGGTGTATGTAGAGGTAGGGATGTCTATTTACGTGGAGAGAACCGGCGATACCACAAAAAGCTTCGAGGTAAGCCTTAATCGATACTCCGATCATGGACAACTCGTACTGCTATCCTTGCCCTTACCAACATCTCCATATTCAGTATGTCGTCACCGAACGTCCCTAATTCCTCTTAACGTGGCGTTGCTGCTTCCATCCTCGTAGTTGTTAACAACTCCCACCATTCCTGGACCTCCGGTAAATCAGAGAACGCTGCTTGCAGGCAGCACAGACAGTGTTCGGTTGATCCACGACCCGACAGTAATTGCCTGAGCAGGTCCACTGGCCCCGCATGAGGCGATGGTTGACGAGGACGCGCTTTGCTTGGCTCATATGGCGTTTAAGGTGGTTGAAGCAACAGTGTGCGCCGGGCTGCTAGGCCGGCTGACCACAGGGAATACCGTTGCCTAAAACCTTTTTGAAAACGGAAATATCAAAGTCGAGGATGAATGGATCGGCAACTGGAACTGCACCTTCTTCCGGAATGGGATCGGCACCTTCTTGAGCTGGTAAGTCCATAAACGGACTGGCGGCCTGAGCTGGGATATCATTGAAGACTGGACCAATGGTTTGAGTGGTATTGGCGGACGGAATGAAATTGCCGGCCTGAGCTTCGATGGGATTCAAAAATGAACCGGTACCCTGGTGGATGATGCTGCCGATGACCTGGCCAGAAGCTGGAGACGCAGCCGCCATGATGTGATGAGATGTGGTCTCGATTGCGTTACCGTGGTTGATGATAGAGGCATCAATAGGGTGACTGGCACTGGCACCTTCGCCCTCGTCGCCGCTCGTAGTTGAAAGGTGTGGCGCCATTTTGATCTTGTTGATATTATTTTCGATGGACTTTGTTTCTCCCGAGCTGCTCGAGGTGACTTTTTGGGTGTGTCACGAAGATACCTCTACGGACTTGAGGTAGAGTCGTAGACGAAGGAAAGGTCAACAGCAACGTCTGTACAGTTCAATTTATACCTCTAGAGGTAGGCAATCCATAGGTGGGTTTGTAATACATTCGAGGCTCAAGAACAGTGAATGCAACTGGGACATTTGCAATCTCATCCCGCTATTCAGCTCGAGCTCCTATTGTTCCTATTATGGATGTGTTTGATCGCCGGCCTCCTTGACTGGGATGAGACGGCGGCCAAGTTTACTTCTATGTAGAACGAAATGGTCGAAGATGAAAGTCCTTGTAACCCCCCAACCGTAGACGTATTTTTCTATGAGTAAACCTCCTCGCACCCTATGCTTTCCTATTCGCACCCTCCCCCACCCAGAAAAATGGGGCGGTCCAGCTGATGACACCTGACATTGAAAATCCCGTTTTTACCCGCAAAATTTCGTCTTTCAAATGCACGCAACATCCCCTCTAACTTGGTCATTTCTTTCGCTCTTTTTCACACGGTCATTTGTACCCATACTGCACCCATACTGGCACTTATACTGCACCCATTACGCTATACTTATTTACACTCAACGTACGCAACGTATATAATCTTACTCAAATTAATTGATTTTTATCACTTTCAAACGCTGACAATCGTACAAATGCCTCAATACAACCAGGGACAACGCCGCCGCCGTCGCGTTTCCTCCTCCTCTTAGACTATAAATAAGGTAGAAATAGACATTCAACACTAAGAGATATCGCGAGATTTGAGTCATGGGGACGCATTTACAGGTGGGTGACCCAGCTACAAATGTTACTAGACATTGAAAATATGGAAATTTACAGCTAAAACTCGATATTTTACATGACAGCCGACATCTGGGTGGGGGAGGGTGCCAGTAGGAAAGCATAGGGTGCGGGGAGGGTTACTCTTTTCTATCCGACGGGCCTGATGCAGGTTTTTTTTCTCGTCTTCTTATAGACCTCGCCAGACAACATGCCACCAGCAGCTGGAATGTCCTTGATCCCGTATAGGTAACCTCCATCCTTACCAGCCTTGGAGCTACTTCCCTCAAAATCCTTCAGACCACTCTCGCTCTTCGTCTTCTGGACTCACGATAGTCCCTGCCTCTCTGCCTACAATCGACACAGACCGTATTAGGCATATCCACCACGCAGCAGTTTCTACCACTGCAGGTCCATTCGCCTCTCATTAGGCGCTCAGTGATCAAGGCGCGCTTCGCGTTGCTCTTTGAGGACCTTTTTGCAAGTGGATATGTCGTTGAGGTCGATATCGGCAACGGGAGTTGCGATGGTGTCTGCAACTGGACCCGGGTCATGGATGGGTGGAACAGCAGGAGGCTGCGTGGTAGGGGTAAGGAGCTGGTCAGCGGGATGGAGGTTGGTACCGAGCTGCAGGTTGGTATGAAAGTCGTTGATGGGACTGTGCCCGGCCTTGTAACGAGGAATCTTGGGATCTCATCATCCTGCTATTCGAGTCCCATTGTTCCTATTGTGTGGTTGCTGGCTATCTTGACTGAGATGAGACGGAAGCTTATCATCCACCTTGATCGGGATAACTCGTGATTTTGTTTATGATTGACAGGAACCTGCAGCCCATCGGAAGATATGAAGAATTCCCAGACTGTTCGTTTCATCTGCTAGTCGGGTCTTTGTTGTTGTTTATCAGTATAGAAGCTTCCTGCTGCGCCAAGGATCCCATTGTGAGAGTTGATCCCGCTGTATTCGCCATGTGGTGGCAGCCAAGCTGTTGACTTGACAAGTCAAGCACTGACCACCTTCGAGATGACTTCGGACGAAACGCTACAGCAAGGCATTGTCTTTGACAAACAAGAGCATGTCCTGTGTTGAGACATCGTAGAATCTCCGATAGTTAAATGCTAGTGATGGGGAGCGGAGAGATCGTTTCATGTGTGGCATCAGGGTGTTGCAAATGTAGACGAGTTGGACGAAGTCAGGCAGGGAGGAGAAACTTACCTAAGCACGGACAGATAGATCCAAACCTGATCTCTTGATATATACGCTAGACTCTTCTCGACAAGATCAACGATCATCGGTTTGACGTGACCATTGCTTCCACGTATCTAGTATCAATTATTGCTTCGAGCCTCTTGTTTATTGGGGGCTTCGGATGCCAACGGAAGCTTTCTTTGTCCGTTGCAATCTGGCTTGATGACTTCCATCGTAGAGACAGGCATCGGGCAATGGAGGTATTACGATGTTCCAGCGAGAGAGGAGCGAAGGTTTCGAAGGCCAACGAGTAGGCCGTCTCCCGGCTCCGGCGTTGCGATCACAACGAGTACGAATCAATGTGACGAATCCTCAAGCCTTTGACGGACAATAAGAAGTCAGCAACAGAAACAAAATGGAAGTATCCGCTGTGGTTCATCATGGCCGGGTTCATTCACCGAGACTTGAGGGGCAGCAGCACAGAAAGAGAAGCATCTTGGAAGGAATTGTGTGGATCTATCATCTCATAGATAGCCCCGTATGCAACAGACTTAGATTCCGAGGCTCTTGTTGTAGTAGGATCGCTTGAGTGGCAGAAGCGTGGCTGGGATCAAGAACCTAGATGCCACAGCTGAGGAGCGCCATGGGTCGGATCTTGACGGCACGGTAGCCGTATGTTCTCAGCGAAGGGCAGCTCTGCGCAGGAGCTCCATCCGCCGAGTAAATGAACACGTTGATGGAATGTGATATGGGGAAGAACCTGCTCAGAAATGGGAGTGTCCACTGCGTCTTATGCAAGCTGTGCCTGACAACGTGAGGGGGGCCAGCAACGAACAAGAGGTGATGATTGACTCATCTACGTGGCCGAGCAAACTGCACTGGAGGGGATCCAATGATGGAGACAGGTAAATTGGGCAGCAGCAATCCGGATTGACACCTGCTTGAATATGGGGAGGTACGCACACAGCACCCAAGGCATCGCAGCTGCTGCGAGATTGCATCAAGCCATGGCACTTGAATTTGGGATAATCTTGCATTGTTTGAAGGAACATTGAATACAGGGGCAATTGCCTTCGAACGATAGAAAGAATGCTTGACAAAGAAATCACCCTTGTTGTCGCCTTCCTTTGTTTACATTACATTAGGGGCATTGGGACAAGCGGCCGGTTTTTGTGGAAACATCAGCGGGCCGTCTCCTAAAACCCGCTGTAGGCGCGCTGGACAGATGATGCACTATCCGTTAGTCTTCAGAAAAAATGGGTGTCGCGATAGTTCACTAACAGCAGCCCTCTACAGCTGCCGCAGCTTTTTCCTGCCAGGAGTCATACATTTTTCCCACCTCGCAAACATCACGCTTCGGAGGCACAAAGGGAATGAATCATGGCAATCTTGAAGCGGGTTTCGGTTTGCTCGCCATTCGCACTAGCTTTCCCACTCCTAATTTCCCCGAGAGGACGAGAACATGGTGGCTACCTCTTCCCCTCCAAGCGAGGTTGAAATTTTAATGGAATATGCAATTTCAGATCGATTTTCCTCGCTCAGCGGAATACCCTCTGTTTCCTTACCATTCCAACGCAGCGCCCATTTTGTTCTGCTCTTCGTTGCGCACGTTGGTTGGCATCATGTTCGGAGTCAGCGTCGTTCACCACCTCGAAATTTTCTGACGTTGCTCTATGTGCGGTTATCAGCAAAGAGGCCTTGACCTGAAGCCGGACCTGGTTCCAGCGCAGAAGAGCCGATATCGAGGGGGTCAAGGATGGTCAAGGCTCCGGAAGGAGACAAGGCCAAAGATTACCACTTGTGGTCTGAATGGTTGCTTGAGGCTCCCGTGATGCCGCCATTCTCTACAGAGGTACCGGTGCTGTCGTCAAAACCGAAGTCGTCTGCATAGATGTCTCCGTGCTCTCAGGCCAAGAGATGCGGGTCGAGCATGGAGCTCGGAGGCACTTTAGTGTTGTTGAAGAGTCGAGTTGCGTCGTCGATACCACTTTCCTTGTTGTCGTCGATACAGACTGCCGATATACGATCTTGGCCGCGCTGAAGTGGCGGAAGGAATAAGCGCTCGCTGTACTCCGATGCGGACTTGCGCCCTGAAAACAGGGAGCGGCGGAGGGGGTCCGACCATGGGCAGGGGATTTCCTTGGTGTTGGAAGATGACATGTTGATGGATTTTTCTCGTTTGCTCAAGAACCGTGGTACTCGATCTTTTCCTGAGTCCAAGGCCGTAGCGATATCCTGAAGAGTGCTGCCACTTGGTAGGCAGTGTTGACTGGGGAAAATATATAGTTATGAATGGAGGAAGCTGGAGCATCAGGATCAGCCATCTCCTTTCAATAGCAAGCATCGTTCCGCACAAGATGCAAATGAATGACCTAGTCAACCTAACTGTCAGACGATCGGACGACATGATGGCGACTTGAAGGTTTTGAAGGGAGTTCTTGGACAAAGGCAGATATTCGGACGTAACCAACAGCCTCCATTTGGTGATTCCTTGATCTTCGGGCTGAACTCATGGTTGGGATGATGGGCAAAACTCAGGGTGCGTCGATATCTTTCAGACGCCGGGGTATTGTCGCGACAGTGAAGAAAATGTCGCATGGCTCTTGTTCTTTGCTTGTCTTTCCAAACAACAAGGATGGAAAAGTGAACTCATAGCAAGAATAGAAAAATATGAACCTCTAGGCAGGTAAGAAAGACTAGGTCGGGGACTGGCTTTTGTTGAGAAAGAACAATGAGATGTGTAGAGTACCTTACATGGGCTTTCTACCGGCGAGAAGGAACCTCCAGGTGTAGAACCGTCGTAAAGGCAAGAATCACCCATCTTGAGATCAAACAACAAAAGGCCAACACGAACCCAATCTTTTGCTTCTTGTTTCTCTGCTCATTGCTGTCATCGGTAACCGGATCATTCATGTTTTTTTTTTGTTTTTTTTCACTTTTTAACAGAGGTATCACTTTCCTTACCACCATCTACACCACAGTTCCTCCAGTAGCTGCTAGAAAAGAACGTCATGGAAACAAACAAGTCCTCCGGAAGTCAACGACCTGCTGAAAATTCGGACCAGAGTCCTTCAGAAGTTGATCACGTAAACTTTCCCACATTGGCTTCACACAAGTTGTCATGAGCGCAAGCTAATATGCATATTCTTTCCAGCACCACCCAACTCCAGGGCGAGCCGCAAACAATGGCTACGGCTTCAATAACGACCTGACTCCGAACTCGTCAAACGTTTCTGATCCTGGACCGTCTGATACCGTTATCACCGACGAAGAATACAGCGCCATACTGGAGAGATTGTTGCAGGAACCTTTGACGCCTGAGGAGTTGCAAGCAATAGAGAACGGCGCTCTTCCCGAAACCTACGAAGAGCTAGTCGCCCTTTCAAGCCAGTTCCCGAATATCCATGAGATGTTTAATCGAATAGTCATAGATGACAACCGTGGCTACGAGAACATTAGTGTTTCATCCATGTCAACTGCCTCTGCCTCCCACCAGGCTGTTGTCGCGCCTGAGGCCCTCGGTCCGGCTACACTGGGTCATCTTTCGCAATCAGTCGCCTCTCCTGCTGGTCATTCTATCGCTCAAAGCAGTACCAGTAATCAAGCCCCTTGCAGAGTTCAGGCTGGCCCTCCTATCGTTTCGCAGGAGACATGCAATGGATATTATGGCAGGGGCGGCTGTATGGCCCTCGTCTAGCAGCCGGGCGCGAAGCGCTGTTCGTCCCATATCGGCGGTTTTGGTATAGGCAAACCCACCATCAAAGAGATTAACGCACTCCACGCGTTGGGGATCTGGTGTTGCACCCGTTGTCATACGGAGCATGTCAGCGGCCCTAGCCAACATTGTCAACGGTGTCGTCTTAAGGAAAAAATTCAACGAAAATCCAACAATGCCGCTCGAGTAAATGTTGTTGATGAGGCGCCAAAATCGAACAGTGTCGACAATGGAGGGGTCATGATCCATCCATACGATCCCAGCACTTCCCATTCCCATACTTTGGGTATCGGCAGTTCAAGTACTCCAGTCACAATGCCATCGATTCTGCAGATCCAGCCTTCGAGCAACATCGGCTCCGGCCCTAATGATTTTCAACCCTCTCACACGACTGGACACTCAATCAATGGTTCTTCCTTTGGGTCAGGGAATGGTGGTCCGCCCTTCAACTTTCAGGACAGTTTCTACAGCCCATCTCACTCGTTTGGCCATCAACCCGCACCCCTTCTAGCCCATGACCCTTCGGACAACGCATTTTCGAGTTCTGGCATTCCTGCCCACTCATCCAGTTCAGCACAACAAAGCGGGGACCATGGTCAAGGGTACAACGACTTTAATAGAAATGGTTTACAGTAGAAAATGCAAGAGATACACGGACGTTTGGGGATCGCTCAAGTGAGGGAAGTGTGTGCACTGGACATGAACGAAGCGAGGAAAAAAAATCAAAAGAAGATACACGGCTTCAGGCGGAAGAAATGATTTACTCATTTCAGGAAACAAGCGAGAGCCTCAATAGCGTTTATGCTGAAAGACCCAAAGATGTAGTATACATGAACCCTCGTCAGCATCGACGGTAGAAACATCACACTCAAGCAACATTGTCTCTACAGATTTCGAATTCCCAAGTCTCAGAGGCTCAAACTCTAGAGGTATGTGAACATGTTCTTTCAACTGGTAAGATCCCGAGGACACCATATCAACCTGCAACTGAGTGTTCTGGATGCTGCTGGGGAGGTCTATCTTCTGTCCATCTTGCCTTATGCGGATGGAATCACCGAAGAGAAGGGCTTCTATGCTTCGAAGGCTTGTCGGCTTGGTGTAGGGCTTTTCATTCCCGGGGCTGTTGAGCATGTGACCGAGGGAGTTCCCCTGATGCCCATCCAAATGGAACCTTTTCTGGAAGTTGTAGTTCTGGACAACTGCGGGTCGGCAAGGAACTACTTGCCTTCCACCTATTGACATGTACTGCACATGTGAGTTCTGAACCTAACAAGGAAAGAGTGCGTAAACTTCAGATTTTGACCTTCCGATGCTGCGTGTCTTGCAGGAAAACGTATCGAGCAACAGGGATAGACTACTCTAGTAAGTCTAGTTGTCCACAAGACAAGTCGATATCTGCTTCCCCTGGAGAGAGGTCTCTTGTTCGGACTCTGGACATCCCCAAACTCGACCAAGACATATGTCGCACTCAATCCGTTGGGATCTTCAGTTCTGGAATCGAGAACAACTCATCTGGGACAAGAAGTCAAGCATCACAAACGGCGTCCAAGGTAGAAGGGTTCTCATTCGGTGATGTCACGTCACTTGCAAGGAAACAACGAACACTCGAGGCCACAGATAATGGAAGAAAGGGAGTTGCAACTGAGGAGGAAAAAGGGAAAGTATCTCTACAAACAAGGAGAGGAAGCCATGGCTGCTCTTGCCTCAGAACAATCAACCCCAGATCGTTCCATGTCTGCCAACCTAGACTCCTGGAGGTACGTTCCTTTGCGGAGTCCATTTCCCAATCCTTCAGCGATTTTTCAATCCTCCGCATCCCATCCGCCCTGGCAAACCTTCTTCTTTACCTAATTCCCCCGATCAAGTTCTCTTATCTTTCTTCTCAAAACCAGACCCCCTGATGAGTTATCAAGCTGCTCTTGTCCGGAATCTCCGTCGAACTGCGAGGACGGAGGATTGAGCTGGAGAAGATAGCCGCTGTTGATGGGACCATGAGCATTTTTACTCCGGATCAACGCCCTGGATCTGTTCGGCGGCTTGACCATAACCGCCTCCAGCCTACAACTCCTGCTCCCCTAACAGACTCAGGGTACCCATCCACTGCGGATGGCCGTCCTGCTCCTGACTCTTGGTCTCCTCAACCCAAGCAAGAACAGACGCCCAATATCTGGTCCAGTCCGCCACTGCCTTCCTGCCGCGCTGGTCACACGCGCTGCAAAGGGTGTTCGCAGTGCCAACCGGCGCATCGTAGCGCCTGGTACAGACATAAAGACCTTGAGCTTGGAGGGATCCGATCCAATCCCGCTTGGCCCTGCTCAGTTTGGTGGGCAAATGTTCGAAGCACGTACGGGCCCCGGGCTGCTAGGCCAGGACTCTGCAGTCTTTGAGCTTACAAACATCGCTGCGCGTCCAGATGAGAGGTGGTCCAGCAACCACTGGGTCGGTATCAGAGTTGTCACCCTCAGAAACGGAAGCAGCACTAGCTGAATCGTCAGATGCGGAACCGCGGGGGTCGGAATCTGAGTCGACAGCGGCAACGTCGGAAGAGGAGGAAGTGACTGAGTCAGAATCGACAGAAGACTCCATGTCCTGGGCTGATAATATGGGGGATGGGGAAGTGAGAACATCCAACATCCTCAGGGCATTGGCGGTGAGCCTCTGCGGAGGATCAGCCCATACGGTGGCCTGGTGACGATTCGGAGTCGCTGACCGATGGTTGACTGGATGGGCTTGCTCAGAGGTGGGAGCAGCCAGGACTTCCATGTGCAGGTCGCAAAGGTGATGGGCGAAGCTGGCTTGCCGTCTGGTGGCGACGGTCCTGTCGACGGCGGAAGAGGCATGTTGACGCTCGATACGGTGATGGACCGAGCGAGGAAGAGGGCTTGGTGCCGGAGAGTGCGGGCAAGTGCCGGCGGGCTTTATGTTCTGGTAGGGTGCCATGGTAACGATCCTGATTGGCGTTGGAATGATGGAATCTACGGTTTCTCGTATGCGGTGATGATGCTCTGTCGTTTCAACATAAAGAGTCCGAAGATGCGATTTCGGTGGTAGGTACCTCTAAGCATGAGCGAAAGAAAATGTTGCATGTTTCCAGGAGAGGTAGAGGTATATTTTATAGGTAGGGTGCATTCCAGGTTCGTAGCCCCAACAAATCAGTCCATTGAGGAAAATGTGCTGTCGCCTTCACCCATTCACCCGCCAGGTTGTCCGGTCGACCTTGAACCTGGCAACCTCAAAACTCCACGCGGCAAAGACACCAAGAAGGTTCAAACTGAAGGGAGCCTAACTGAAGATAAACCTCATCAGCTAACCAAGATTATATCACGGGCGAAAGAACCACATTCGAAGACGGGATCTGTTCAAGGATGGGAGTTCGATCGTGGGGAAATCTGAGAACAAGCAGCTGCTGAACTTGAGCTAGCTACATGTGCCAAGTGACTCAAGGTCAGTTCGTTCTATCATGCTTCCTCTCGACCAAGTGCTAGTAGGAAGAAAATCCCTGCGTGCAAATACCGCTGCTGACATTGAGGTTCCTGTTGTCATATACGCTCAGGTATAGATCGCTTAGATCTTCCGACAACTCCAGCGCTAGGCTGAGGGGCCCTTGATGTAGTTAAAGGTAGCTTTGAGACCGGAAAGATGGTGAGCAAATGTCTCTCTGGTGGGATTGCTCGCGTCCCTTCCAAGTACGGAGACGACGTGCGCAATGTCGGGTCTGCTACCAAGCGCGAAGTACCTAAGAAATCCGACAGCTGACTGGTACTTTGTCACTTTGACCTCGTTGACTTCCAATTCCAGAGCGGCCATAGCCTCAGCACTGAAGACTGCACATGCCTGGAGGTGCCGCATCTGGTCCTCATCAGAAAGGCCCTGCGGAAATTGTAGCATGGACCGAGCCAAAGCGCAGTGATCTATGAGGTCAACAGTCCTGAGAATGGCCCTATAAAGCTCTTGTCCCTCGAGCCGATGAGTGATCGGAGCGGTGAGATCGCTTTCAGCAGGAGGCTGGGGTTGATGTGGCTCCATGGCGCTGTGAGGGTCGAGTTAGGAATAAGGACATGTTTACTAGATTGTTCTTGAGATTACATACCCTAGGTAGGTAGGTAGAGGTAGGAAGCGCGATGCTTGAAAAATGCTCCAATCTCCGAAGTATTTCAAGATGCGGCTGAGAAGAGCACGAGGAGAGGTGGGAAACAGGTTCAGCGCCGCCAAGGGAGCACAGGAGAGGCGCCATTTATACAGTGCTCTATTACAATGTGACCCTTCAGGAAACCTGTTATCAAGATACTGCATTCCTCCACTGTCAAATTCACCCATTCACTCTCAGGTCGACTGGTTTTCCGGTCAACCTTGAAGTTTTATTGTAGGTTCCCTTCATCCCAAGAGAACATTTGAGGCTGGCAGATGCCGGAGTGAGGTTAGAACAAAACGGACTGGATTGTTGGAGAAAAAAAATGGAGACAGAAGGTAGCAGAATTGGAGGGTGCACTATAGAATGGAAGGGAGAAGAATGTTAGGATCAAGATCTTGATTGAATCTATAGTAGGTAGACGGAAGACATGTCGAACTCCAGGCATCGGCTTAACAGGTACCTAGGTAGGGTATTTATACCTATCTTACCTAGAGGGATGATTGTCGTAAGACATCTCTGACCGAAGGTACATCGAGCAAACATTCCGCTATTCATGGCTTGATACCTATTTGGCAGATTGTGTTTACTGAGAGGAAACGAACAACATGACGGATGGTCTTGAGTCTCCATAGGTACCTATTCTCCACGCAGGCAATATAAATGAGACAGAGCGCCGCGCAGAGACGGCTCGGAGTGTCCAAGTCGATGGAGAGGGTGAAAATGATGGTTCCAAGTGGGACTTGGATCTCCATGCAATGGTCATTCCACTAGCAACTTTCTATTCGGTACCTCTAAAGATGAGGGTGCCTCTACATCTATGGCTCCCGATCTGGATAGGGCTTAGATGATGGGCTGTTTTCGAGCTAGGTACCTAGAGCTATGGAGACTTTGTATCCACTCTAGAGGTACAAGTCTTAGGTTGACAACCTCGTAACCGTTGTTGCGTTGATGCACACCAGACTTTACGTCTACGAGCTTTATCCTCGGTACGAACAATCCGCTGTTCAAGATGACAAGTGGAATTCAGAAAAAGACGAAGAGAGAAAAGAGCGTCAACGGACAAAACCCCAAGGTTGAACACCCGTTCCATCAGACGGCATCATCACAGAGCAAACAAAGTTTCAAATGTTCGTTCGTACAAGACACTTGGATGGAACTTCCACTTCGTTTAGGTACTCTCCCATTTACGTGAAGCGGTAGGATCATCCCTCTGAGACACTCACTCAGCTTGGCCACTCTCACGGCTTGTCATTCTGGGTAGAGGAAAGTGAAGTGTAAATGGGACGATGGAAATTTGGAAGCCATCTTGCTCTCGAGATCTATATAAATTCTGTTACTTCTTCGTCCCTCCGCCTCAAACACGACCATTCTTTCCAGATTCAAGCCTGGCAAGCGTTGTATCTCCACCTTCCCTGAGACTGCCTAGAGAACAGCAGCTGAATCTCAATCGTGGGCCGCCGAGTATGAGTCCCAATAAGCAAGAGCGTACAACTACTCCGGGAGCTGGCTCGAGTGCTGGCTCCGGTCATCCTTCAACCTCCTACGAGGCCGAAGCTGTCGAAGAAGATTGGATGGACTTCTTTGACTTTGACGCTTACGAGCGTGACATCAATGGTCACTCACAAAGGTATGATATCGGTGGGTTCCCTTTGATGTGTGCTCGAAATGGGAAGAAATTGACGAATGGGGGACTTTGATATAGAAGTACTCCATCACCAGAAACAGCCATGCCGTCCCAGACTAGCACGTCGTTCGAACCGCCCACTGCTCCTTCCTTCTCCCTTCTCACTATCATTGAGCATGGAACTGCTCCTACCACTCCAGTTGACAACAGTCTCATTCCAGCCAGAAATAAAGATGTCCATCTCAAATTCGGAGTAAACAGCCTTGCCGGCCAGGAGCAAGAGAGTGGCGAAGACATAGAGGTAGAAATGGGTGAAGACGCTCAAACAAGCGATGATATTGAGCTGGAAGATGTTGCTAGCGCCGCAGACGTGCTATCGGCAGCTGTCTCAAGGACAGACACTCTCAGCCCTTTCGAGCCAACTCCCGCTGATTCACCTGGCGATGTTCCAACATTGAGTTCAATCAATGAACAAGGCGGACATTGCTGCAAGGATTCCCTAAGAGGAAGCGGCGATCTGGATGAGCCACGTAAACCAGTTGCAGAACCTCCCGAACGCGACCATGGTATCTCTACGCCGCAAACTAAAGCCAGCTCAGAAGTTGTTTCCGGCTCCTCCGAATCTGCCTGTACCTCTTGTCCTTAGGAAGCAAGAGGGCCGGAGAGAGAAGCCGTGGGAGAGGATCCCAGCAAAGACACGACAGGACCCAAGTGGGAGGTCCACAGAATCCTGGCTTCTGCCATTCTCTCGGATGGCCTACTGTACTATCGGGTGTCCTGGAAGGGCTGGGGTAAACCCGACTATGGCATGCACGTACCCGGCACACAATTTCAGGGAATCCCCGGACCGTCTAGTATCCTTTCATCGCAGATATCCAAAGGAACCAGGACCTCCAATGCGACTGGATATCTGGAAGAGAGCTTTCGACAACGGCGAAGAGCTGGAGAAGCACGAAGACGATGATCTTCCGGTAGAGACAAGGAAAAGGATTAAGGGGATGCTAAGAGGGAGGGGAAAAGCCGTTGCAAGGAGATGATAAGAGGGAAGGCATTGCTCGTGATGGTAGCTGGAAGGAAGTTACGGAGGTCCTGGCTGGACAGGATGGGGAGTGAAACGGAAGGAACTTAGCAACTGTGACAAGTTTCACACTTACAGCTCAAGCTGCCGGGCTTATGCTTTTGTTGGATATCATCAGATAGTCGATAGCAAGGACGAAATGCGAACGGCGAAATCTGTTGACAACGGCAACGTTCTATTCACGGGGTTGATGTTCAGAAACTGAAGACTGCGGTATGTATTGTGCAACGCCCAAACAGGCTCCACGTGAATCACACACAAGCAACGGAGATCGGTGAGTAATCCAGGGTTTGGTTTATCTCAAACACCCTCGCGGGTATTTATACTGACTACATCCCCTTCCTCTTCCCACAAACTCACAACAGAGGTAGGTACCATCAAGCCAGCTCCGTCCTTCCAGGCAAATTTGTGTAGAGCAAAAGGATCAAGCCTTCCGCGTTTGCTCGACGGAAGCGGAAGCACAAGCAGCTCTTGAGCAAACTGTTTGGCCAAGACCGACTTCCTCCTGGCTTCCTTCCTAGAACATCATGCCCAGAAAGAAATCCAACAAGGTACGAACCCGCCATTCCCCCATCAGAACCCGGCGGCGGGCACAAACTAACAATCTCCATACCATAGAAGGGTCAAAAGGCCAACAAGAACCCTCCTCGCCCCCCTCCACTCTCACCAAAGCCCTTCCAACCCAACGCCGCCCCCGACAAGACCACCGAGGACGGCGAGGAACTCTGGGAGCTCAACGAAGTCGTAGCATCCCGCTTCATGTACGGAAAGCTCTACTACCAAGTCTCCTGGAAAGGCTGGAGCAAAGACGAGTACTGGTATCCCGCCAGCGACTTGAAGCGGTGCCCGCACTTGCTGGTTGAGTTCCACTCTGATAACCCGAAAGCTGCTGGGCCGCCGAGGAGGATCGATATTTGGGATAAGGCGTGGACTGAGTACACGGAGGAGGGGTTGGAGAAGCATGAGGAGGATGATATGGTGATGACGGCGGCGCAGAAGAAGACGTGGTTGGAGGAGTTTGAGGACATGTTGTAGATAAGGGGATTGTTGGGGATGGGTGTGGGGAGGATGGATTGGTTAATACTAACATGGAAGGAGAGGAGATGGAAGTGGAATGGAATACAATGACTCCTCTTATGAATGTGCTTTGTGCTTCGTGTCCAGTATGACAAGAACCTCGAGTATCTCCTGTTGACAATGCCAAGCGGATCTCTTTGTTTGAAGTCCAACGTCACCCACAAGGCAAGCAATGCGATATCGATGTCAAAACATCGGCTGGACTTCACGCCTCGACTGGAGTCACTGGAACAACCCTTACTAATCCCGTAAACATGTGGTTTTCTCGTATATGTGGAGGTGTGGCGGTACCTCTACGCCCTGTCTGCCTGAGATGGATTGCTATCACGACCCGTTAAATGAAAACTCGTCTGGCAGACCCTACGCCTTGTCTGATTTCACTTCCTAGACCCCCAAGATATCAGCCTTTCCATGACACAGACTAATCCGCTTCCCCAATCAATCCATTCCTTGGTCCTTCCTTGATTCCTTTCCCCTTCGTGTGTCGTGTCTGGCCGCAAACCCTGTGTTAAGAGTGGGCCTGTTCGACACTCATCTATGGGTGGAAGGTGCCTCTCTTGGGTACCTCCAGGTATCCGGGAAAAGACAAGGGCACATGTCATAAATGCTGAGCTCAGTCCCTGCCATGATAGACCTCTCCCTCCCTTTTGGTTTCGCAATTGGTCCGTCCGCCGAACCGAAGCCCATGCCGGCGCCTTCAATCGCCTTTGGATGTTGCAACTGCTTGTCGTCTTCCTTCTTTCCCGAGACACCTACGACCATCTGCCGATAAGACTCGCAAATGTGTTCGTCTTGCGGGAGTGTCTTTTGCATCTTTCCACATAACATCTTTACCGGTCAACATTAGTGATTCCCAGCTCCGTTGGAGGATGTCGCCATAAACTAGGCTGGTTCAACTGCAGCCTGTCCTTCGTCCCCTTGAGTTTGTGCGCTGCCGCCCTGAGCTCACGCTGCCGCATGTGCCTCGGCAACCAGCTGAGCACGCCTTGCCCTTTGCGCCCTTCCCTTGTCGCCACACCTCCTGCAAAGTGTGTTTTTTCGTACCGCAATCCAGTAGCAACCGGTACAGGACCAGATGCCGCGCCGGTGACGCCGCTTAATCAGGTTGATCAGCCTCTGACTGACCTTGTTTCCCAGGTGGCCGAAGCACTTGCTCGTTCCTGGCTGCTAGACAGGGCACGGGCAGTGCAGTCGGAACCCGTTGATGGTCCTGATGACACTGCAGCGGCCTGAGGGCCGAATCGGCAACCGAAAGCAGGCAGGGACGGATGTTGTACTGCTTTCACTAGCAGCGGGCCTGTCAGAGCCGTCGTTGATGTCGAGTGAAGCGAGTCTCTGGCAGACTACTTCGACGCTGGGAGGTGCAACAGTGGATGGGTCGAATGGGGCAGAACTGCTGGCTTTGCTGATGAGGTTGCTCTCCTCGAGTGACTGCTGCGACTTCTTTGCCTCATGAGAATGGTGCGCAGCGGAGGCCAAAACAGGTTCGGGTAAGTCGGCAGCAGTCTCCAATGCGTGGTTGCTGTTGATGTTCGTGGGCGGGACATGAACAGAAAGGGGATTGTCCAGTCCCATGCTGGCGCCGTCCATGAAGGAACCAGAATCGTCTCGGGTGATCAGGTTGTTGTCTTGGGAATCAGCCCCAGACTCGGGAGAAGCGTTGGGGATATTGCGAATGGATGGCGTATATACCAGGTGCTGAGTGGCGGCGTTATGGGCGATGTCACTGACGTCCTCCGGGCAAGAGAAGGAAGAGTTTTCTATAGCGCCTGGCCCGTCTTCCTGAGGAAGGATGGGGTCAACAACGGGTTCCGACTCGGAGTTGCCCTGAATAGAGGCGTGATCGTCCTCGTCCACGCCCCACTCATGGTCAGGGCCAAAATGGTCTATCAGGTTGGTGTTGTTGTCATCGTCGCCGTAGAGAAGTTCAAAAGGCTCCTCACGGGACCGGTTGGCAAAGAAAGCCTCCTCAAAGAAGCTATGATGACTCTCGTCGGCCATTATCTTGGGTCTGTGAGGTTGCTGTCATATGCGGATCAGCTTTCGCTCGCGATTTGGTAGGCGTGATGAAGGTTTATTACCTAGAGGTATACTTGATCGACTTGAGTACCTATACGCCGCAGGTCTAAGGGGTCGTATTGGCCCTGCGTACAGAAGTCGCCTTACTCGATGTGATACGAGTGGAATTTCGCGTGCTGATGAGCGATGTTTGCGCCTTCTTCTTAAAGGATTTGACTTACGACTGAGGTGATTTTGAGAATCGTTGAACCGCTGACCTACTCGGTGCTGTTCACAGTCTTGAAGTTTGATTGTAAAAAGTGTAGCGGAAGGTAGGCGTTAGAGGAAGGTAGCACAAGTTGAATAGCGGGATGGGGTAAATATAGAAAGAATTTTAGATGGAAAAAACATTAGAAGTCTGCGCGTGAAGGGAGCAATGTGGACAGGACGAAGAAGGCAGGACTCAGGACTAGAGCAGACCTTTACGGAAGAGGAAGGGACTATATGAGACAGCACCGCACCAAACGGGAAACCACCAGCCGCCCTTTAAACGCCATTTGCACGGTGTTTTTGATCCAAAGCGCGCTGGGTAAACCGTGTAAGATAACTCTGTGGCGAGGCAGTTAGGTAGAGGTAGCGAAGAGGTAGTTATCGGGTATCAATTATCAAAGGGAGAAACGTCCTGTTCCATATATAGAGGTCAGCAGGGGCAGTCTTGCACATCAGCCGGTTGTGTCATAGGTGATTCCTGTCAACTTTCTTAATGCGCCCATTCCAACCTAACAAGTGAGTAAGAAAAGAAAAGGGGTGTGATGGTCCTATCTTCGATATCTGCTCCTGGGGATATAACACATCTGCCCCAGTCTACTGCCCACCACCGCGGTCGATTCCAACTTCAACGCTCAACCATCAAGCCATCTTGTTATGGTCCCATCATAGTCCAACAGGTGTTCAATAATCATCGACTCGTAATGTCAATCCCCCTGTGGGCTTCCCTGCTGAACCTTGCAAGGAACCGGTCGAACAGATGACTACCTCTAGGTAAATATGCCTTGTTTTGATCGACTCTTTCTCAAGCCTCCAACCTTCTTGCTTCCAGTGGTCTTGGCTTCGCAAATAATTCTCCTTGTGCCGTCAGTAGAGAGGCGCTCTGCTCAAACGCCACAGTATTCAGGCCTTACCCGGGGGCTGTCCCAGGCCTTGCATCCTCCTCTTGGGGCTTCCAGGCCTACGAATCTGGTCCAAAGTCTTGTCAGCTTCCTGTTTGGTAAGGCGGGCTTTCTTGGCCGTGCCTTCAGCGACATCACAGCCGCCCGCCATAGCCGAAGCGCCCCGTTTGGGTAGAGGGGTAGTGGACTGGGCGTCCGAGGGTACGATTCCAGCTTCAGCATCTTGACCGCCACCGGGGATATAGGTCTCGCCATTGGCCTCGGCGGCGAGCCTTCTCCGTCTTTCCCTCTGCTTTTCACGGCACATCTCATCGAGGACATTGGGAGTCGGCCCAGCCCCAACGTAGCAGCCTGTGCAGGAGTAGAGACCCCGCTGCAGACGCCATGAAACCAGCTCTTCCATCCTCTTGCTGGCCCTGTTTTTCAGGCACCTGAGGCACATGCTTACTCCCGGCTGCTAGACGGGATTGGGGCATTGTTCCTCGGTGCCATCCAGTTCCAAAATCTTGACCTCTTTGCATAAAGCCACCACAGGGCTAACGGCCTTCCGGAGAGTAGGCACCACCAGCTCGACATCGGCATAAGAGGTAAAAACGGGTTCCTCGGTTTGCTCGAAGGTACCTCTAGCAGATGTGGGACTTGCTGGAGTGGATAGGTCGGAAACACTCAATGGCAAACTATGTCTTTGAGAATTGTTCGAGGCAACATCAAAGTTGTCTTTAGACAGCTCCAGTGAGTCTTGAGGCGCGGAGACATGCTCTTGGTTGCTGGGAGCCATCTTCATGTTGCTGTAAGGAAGCTGGGAGGCAATAGGCGCACCAAGGCCCTGTTTCATAGCAGAATCACTTGGTTCAGAGGATGTGGCTCTAACAAGACTGCCGGAGTCGAGCTCGGAAATGTCTCTATCTGGTCTGATGGACAACTCGCTGTGATCCTTGCCAAGTTCGACTTTGTCCTTGATTTCCCTTCGTTCGAAGTTGAAAGAATGGTTGGCGTTAACGGCCCTGTGGAGAGTGCAAACTCCGTCGAGGTAGAAATCTTTGTCGATAAAGACTTCTCCTTGGAAGTTAAACATGTTGCTGGTTCTACCAGGTTCATCGGAGTTGACAGCTTCGTTGGACTTGAGAATGCTTTCTGCGTTGACTGCTCCGTGAAGATAGAAATTGTCTCCGGTGTTAACAGCCTCGTTGAGGTCGGAAGCTTCATGCCGCTTGAAAGCGGTGTCGGTGTTAGTGATCATGGAAGGATTGACCGTTCTAATGAGGTTGAAAGCTTCTTCAAGAGTGAAAGTGTTGTCAGTCTCAACGGCTCCGTCGATGCTGTTGCTGGGAGCTGCGTATCCGCCGGAAACGGAACCCGGACCATCTGCAGGAAAAGCTCCTTGAGGAAATGTAGTGATTGAGGTGTCAACGGTAGTAAGTTCGTGAGAAGTATTGCCCTCCCCCAGAAACCGGCCTCGATTACGGCTGTCCAGGCCGGTATTGATGTCGTCTTTCAGAGAAGCGACCTGGTCTTGACCAAAATGGCTCTCGTCGCCAGGTGCAGTCCCGGGCGGGATCTCAAAGTTGGCTCGATGGTCATTGATAGATGGATATGTTGAAATATAGGAAGGCTGCATGTGGCTATAGTGATGGTCGTGAGCGTTCGAAACGCCAGAGGACATGGAGCTCGTCCGGTCGTTGGAGCTACCACCGAGGGAGCCGCGGCCGGCATCGTCGGGGTTGAGCGCGAGATCAATTTCCTCGTTGTCGATATAGTCAAAATTGGATCCCCAATCATCATCATAGCCCAGACTGGCCACGGGCACAGCGTCGGGGCCAAAGCCGGCCCAGTAGGCTTCGTCGAAAAAGCTCATCTTAGCAGCACCTTGCCTGCTATAGCACGGACGATTCCCCTCCGCAGAGCCCGAAAATCTCACCAAGTGTACCACAACTCTCAGTTTCCTATCACCTTTTTGTCAGTCCGTGACCGCATGTATCTCGGGCAATATTGTGTGGGTTCCTGAACTGAAGAAGGCTGACTTTGGCAGCTATAGTTTCTGATGAGGAAAATGAAGAAAAGGCCCTACGGGGCAAGTGCATAGAACGACGCGCTTCGGTGTGCGGTAAAGGGGGGCGTTCGTGCGCCGCTGGTCAAATTGTCTCGATTTTGGGACTTTGGCAAGAAGGGCTTGCGACAGCGCGGACTGGACGTACGATTTGTACCTCGTGCGGTTCTGTCGAGACCTTCCTGCGCTGATCACCTTTCAGATAATCGAGAAAGAAAGAGCCAGTTGACAGGTTTCAAAATTCCAGTGCTCTTTGAAGCAGGAAGTGGTACATTTGATAGAGAAACGAGATCTTATTTATGAGTGGAGTGGGAGGGAAAAAGTAAAAATAAAGAGGAGATAGGGCCGCCCAAAAGCTGCTTGGCGAGAAGAGACGGACACTTATTGTGGCGTGAGACAAACGCAGCGCAACGCGTTTTCCGCTGGCAGTTGATAACTTCAGATCGAATACCAGTCTCGCCAAAACCTACAATTTCCAGAGTTCGTCCAACATTCACAACGGACATCAACAAGAAGGTGCAGGGGTTTCGCTTGGAGAGTAAGTAAACAGACAAGTCTGAATGCACAATGTTGGGTATTTTGCCGTATGTAAGAGGCATTTTGGTGTATCTATAGGAGTATCTTTAAGAACCTTCATTATCTGAATAGGAGATGGGTGCAAAACATCATCCTATTGAGGTTTCCAGATGTCCTACTTACCTGCCTGCCAGCAGCGGCAGCAGCACGCCTCCTCTATCCATCCTCGTCCTGGTGTCGACACTGCCTGAAGAGTCCGCTTGATGAAGACGGCAAAAATTGCAACAGCTCGTACAGGTGTGAATGCCACAGGCGTGGCGCCACTTAATGACGGCACGACAGTCGCGTCCGACCTTGTTTCCCAGATGGTCAAAACATTTTCGAGTTCTGGGTTGCTAGACCAGAGACTTGCAGTTGACCACATTACCATTTTTGTCGGCGTTTCTGTCATCGCGTTTGCTCTTGGAGGCAATGGCGGTACGAAAAGGGAGACTTTTGGCGGAGACGTTATGAAGGGTGGCCTTCGGAGGAGGCTCAGGATGACGGGGGCTGCCCTTCTTCGAAATCCTGTGGTTGTTGCAATTCTTGGAGGTTCCGAGGACAACGGGGGAGAAGGTTGGTTTCATGCTGCGGCTGTATCCGCCACTGGCAGGATCGTTACGGTTTCGAGGGATACCGTGAGAACGGCTGGTAAAAGGGGCTGTATTGTTCTCAGCCGAATACCCCCGAGGAGTGCTGGTCAACGCGGTGGTGCTCATGCCTTGGCCTTCAGTGCTCTTCATCCGGCCATGATTGCTCAAGTTTGACTCGAAGCCTAGGTCAAAGTGCTCTGGAAACCCTGCCTGTTCCGCGGTGCGCAGCATTGTGGAAGCGTCCAGACCCAAAACGCAGTTCTGAAATTCTGAGAGATGGCGCAATTCTCTGTTACTTCGATGGTCATCATGGACTCCAACGCTCCTTAGATTCTTGGCGTTACCAGGAGTACAGCCGAGACTCTCATGGCCTGAACCAGGATGGCGGCTCATGCTCTGGTCAGGATACGAGGGTAAATTACCCAGGTGAAAGTTGAAGCCATGGCCTTTATCGTTGAGGAATCCGCCCGCACCACTCTGCTTCATCTGGCCCTTTGTCTGGGTTAGGTGAGTGTCGCTGTAGCTGTGGGCAGGACAGGGTTTGCGGCAGGATTCGAAGTTGTTGATGTAACCGCTTGCACGACTCAAATCGACGTTCAGGGGTGGGAAGCCATTGGTGGCGGCGACAATGGAGATTTGACCTGTCAAGGAGCTGCCAATGGCTTTGTGACAAGTGCGACCAGTGCCAATCTTTTCTCTGGGGCGGGCGAAGAGATAGTTGTGCGGATGAGGGCAAGCAGGGATTCCGTGGGCCAAGGCACCTCCTATAACGAATTGAGTGGTTGACTTCCATGAGTTGATGACCGAGGAAAAGACCATTGTGTTGGCTCATGGCTATATTGCCGTTGAGCGAGGCGACATGGCCCTTTCTGAGATCATCCTTGCCCTCCAAATGGCCAATATCAGTAGAGTTCCTGTAGGGGGAGATGCTGTAGGGAGATGTTCCCTGGAAAGATGATGTATAGGGAGATCTGGCAACAGAAGCTGTACCAGTCGACGGTGTGGGACAAGCAGATGTGCCATATGGAGAGGTGTGAAGGGATGATGTGTGGTAGGAAGAGGTGCTACGAGGAGAGGTTTTGAGGGGAGACGTGGTGTTGACAGCGACTTTTCGTCGGGTAACTTGGCACGGGTTCAAGGCCAGGCCATTGCCGGCATCAAACTCGCCATTTGTGTCAGTTTGACCCAAGCAAATGTTAACCCATTGTTCCCAAAGGAAGCCAGAGGCGTCACCAGAATTGAATGAACTGGGTGGCTCGGGATGAATAGCACGAGCCGAGTTGGCAATGAATGCATCGTTGAAGAAGGACATATTTGTGTCAACAAGTGCTTGTTATCCGATTTATCGGGTATTCAAAGAGCTGAAAGGAGTAGAGAAGTGGGCAAGGACGGGAGTTGAAAGTGCGACTGCGTACAAGACGTTGGGTGAGACCGAACCCGGGTACCGCTGTTTCGGCGAAGTCAGCAAAGGCAAGGTGGGCGGTTGCTTCGATCGCTTGCCCCAGCCTCTGAAGGATTGATGGAAAGCGCAATGTGATGAACAGCAGCAGACCATGCAGTTGCTGAAGACAGCAAGTTATGCGCGATGGGCCGAGGTAGGTAGAGGAGCAAAAAAGAAAGAAAGAAAGAAAGAAAAAAAGAAAGGAAAAGAAAAGCAAGGGTGCGAGGCCCAATTTACGAGACGAATCCGAATCTTAACGTACCTATGTAGGTCGTGCAGGGTGAGTACCACCGTTCTTGCTTCTGCAGTTGCCATGCTCGAGTTCCGCTGGAAACGCCAAGTTCGTGACCATCCAAAACAAGATGTTACCAAAGATACCATCCCTTCTCTCCAAGCTGTGTAAATGACAGTGCTTCATCTTGCATCCCGTACAATACATACAATGAATTGTAACGCTTACTGCAGTTTCAACGTCATCCAAAAGCCAGGCATCATTGAGCAGGAGAAATAATAAAGAAAAACGGCTGCTGAAAATGCGAGCCTCTAGTACCCCTCCACAAGTGAATTGTTCTGCCTTCGTTCGCTTGACCGCTACTTATTGTTTTGACATGTCGCGGGTACTAGGGGCCGATGATGGACTCCGTCCCCTCTTCCGGGCTGTCCGCGACCCACCTCGGCGACCCACTTCGGAGACCCCTAGACCAGTGACATTTGGTATCATGTTGGGAACCCTGATAGCTGCAGTGGTGCAGACGCAACGGTCATTTGAAGACGGAAGGCAGACGCGGTAGGAAGGAACGGAGGGAACGATAGAAAGCATTTTGCCTGGCCGGCTGGAATTATTTGGTGTGGCCGTCGTGATTATTCTTTAAAGACGAATCCTGAGCCCTAGCCCTACATTCGTCCTCTATCAAGAGGCAGCGACACTCCGGCTCTGTTGCTCCTGCTCCTCCATAACAAACCGTGCATGTACGCTGCATAGTACCATCCAATCTCAGTGGCGTCCAGTTTCATGTAATTTGCTCATGGATGCTTCGTTCAGTTGGCACCACGCCTCAATGTTCTTTCCTTCAACATGACAGCATATGACAGATGATGTCTAGGCACATTTAGCAAAGCCAGCCCTCCCCTCTTGATGCTGTCTATCTGTTCATTCCAATATTTTGCTCTTGGTTGCAGAATTTATTGCTTTACACTCTCTACTCTACTTGGTCCTCAACTCATCATCGTCGTTACTCGTCAACCTCTCTGTCGACTAAGTCCTTTCTACTCGGTTGCTCCTCTTCTCTTCGCCAATTTGGCACCATCCCAAAGCCTGGTAGTTTCTCTCCGAGATTTCCACGCCTTAGTTCTTGGGCTGGCTCTTCTTCTTCTCCACCCTGCCCTAGACTGTCTTGTGGCTGCCCGCCAAAATTCCAGATCCTGGCGTCTCGGTTTTTGACGCCAGTGATGCCCTCGACACCAAAGTGTCGCCAACTCCAACTCCCGTGGAATCCTTCACAACCCCCTTCATTCCCTCCGTCGTCGAGACCTTCGGCTTTGATGCCTTTAGTGACAAAGCTCCGCTACTTCCATCTCCTTCCGGACCATTTGCTGCCTCCGTTTTGGCATCTCCAGTCGCCTCACCCCTGCAACGCTTGTTCTTCTCGCCGCATCTCTCGTACAGAGTGTTGCGCTTAGGCGCGCGGCACCAGATACATCCGGAACAACACCAAATTCCTCTGGCGTGCCGCCACTCGATCAGACGTTTCAAAGTGGCGCTTGGGCGGGGAGACAAGTGGTCCATACACTTTCGGGCACCCGGCTGCTAGACGGTGGCCTTGCAAGAGCTCTGGATACCTGTCTTCTTGTTTTTGGGCCCTTTGCACGTGTCTTCTTTTTCAGCAGTAATGGACTTTGGCTGAGAGGGGTGCTGGACCTCGATATCGGTATGACCGGTCGGGATAGTCGTGTCTTTCACACTGATGCGGAGATGTAGGGAATTCCTGAAGGAAGAAAGTCCTTGAAACACACGCTTGGCGCCGATGCCGGGCTTTTTTTGCGGGACATATGCGCAACAAAACGCTTGTTAGTGGACGCGACGAATGGTATAACGTCAATCGTACCAGTGGCAAGGTCGTCGTTGACATCAGTGTTGTCGGTGATGCCTTTGTCGTCCGGTGCGTGGGGCCACTTCGAAGCTGAGGCAACGTTGGAGAGCTTGACGTTTCCGTCAGGAAAGCCGGGATTTCCTCCGGGAGTAGGAATTGAAGTTTACAAGCCGCTCCCGGAACGGGACGTCTGACAGTTGAGGCGTTTCCAATGACTCTCATCTGGTGGCCCTGGACGGAAGTCCTTTTCGGGGAACCGTGAGTCTGGTCATGGCCTAGGAAATCTGCGACCGTGCGAGATCTGATCAACATGGAACATGGAGGTTGTGCCTCTGTCTGGAGCTCTCTCGCCAGTTAGAGGCCACAAATCATGAGGAGTTGAGACAACAGGAAGCGAAAACCGTGCCTTGTATTATACCTAGCGAGAAAGGATCAAAGAAGGAGTGGACTAACACGAACAAGATATCGACCCCCCGTACCAGCACGTTTGAGACCTCCACAAGCCCTAACGACCACATACCTGTGATATTCGATAGAGGTACCTGGTTCTTTGTTCCATTTCACCTCTCACTTTGACTCCTTCCTTTAACCGCAGCCACCTTTGACCTTCACTAGGCCTTGCTGGCACGCTTGCTTCCCTTGGACCACTTACCGCCCTGGGGCGGGTTGCCCGCTTCGCGGTTGGCCCTGGCAGTTCGGCCAACACCGCGGCACCTGTCACAGAGCCGCTGGGTATCCAGTCCGCCGCGGTAGCAGCGGCTGCATACGTAACAGCCCTTCAAGTTGGTGGCCTTGATGACCTCCTGGCGGGCTAGCTCAGAGGGGTACACTGGACCAGCAACCACCGGGCGGTCGGTATGGATGGTCTCGACTCCAGCCTCGAAAAAGGGGACAGGGATGTTGCCAGACAGAGGCATGGAGGGATGAGGAGTAGAGTTGATAATCGGGTTGTCGTTGGTGAAGAGGCTTGGTGTCGAGATATGACCGGGGGGACCTCGGGCAAAGCGTCTGTGTGGTTGTAGTCATCTCGGCGTTGTAGCATTTGCTACAACTGTGAAAGCCGCGAGCATAACGCTCACGGACGATCTGCTCACGCCTTCTTGAAAGACGGTTACCCAAATGCCGGGAACAGAAGCTTGCACCCGGCGCCTAGGCGAGTGCAGGACACTTTCTGCATTTGTCCTCGACAATAATGGGTGGTCGCTGCTGCTGAGGGGTGTAGTTTGACCCTATCGTAGGGCGCTTCCTTCCCGTCGCCACTTTCCACCAGTGGGCGCAATGCGTGCCGCCCTTCTGGCCCGGGTGGCATGGCCTGTCGCTAGGCAAAATGGGCAGAGGCCCGCGCGCTCCATACCCGGAACAAAGCATTTGCTGCAAGAGTAGAAACCCCTGCGGTATCCCTCGAATACTGCGGCCTGGCGGGCCACAGACGGATGGTTCTTCAGGTGCTTAAAACAGTAGCCAGCACCCGAGGACTAGACCGTCGCCTAACACTGACTAGCAGTTCACTGCTTGATGACTGCCATCCGGCGTCTCTACCGTGGTGTCAAAGGCGACAATGTAATTCCCTCTCGGCGACATTTGTGCCTGTGACGGTTTCCTGGTGCTCATCCGCCGCCTAAGTGGTTACGTCTTTCGTTGTGTTGGTATGAATGGTATGATGGTTTATCGTTATTATTCCTGAATTAGAATGTTCCATGCAATGCATGTGCAGAAAGACAAAGTTTATATAGTAGAGGTACCTAACGGAGATCACGCGGATTTAGAGAATTGTAGTGGAAAATCCCTTGAATTGTATTCACAAAGAATCAAGAAGAAAGTAGAGTACCGCGAATTATCAAACTCCTATGCCAGCACGTTTAAGACCCCCCCAAGCCCTCACGACCACATGATGTTCAATACCTAGCTATCAGTTCCCTTTCACCTCTCACTTTGATTCCTTCCAAGCCTTCCAACCACTTCAGTCTAAGCCTATTAGGCACGCTTGGTGCCCCTGGCCCATTTTCCTCCAGTCGGAGGAATCCCTGCGGCCCGCCTAGCCCGCACGTCTCGGCCGACTTGGCGGCAGGCATCACACAGCCGAGGTTCCTCGAGCTCCTCGTTATAGCACTTCGAGCAAGTGTAATAACCTCGAGCGTACCGCTCCGTAACCAGAGCTTGCCGGGCTCTGGAGAAGCGGTTGCCCAAGTGTCCAAAGCAGTAGCGTTTACCCGGCGCCTAGGCGGGTAAAGCGCATTTGTGGCACTTGTCGGTGATAATAATGGGCGGGCGCTGAACGCGGTTGTTGCTTAAGCCTGGATTGGGAGGGATGATTCCGTTCTGGTGGATGTTAGCGATATTGTTGTCGTGATTGTGAGTAACTCCGTTGTTGTGGACGTGAGCGAATCCGTTGGTGGGCGTGTGAGTGGCTACGTTATTGTAATTATGGATGACTCCGTCGTGGGGGGTATGAGTGCCTCCGTTGTGGTGGGTGTAACAGGAATCGTTGTTGGGGGTATGAGTAACTCCGTTGTTGAAGTTACGGTTGACTCCGTCGTGGTGATTCTGAATGACTCCGTTGTAGTAGGTGTGAGTGGCTACGTTGTTGTAGTTATGGTTGACTCCGTTTTGGGGGATATGAGTGGCTACATTGTTGTAGTTATGGTTGACTCCGTTGTGGTGGGTTTGCGTATCGTTGTTGTGGATGTGAATGAATCCGTTGTTTTGGTGATGGGCGACTCCATTGTGGGGGGTGTGAGTTGCTACCTCAACGTTGTTGTAGTTATAGTTGACTCCGTCGTGGTGGGTGTAAGTGACACCGTTAGGGTGATTGTGAGTGGAATCGTTGTTGTGGATGTGAGTGAATCCACTGTTATAGTCATAGGTGACTCCGTTGTTGTGGGTATGGGCGCCTTGGTTGAGGGGGATATGAGTTGATCCGTCTTGGTGAGTGTAAGTGAACCCATTGTTGTCGGTGGAGGTATGAGTGACTCCATTGTTTTGGGTATGAGTGCCTCCGTTGTTGGGGGTACCTCTATCAATGGCTTCATCATGACGGATCGACAAGTGCATGTCTTGAGGTTCATTACCGTGAGACATGATCATGTTCTGCTCGTTACCTTGGAGGCTGATACTACCAGTTGCGTAGCTCGCAACATCCATGGAGGGGCTGGACCAGACAATCCCCGTAAGGTTTCCATGATCACCCCACATGTTAGGATAGTTTGACTCCTGGTGCTCTTGCAAGGGCAGCGACGCCGGCTTTGTGTTGCCGGCGGCATTAGTCGAGGACTGTTCTTCCATCTTCAGATCTGGGGTACTAAGGTACATGGTGTCAGTTCTGACCAAAGGAGCTGCGCATTTTGCGTTTGGATTGTTGGTTGGTAGGTCTACCTTTGATCAATCAAAGAAAAGCCCGCCGATGTTCCAGAGGTGTTGCTCTAGAGTCACCGACGTGCTAGATGACTGGAATACCTACCAACGAGGTGACTCTCGAGCAGTTGTGGGATAATTATGACTTTCTCTCACTTGTGGGAGTATGGTGTGTTGATGAAAAGGAAAAGAAATCGGTTGCGCTTGGAAATTTGGCCACTTAAATAGGTTGTGGGTGGAAAACGGGAAAGCAGCGTGCATTTCACCGTTCGAGGATAGGACACGGACCACTAGCTCCCCGCCACATACTGCCTGGTCGGTAGGTATTAACTACAGGCAGCTACCACTCAGGGCGACATGCCATAATCGGCGATCGAAATATCAACCTTGATCACATGACCACCACCGTAAGCATCCCCGTTGCCAGGCCGACCAGCACCTAGTAGATCCCTATGAGTGGCTGGGTTAGGGCCTCTCCTGGCTGCCAGTGGGCAGGCCCAATCCTCTGAACAACGCTGTCGATGTCAACCTTGATCACATGACCACCCCGGTACGTACCCACGTTGCCAGGCCGACCAGCACTCAGTAGATACCCATGAGTAGCTAGGGCAGGGCTTCTCTAGCCGGCCGGTAGATGGGGATCGGTAGCCGGTGGCAGTCCCCGGCCCCGGGCTTCCTATGAGGGAGTGATGATAATTACCGCGGGTTCGTAATGCATTACCGTATTTTTCATCCAGGTCAAAGGACGCAGGACACTCTTCCATTTCACCGGCATCGTAGCAGAAGCATACCTGTCAAGCCCTTAAATGCTTTTGTCTAGGACAGGAGCTTATCCGTCCTTTGATTCTTTGAGTGTATGAGACAAACAGCGTTTGCGTTTGCGGTCTTGTCTACGAGTTCTGAAGTCCGCTTCCCTCTAACCTCCGCCATGCCCTTGTTGCGATTGATATTATCGACGTTTCTCCGTTCAACATAAGTACCCTCCCGACTGAGTGGAGGTAAGCCTCGTGGTCGTAACATTTGATCGTAATCAACTCATAAGCCATAACGCGAAGTCAAAACGCGAAGGCCACTTGCGACCTCCTTAGCAATGTGCCGCTTCTCTGTCCGGAGCTTCATTGGGTAAAAGGACATGCCGGAGTCGAAGAAAACGATTGTGCAGATTGCATTACGACAAAGGCTCGTCCAAAAGACAACGGGAGAGATCTTCTCGTAGCCAGCGGTAAGAATCTGGATGCAACTGCACTACCGCCCGCCATGCATCTTCAGTTTTTAGACGACGTTGTGGCGGAGATAGCCCGCCAACGGCCATCACGACCCTGGGGCACATAATATGATCATCGCAAGAGGAACAGTAGGAGGAATTGTCGAAGACGTGGCAAACTCGCCTTGGTTGCTGACTATGAGAATCGTAGGCACGATGTGCGGGCAAGAATGATCAAGGAAAATTGTGCCAGGAAGCGCGAAGAGGGCGAGGCACTGGCGCAAAGCGCTGAAGTCAAGTTGTGGAAAAGTGATATTGGGCTCGAAATTCCTATCAATCTTTTGTCTTTGCATCTCAACTCACAGATGGTAAAGCATTTCCGCGAACTAAAATACTATGAAGCAATTCTTCGACTGAGACCCGCTCGTGACATTTGCTGTCTGTTCTGGGGGTTATAGACACCGGGAGGAAACAGCTCCCAAAGCAAGACACCCGGGCAGTCCCAATGAAAGCCCCAAAAACGCATCATCCTTACCCGACTTCTCCCCTCAGTGTGGCCCATGCATGTAAATCGTCCTCTGACTATAGTCCGCAAAGTTTCCATGTCTTTCGGGCCCATGATGCGAGATGGACTACCGCAAGATGGCCCCAAAAGCCGACTGGACAATGAAAGTCGAACTCTCACGCCGCCTTTTGGACCCTGCCGTTCAAGACCGCTCCAGCGGCACCAGAGCCCTTGCCGTTACCGTCGCGTTTCTTGCGACCACCGACATCTCCTTTCTTCGATCCGCCTCCACCGGCCCGCGTCGCCGGCTTACCTTCCTTCTTCCGCTTGTTCTGCGCTCTACTCTTGCCCAAGCACTTGACTTTGCAGTACTTGTCGCGGACTGGAATTTCCGTTTTTATACATCCTGTACAGGTGTAAAAGCCCCTCGCGTAGCGTTACTTGATTATCTGTTGCATTGCAGGGCTGGGAGAAACCTCGAGGTGATCGAAACACAACTTAGCCGTGGGCGCCTAAGCCTTGGCTTTGCAATTTGCGTACCGACACTCTCTCTCGACAATGATAGGCATGCGCGCACGAAAAGCAGGCCTGGCAGAAAGAGCTCGGGCAGGAGCTCGGGCAGGAGCAGACTGGGCAGGAGCGTTTTCGGTGGATACGGGCTCGGGAGAAGCGGGCTCGGGAGTAGCGCGCTTGCGAGAAGCAGCTTCGGCGCGCTCTGCAATGGCGGGCGTAGTGGAAGCGAGGCCAGCTGGACCAGGTTCTCCAAATATGTCGAAAAAAGAAAAGTCCGCGAGAACTTCGTCGGCGGCATAAAGATCAGGAGCCGGCTCTTGAGGGGTAGGGTTAGAATGGCCTTGTTCATCAAGATGCGGCTGAGGGACGGTCAGACGAGGCTGTTGAAGTTCGAAGCGAGACAGAGAGGGCGGAAGCACAGCGGTATCAGGGGCAACTTGCTCATCACTGACCCACTCGTCAAAAGCCAGCTCAGAACGAGCCCGCTCAGGCAGAGAAGGCTCAGGGCGAGGAATGTCGCAAAAAATGGGATTGCCTTGTTCATCCCAACCTCCAGGAGGCAGGGAGGGAAACGGTAACTGTAGCTCGGAATCGTGAGGCTGACTACCTCCTATGACAGTATCGGCGCCAATGAGTTGGGGATCGTCGCGTGAAGGAGCGGGATTCATGGTAGAAAAGGCAATTGATTCGACAACAGTCGATAGAGAGGGCACAGCGGCGACTTCGCCAATCTATCTTCCTTGAGCAGATGGGTAGCCGCTAGGTTGGTTGATTGGGTCCATACCATCAGGTCCGTAAACTACTTGGGTTGGGTGGTTGAGCAGGCTCAACTCCCGGTCGCTGAGGGTGGAACTACCACCTGTATGGTTGTTTGCATAATGAAGACTATCGGTAGACAAGCGGACCTCAATGCGTGAGGCGGGGGAGATGCTTCCAGGAATATGTCTGATCGGTGAGCTGTCGTTCGCGAGGTTGGCTAGGTGGATAGGAGATTGAATGTTGGCCTCAGTGACGTTGCTTAGTGGATTGTGCTCGAGAAGCTCTTCGTGACCGGTGGGTGTAATACCAAACTGCGCCTACTATAATTAGTGTTCGGACTGAGTCAAATAACAAATAATAAGTAATAATTTGAGGCAAATGAGGTAAGTAAATCGAGTAACAACGCAAATGATCTAGTTGGACCCGCTTTGATTGCTTGTTTGGCTCAGATTGCGTACTATGGCTCGTAATATTTGAAGGGGTAGATTTTGGCTGGGAATCCAGATCTTTCTAATGTCTGGATCCTGGTGCCGTATCCGTTCAAACGGGGTATAAAAAGTCTACTCCCAATACTACATTAGTAGGGTTCTAGCGCCCGTTTGAGGGCGTTGGGGGGTACGTACTAGCCTTATTAATTTATTTAATATATAGTAATATTAATATAATATTAAAAAGAAATTAAGCTACTTCTATACTCCCTAATTACTAATTATATATACTAGGCTCCCTTACCTTCCCCCTAACCTTCGTTATTACTTTTATTATCCTTCTTTATTACTTTCTACTATTAAGATAGCGGAGAGTACTTCTACCGTTAATTCTTCTTTAGTAGAAGTAATTAGCTCCCTTACTACCCCTAATACTTTTACCGCTTTATAAAGGACCTAATAATTTTAAATTAATATTTTTTAATATATTAAAGAGTTTACTACTAAATTAAGGGATAAGGTACATTACTTCCCTAATACTCCGCTAGAAGTATTAAAACTAACTGCTAGCGTATATATTATATAAATACTCTTATAAATAAGTAAATTCCCCTATATTAAATATAGGGGAAAGGAATATGTAATTAATAATAAGCTGGAGTATTAATAGCCCCGTATATTACTAATTAAATACTATAGTATTTAGTTTATTAAAATTAAAGAGGAGGTAAAAGATGGCGGCGTTATTATTATAAAGACCGTCGGGCAAGCGTAATTTTACAGTAGTTATAATTAAATATATCTTAGTACTACTACGAATTCTACTATCAGCCACCTTAAATAGATTTACAACGTTGAAGGATTTAACGAAGGAGACGCGCTGCTAATTAAATACTTAATAACTTTAATTACTTAGAATATATATTAATAAATTGTAGAAGCTTACAAATTAAAGTACATTTTAATCCCTAAACCTATTACTAATGCTTTTAAAGAATTATTATTTAATTAGGTTATTAATTATAACGTACCTTTTAATAGTATTACTAACCCGAGTTTTTATTAACTCTTATCCCTTCTTACCTCTGAATTAGTAACGAAATTATTACTCGAAGACGGGAATACAATCAAATCTTGGGTCGACTACAATTATTTAAAAGAATTTTAGAATATTAAAAATATGCTATTAGCAAGCCTATTTAAAAAGTATATCTCTTTTAATCTCTAGACCTTTAGCAATAACTACACTCTATTAGGGGTCTATATTTACTATATTAATAAGGATAGGGTATTATATAATTACCTCCTTAATCTATATTATATAAAGGAGGGGTACAATAGTACTAATATTACGTTAATTATTCTAAAAGTTCTTAATTAATTTAAATTGCGGGATGAAAATTAGATTGGCTACTTCTAGTACGATAATACAAAGTTAAACAATCTTTGTATTATTTACTTTATTAATAGCTTCTATTCTAATAAGAATTTTCCTATCCTTAAATTTAAAATCAAGGAATATTAAATTCGCTTCTACTTATATTACTATAGTTATATTTTAAATTTTGTAGTGAAGGTTTTCTTAAAGGGGGATTTTCGTAGTCTTATTAAATTTATATTCGAGGATAATAAAAAAGTAGTAATAAAATAGTAGAAGCGGGGCCCTATTAGTAAATTATATAATATAGTCACTTTTGTACGCCGCTTTTCCTAATTGTCACGTCACGTAGATCTCGAGTGCTGGGACACGAATAATCAGACGAATGTAATAAATAATTAAAGATGAAGAAGAAGAAGAAGCTAACTACATCGGATGGAAGGAGTGACAGCCTTATATGCTTGAGATGGAAGGACTGAACATGCACGTGATCCAGCATGTCTGGCAGCGCCATGACATCACCCCCCCCTTCGAAGAAGACTCAGCCCCAGAGTCGAAGAGAAGTAAAGATTGAGATGACAGGACCCGACAATCTGGATGGGTACACCTGACATCATAAGAAGCAACGCGATCTAGAACATGTGAAAGAAAAGGATGAGATGGAATCTCAGCATCTGGTACGGCTACTATACGCCATGCGCTCCAGCTTGCGCTCAAAATCAGGCTCAGAATCAATTGAATGATCACATCCGAACTCATGACCAGAATCCTCTTCATCGTCGTCATCGTCGTCATCGTCTGATTCTACATCATCAGATAAGAGACCTTCAACCATATGCAGCTGCGCCCGAGAGCGGGACGGTCCGGCCAGCTCTAAAGTTGAGATAGTGGCTGTTGATTTCTTAGCTGCTTGGATGGCATCGATCTCCATAGCATCTTTATCTTTAGATTTATGGATAGAGTTCACGACTTCTTTGAGTTTTTGTACGTAGTCCACGTAAGTAACCGGAACTGGGCGGAGAAGTTGAGCACGTTTGCGAGTGTCCTTGTTGAGAGCTTGGCGGATGAGAGAGATTTTTGCTGGTTCAGTCCAAAGGTTGGCTTTTGCCTTATAGAGAAGCCTTTCAAACTTAGCCATAAACAGACCAAAGCCTTCATCACCTTGGCGGAGTGCGTAGAGAGCGTTTTCGGCTTGCTGGACTTTGTGAGGATCATCGTAGATGCGGTTCAGTTGATCGAGCAAGTCTTGAGGATCGAAAACCTGAAGTTCCGAAGCTTGTTGAACCTGGGGCATCACCAAGGCTTGGATCTTTCCATCGAGCCGGGAGAAGAGATACCAGAATTGGGCTTCAGTATTGCCTATAGCATCTCCATCGATCCTGAGTTTCGCTTGGATAGAAGGGAGCTAAGTCTCGAAGGTGTAAGCAGCGCCGTTGAACTTCTCAACATCAGGAAGTCCAGCCTTGGGTTTTGAGCTAGACTTTGGAAGCGCTTGAACCAGGGCGGTGTTATTGTCAAGTGCCTTATTCAAGGTGACGATATTCTTCCTGAGTGCAGAAAAGGCCTTCTCGCATTCATCCATGCGATTGACTTGCTTCTGAAGGTGGTCGGCCAAAGACTCGAGGCTCAAGATAGGGGGTTGTGGCTGCTCCTCGGCCATGGTCGTGAACAGCGGCGATGGTTGCTCTGATGATCCGAGAGATGCCGTGAACAATGGAGAGAGCAGAGTGATAGGGAACGAGAAAAGAGGAAGTGTCTGACCTGGTTGTCGTTGATGTTGCCAAAGTGGGTCTATAGTCGTTGGCATTGGTTTTGAGACAGGGGATACCAGACGAAATACGGCTCAATATAGCGGGAATCTGGCATATGTTTCGGGAAGATACCGGATAACGGGAATCCACACCACGACGCCGGCGGTCTGATGATGAGCTGTCAGATCCAGTGTTTGCCTGTTGAAGAGTGGAGAGATGAGGGGAATAACAGAATTTGAGCTGGGCTGTCAGAACCAGGAAAGAAGAGAAATGGGCTGAACCACGTTGGATCGCGGCTGAGGTCCCGAATGGAAGGGTCGCTGTTGTACTGCATCTTTAACCTTAGACCAGCCGTTCAATTGGTAATGAATCCGATGTCATTTGATCCGATCTAGAGGGCCATAGCTCCAATGAAGAGATGTGATGATCTGTCATCCCAAGAGAGTTCGGTTCTGGCGATGCGCGCCCAGTTTTCGAGTACAGCTGCAGATATCGAGACAGTCCGATGTTCCGGAATCCGCGGCGGTTGGGATGAGAGGGAGTTTGATATAATACGACCCGTAGGAAGGATCTTTAATTAAGTGTCACGTCACGTAGATCTCGAGTGCTGGGACACGAATAATCAGACGAATGTAATAAATAATTAAAGATGAAGAAGAAGAAGAAGCTAACTACATCGGATGGAAGGAGTGACAGCCTTATATGCTTGAGATGGAAGGACTGAACATGCACGTGATCCAGCATGTCTGGCAGCGCCATGACACTAATGTAAGGATAAGTTTATTAATATTGCAAAAAGGAACTTAATTATTTAAGAGAAGGAAAATTTTAGCGATATCTTTATTAATCTTAATCTTTATACTACCAATTTTATTATTAATAATAATATTCGCTAGAATTCTATCTTCTTTATAATTGAAAGGGCGTTTAAATTGAGGGATATAATTAACTATTTCTACCTTTAGAACTACTATTAATATAATTTTAATAAAAGAATACTAATTAAGGATATTTTAATAAGTAAGGACTAGGAAATACTTAATACTATTCTCTACCTATTCGAACCGTTTAAGAAGATTACTAAAATATTTAAATAGAAGAAACTATACTTCCCTATAGTATTTATTACCCTTTACCGTATTATTAATAATTTTAAAATAGAGCGTAACTATTATAATAAGAAGATTACAATAGATTAGTTTAAAAGATTAGATATTTCGGATTTATTTAATGAGGGGTAGGAGGATAATAGCGAGGACTTTAATAGCGGTAATAATATTCCTCTTTAGAATATTTCTAGTAATAATTAGAATTAAAATCGACCTTACTATACTATAGTTCGACTATACTATTTTAATAGGCATAAATTAGATTTGCCTAGTACTTAATAATATAATAATTATTAATTAATAATCTCCTCCCCTCTAACCGGCAATTAAATTCGCTATGGTAGTCCCTCCTGCGGTAGTCCCTCTTACAATAGTCCCTTTCGTAATAATTCCTCTTATAATTAATTTCCCTATACTAATTAATACTTTAGTAATTAATATTCTAGTAATTAATTATTTAATAATCAACCTAATTAATTTCCTCCTCTCCCTACCTTAATTAATATTAACTACTTATTTATCCAGTAAAATATTAATTATATAATTACTAAATTCGAGAAATATATAGAGCTTATAAGTAAATTATTATTATACTAAATTACTATAATTCTCTACCTCGGGTATAGGAAGAAGTATTTTAAATAAAACTATTATATAAGAAGGGTAATAATATTATTTATTAATTTAAGGTTATCTATTATAAGTATTATTTAATAAAAGACGTCCGTTAAGAAAGTAATTAGTATTATACTAACTATTGTATCTTCGACCCCAATATTATTATTTATATAATACTAGCTTCCTCCCTAGTAGAATATATATACAGTTAATTAATACCCCTAGGGTATTATAATACTATATTATTACCGCCGTTATTTAAGGAAGAGCTTGCAATTTACTTTAAGGAGAAGCCTAAATAGATAATTAACCCGCTAGAGTAGTGGGTTAGAGAAGAGGGAAAATTCCTATATATATTAAAGTTAACGTTCGATTATTTATTTATCCCCTCAATATCTAACGAATGTAAAAGGGTATTTAGTTTAGTAAAGTAGGTATTGGGTATATAGAAAAATCGTTTATAGTACGATACAATTAATAAACTATTAAGTTTGAAGGTATAGAACCGTTTAGATAATTAATTTCCTTTATCTTTATTATAGTATTTTTCCCTGTGTTTTTATTGTATAATGGTGCCGATACGGCTAATAGAAGTATATAATTACTAGTATGCCGGGACGGAAAAATGGGTATCCGAGATTGTAATCGAACTGAGGGAAATGATTTTGGTTGTGAAATAAGGTAAATCGGGGGATTTGGAACAATTTGAGGCAAATCGACCGAAATATTTTATTTGTTTGACTCATTCCGAACGCTGCCTATAATGCTTCATCGTCAACGAATGCCGTAGTACTGGGTGAATATGGGAAAGCAGTGATCGTACCTGCAAATTGGGTGCCGCGGAGCGGCCATAGGGCTGGTTCATGATACATGCGGGTCGCACTGAGCCCAAGCAACAAGGGCGAGGAAGTCACACAAGGGCCTGCTTGCTTGGCCTTGAAGAGATCGAGCGAGGTAGGGCGGTATATAATGGCTAGATCTACAAGATGACTGTGTTAGCTTCAGGTTTGGTCGATCCAGTGTACGTTCTCCGTATCACAGCTGTTGACGATGCAGGTAGTGTACTGGGGGTGGCTCGGATGGGACTTACATGATGGGAAGAGCGCAGATGAGCGTCGTAAAGGCGGGCCCAGTATGCGCACTGCGTCCGAGAAATGAGCCAGCTTCAAATTGGAGAAGAGCTGTCCCGTGGAAAATAAATCGACGATTTGCTCTGGTGGACAACAGAAGATGCGCCACTCTCCTTGACCAGGCGCGGCGGGCACAACTGCTTCACTGGGACCTTCGCCGGACGGCAGAAGATTTTGTGCCAGCAAGATAGGATGCGTCTTGGGTTACGAATAGTCGATGGGGATCACCGAAGGACTGATGTTCGAGTCCTTGTGTGGTGTTCGAGTTCAAGTGTGCATGAGGGGGAGCAGATGGATGGAGACGGTTCGAGATGGGTTGGGACGCGGGACCGATGCGGAGCAAGTAGAGACGGGAGTGCAGGCAGAGGCTGCAGTGGAGGCAAGGGCACACGTCTACACAGTACGCAGCGCCAAGCATCGGACACCGCAGCTCGCAGCTCAGAAAGCTAAGGTATTCCGACCCTATTCGTTCTTCGGGGCCTCCCGTACCCTGTGTACTAGTACTAATTATGTAAGATTCCGCCACAGACCAGATACAACCGACATTCCATCGTCGAGGGAAGAATCCATCTTGTCAAAAGGAACCTCCCCGATGTCCTATGGCCCCAGGATCCTGTATGTGGGGAATATAGGATAGATCCAGGAAGAGTTTGATAGAATTACGAGAGAATGATATACATTATACGAGGAGATGGTGTTGGAAAATATTGTAGTCGTTCTGAATACGCTATCTGAAGAAGAGCTTGCTAGAGGTATGTCAGACCGGGCTGTCGGTCGGTCAAATACAAGGCAGTTTACTCCTCGGCCATCGTGCTCCAGTTCTCTCCCCCCGGCCACGTTCCTGTGATATCGACGATATTTTATCTCCCTTGCCTTCAACGACACTCAAAATGAGCGCCTGGCGTACGTCGACGAACACGGTTGTAGTTGGTTAAGTAGCCTTTTGGACACCACCACTCAACATCCCTCCGGCAGCACCGGGGGGTCCTCCTCCTCTTCCATTGCCATTTCTCTTCTTCCTACTCCCTACATCTCCTTTCTTGGACCCTCCACCCCCAGCACGCTTTGCCGCCTTTCCCTGCTCACGCCTGTTGCGCTGCCTGACCCCCTTAGGTCTGCACCTTTCGCAATACCGACCTTCTACTGGCATTTCACTTCGTATGCAGCTAGTCAAGTATGATATCCGCGAAAATACCGCTCATCAACAATGCGACGAGTTTCGTCGCTTGGCGAAATCTCCAAATGACCCCAACAGAGCGAGCTGTGGTTGCCTAAGCCAAAGCGCCGCAGTAGTTGCAGGTAGCGGTGATATTAACAGGAGGACGAGGTGCATGTGGTCGAGCCGACTGAACAGCGGGAACTTGTACCGGCTCAACAGCCTCAACTAGGACTTGCTCCATTGGAGCTAGCTCGACGGGAGCATGCCCGACTGGAGCGGTCTGATTGGGAACGGAAATGGGTCTATCCCGGCGAGCAGGCTCGGGGGGAAAGAACTCATCAGGACGCGGTTCAAGAACTTCTTGGCGGAGATGGAACAGTTCATCCTACTCTGCAAACAGATCAGCAGATGCAGTGGTTTCTTGATAGCCACGTTCCGGAACAACGATATCTTGTAGAGGGAGATCCCGCGGTATCAGCTCCGGAAATAGCGGATCCAGAGTGATGGGATGTAAGAAGAGATATCTGGGGAGAGCGGGATCGGGGAGAGAAGGCTCTGCGAGGTCTGCCTCGGGATGGGAAGTTTCATGGCCGCTAGGTGCAGAAATGATGGGTGCGGGAAGCACGGGAAGTATGGGTTGGTGTAGAAGCCTCGAAGTCGGCGAGGGTACTGGTCGAAACTCGTCGATGTTGATGGATGTATTGAATGAAGTAGTCAATAAAGTAGATCGGCGGTTGGGATCATGAGTACTATCCCTGGAGTGGTCGGTGGGAGCTTCTTCGATCGTCGGAGTCGCGTGAGGGTCGGCGACGTCAAGAGCCGGCTCGCCGGTGGTAGTGACCATGATTGGCTGTGAGGGCTCGTCGTCCCGAGGACGTATATTGGTAGCTCGGCCGTGTGTTCGCTGTTATTACTTTGTGTTAGCAATTCCGTGCGTAGTTCGCCTGTGAAAGAAGACAAGTCCTACCTGCAGGTTAGGGAGACGCCGAGTAATTCGTCGGCTCGCTTATAATGTAGAGCAGGGATAACAAAGCGAGGCGGGAGAGTGATGGCTTCTGAGTTTTGACCACGTCTTTCTGCCCAGAAGGCTATGGCTGTGGTAAGACAAAGGATGGGTGACCAAGACGAATTTGGCACGTCGTGAGCAGCGAGCTCTTCGATTCTTTGGTGTCCTTCGACAATGATGTTGTTGGCTCTGTACCGCGTACGCCAATGAGATTCTCTCTGAGTCTTGCAGGCCGATGACGGGGACGTGGCTTGTATGGAGACTTTCGTAGTTGTAAGCGTTCGGACGAGCTAGGTACCGTGGCACGGTCGGCAATGACAATTCGCGCAAAGAAGTCGCTGTGTACAGTGATTCGAGGTTGCTTGACGGCGGGCGCTGTACCCGAGGAGTGACGATAGTGCGCAACTGCGTCGCGAAGGGCGAAAGTGTCGTGGAAACAGTTGCGCAGTACTAGAGGCAATCCTACCGCGCTTCTCGACGAAGATGCTCAATCCGCTGCTCGTCGGCGCTTCGTGCTTTGTTCGGGGGCAGAACTCGTCAGGAGCCAAAGAGGGGACAAGGGTAACAAAGACGATGTTTCTGGGTTACGGTAACAAAGAAAACGGATATCACCGCGGGAGAAAAGGCATGCAGGGAAGAATGGCAGGCGGCCGGGACGTACTTTCCACAGTCCGCAGCGCCAAGCATTTGGAGCTGGCTGGAGCCGCAGCTCGGAAAACTCCGATATTCCTCTCACATGTTTCGCGCCTTCCACGGCCAAGAGGCGCGCTTGCCGCGCTTAAGCAAGTTCAACCGACGCCTGTTACCCGGGCAGCCAACTCTCCTCAAGCGAACAAAGGCGGCAGAACGTACCTGCTTCCAGCTCGCCAACGGATACCGCCTTCATCCTCCTCCTTCGCAGCACGTACATCGCCTAATTTCGTTCAACGCGTTCCAGCCACCATGCCGGCACGCCATTCGGGCTCAAGCTCACAGCAACGCAAAGGCTAGGGGTCGTAAGTAGGTAGACGAGAAACGTGAAATATGCAACGACAAGAAGCTAATCAGCAAAGAAGGACGGCAGTTCTTCCCATTTAGGATCACCGAGTCTTGCCGTCGCTACCCCAAGCACTACCTCTAGGTACCATATCCCGTCAAGGCTGCGCAAGAACGATCGAGATATATACGGGCCTCTCCACATGGGAACTGGCGAGAAGGCAACACCAACATTCATCTCGCTGATGGCTCCGTGAAGCGGTGATCACAGAAACATTCTGACGCGCTACTCTCGTCGTCAAGTTGGATGACACTTGCCGACGGCGTGATGATCTTGCAATTTCAAAGGGCTTCCGACGAGTGGAACGCAAGAGCCAGTATCGTTCTATCCCCTCTTTGGAACGCGATCGCTAACTGCTTCCACGTATGACAAGTCAGGACAAACTACGAAGAAATCCTCCTCGAACGCCGAACGATGCCCTCTCCCTCTACCCCGAGGTGACGTACCTACCGCTCCGCCGACCGAGGCTACCTGAAGTCCGATACGCTCCCCCGCCGCCATATATTTGGGCTCAGACCGTACCTACGAGACCGTTGCTCGTTTCCCTGTCTGGTCATGACCGATGTACCAATAGACCGTTCGAGCTCGAAGGAGGATGTCCGATCGCCCACAGCTCACTTGGCGCTTTAGCCCTCACCATGGCTCGTTGGGGCACACTCAACGGAGAGGTATCTGAGTGAACAAAGCAAGCGAGCTGTCGGTGCCAGAACAAGGATCCGGAGTACGGACAAAGGGGGGTGAGCGAGACTGGGGGGAGTGCAGCAGAGGTGGACCAACGTAACTCTATCTGATCATCGGGGAGGGGCAGCGAGCCAAGAGTTGCCTTGTATCATATAGCTGCCAAGGGCTGGTCTTGCCATATGGATGGAACCGTGAGAGTCACCTATCCAGATGACGCCAACAAAGCCATCAGGCGTCATCAGCAGTCAGCGTTCTAGACCGATACAACTAATTACTGAAGGATATAATGATGAGCAAGGCGATCTCTGTTATGAGTTCACAAGGCCAATCCACTCGGTCATGGTTCGCTGCCCTGAGCAAGATGGAAGTCGCTTCTCCATATGAAAGTGGGCGGCCCATCCCGAGAACTGACGACGGCAAAAGACGGGCACGCAATTGGGCTGTAGACTAGGGAAGAAACAATAATCGGCTTAACTCTAGAGAAGTTTGTTTGGATCGAGTATGGAACAGCGTAGGGGTATCTTCGTTGTCACTGCCACTACATGTGTCTTGTGATCGATGACTGTGGGTAATTGCAGCTGCAGCGGCAAGCAGGAAACGCATGGACGGACTCGAACATAGGATTCAACAGAGGAAGAAAGTAGATATCAATACAAGAGATGACGATATGAAAAGTAGTGACTCTTAGCACAGTCATCATGACTCGTCCAGAGATTGTTGTCTTGCGTCACACTTTGCATCCCAACACTGCGACCGACGCCTTATAATCCAGTTAACGCCAAAAAATGACCAACGACCTCATTATTCCTCTAAACCTTCAAATTACCGTCCAATCCTCCGCGCTCCTTTTCCACGTTATCCCCATAGCACTCACGTCCGCCGTATGTCCAGAGACTACAAGACCTGTAAGCCGTCCGGAAGGACAGCAATAACCCCGTCTGCAGTCATTGCTTGTAACTCCCTGACATGGACTGTCATCTTCGCCAGATGTTTCTGGGCTCGTCCATCTCCTTTCCAGCTTGTTGTGCGACGCAACATCCACAAAGTTGTGGGACTGGTCTTCTTCCCTCGTAACGCTGACTTCTTCTCTCCCTTTTCCTTTTCGCATCCGTATCTCTGTCCTCCTTCCGTGCTTCTGTCAGGTGGCGGCATATCGTAGCTTTTGCGCCATGGCGGTTGTCTCCTTGCATGGTTCCGTGCAGTTCTGCAGCAGTTAGCGTCCTCACTCCTCGTCGTTGGAAGAGGTAGTTTATGGCATGACGTTAAGGCCTCGGCAGTTGATTACCCATAGCGGACTGCCACCGCTTGACGTGGGATCTTGCCACCCGAGGCAGGATTGAATAAGTCCCTTATGACGTCAATCAACGTCCGCCCTACGTTGGACCACCACCCTTGATCTCTCACAACCATCGCTTGACGCCTAATTAAGGCTCCCTCAACCTGGCAGCCTTGATCCGGCCTTCATTGAGGTTTTCCAACGACGAGTTGTTCAATATCCAACGACGATGCGTAGGTTGTCCAGAGACGAGGCGTAGTCATGACAGGCCCTTAGCTTGAGCTTCTGCGGGAGCAGCCGCGCTGAGGCTGTTGATCCCCCTGATTCTCGTCCCAGAGCTGTGGAGCTGGTTTGAACGCCCAGAAGCCCAAGCTCAAGCACCCCTTGCTGCACGACGTCTCTGCTGTATCGGTATCCAGATCCCTTCTCACCACGCCTTCCGGTCTCGCCGGAAAAGGACTCCCGATGTCGCTAGACGTCAAGGATGCCGTCGCCGTCTTTTGTTCGTCACCGCAACCGAGGAAGCACGGTGGTAAGGCTATGACCGGTTGTCGTCGAGCGTCGGATCGGTCGGGGCTCAGGGGTGGAACAGTAGTGGCTGCGGATCCGAATCCGAGCGCCTTCAGTGAAAGGCAACGAGCATCGGCGGTGGTTGTAGGTAGGAACGGTCGGTTGGTACGAATGGTCGGATGCCGAGGAACGAAACGGCGGTGGTCAAGGCGCCAAGCGGTGGTACCGAATACCGGGACCGGGGAAGAGAGACAATGATGGGAGGCCTGTGACAACGCTATGTAATAACCGTGGGTGTAAGTAAGGTAACGGACGACAGTACCTGGATAGCCAGGCTCAAGGCTCAGATGCTGTGTTGAAACCTCCTTCTCTCCGTACTTGGAGCGGCGAGTTTGTCGGGTCTTCACGCTCCCTGTTTCTCTCCAACTCTTGTTGGTCCTTGCTATTAGCAGCCTTGTATTATTCTGACCGTCTTAATCGACGTTGACGCAACTAGCGAACGGCCTGCACCTTGGAAATGGTTCGTCGTCGTCGTGGTTGAGATCTGGAGAAAGGGTAGTTGTTAGTCTGGGCCGACTTATACGGATGTGCAGCGATACCTCATCCGCGGTGGTTCGTGGAGGTACACGTCCACATCCATGGCTGAAAATGCCGAGACGCCGTCCATCGTTGTAAACTCCATATGTCGTAAGTCCTTGTGGAAGGAGTCAACTGTCCTCGGAAAAACTTTCATTCAGTAGAAGTCCACGTCTGGAACTCTGTGCTCGTTCAGAATCTTGCGAGAGGCCAAACATTTGTTCGACTTATACGGTTGGAAACCTTCAACAGCAGGTTTCGGAATACCAGTCAAACTGCTATGGCGATGAAGCTGCGAATAGTTAGATGTTGCTCTCTTCTTTTTTACTTCTTGGGCTTTTGGTACAACTACTTACCTGTCCTTCCACCAGCTTGACGGCCATCGATTTGGGTTTGCAATTTCCAGTAGCTGGGTACGTACTGTTCACGGTATTGTCCCCCCCTGTACGATTCGTAACGGTCGTTTCAATCGTGGCCGGCAGGAAGTGTCCCACGCCTGCGCATCCATTGATTTTGCTCTTCGAAACTATGGTCGAAATCGCTCCGACGCCTCAATAGTCGACAGCTCGGTATGTATCACGCCCTCTTCCATGCAACCCATGCCTTGAATTCCAGACCGAGCCCGATCTCGTGTGCATCGACTCTCTCTATAGCCCCTCTTCCATTGCGCCTTCTTGGTTGTCTCGGTCGTTTGTCAGTCGTCTAACACGACCACAACTGTTTGCATCTAGGTCGCAGCGTTTCCTTTGGGAACAGTAATTTGTCTCGCTGGTGTCGCTTTAGTCGTAGCGGTCACGAGCATGGCTTCAATTGTTCAAATCGTCGGAATCGTTGGGATCGCTCGGATGGGATCGTATCGGCCGCGTCGATCGTGTATCAGTTGTCGAGTTTTGATCCTTCTCTTTCCTGCGATCCATGCCCAGATCGCTAGACTGAGCCCAGTCTGGTATTTGTCTACCCTCACTCGGTTTAGGTTCCTTCGCTAAATCTTCTAATAGTCTCGTGAATTGCCCTTCGTCGGTCGGCATCGAGCGTATCCTTCGCGTCATTAAAAGATCGGTCGTGTATCAGCTGTCGAGGACTCTTCGTTGCCTTTTTTGCTCCAGCACAGAAGTCTTCGCCCGAAGGCTTTCTCAACTGGTCGGTCCACCCGACGGCTCACTAAGGAGTTTTGGCCATAAGCCCGCCATCCCTTGGGGCGTATAGGGTACTCCCTAGCACGTGTAGAATCTTCTTAGATACCGACCGGCAGGGCATAAGCCCTTACTGGCACGGGCTGAGGTGGTTCGTGAAGTTATCGACGACACCCCGGCAGACCGTAGGGTGCCATGCGATAACAACACTGCATGCAATGGAGCTGGGTTTTCTTCCAGCTCACCGCGGGAAGGTGCCCAGGCCACAGCCCAGACAACCCTCCCGCAGAAGGTACTTTGTCGGCAAAAATCCTCACTGAATGGCCCTTCCAGGCGAGGTATGGGTCCATTCCTGGACTGTGGGACATCCCAGCCCAGGCTTTGTCCACCCTCGGTCCATTTAGGCCCCTGTTCGAACATCACCGTCCGCGACAATCACCTTCTCTTTCGGGAATATCCTTGCCTGGACCTTGTGTGGATTCTATCCAGCCAAACCCCCTGGCGTATATATTCCTCCTTTTACCTCATTTGTGGATGAGTAACTCCCAACACTTGTTTCTGTCGCCTCGGCGCGGGCCTTGGGAGGAACCGCGGGCTTGAACGGGCTCGGAGTAAAAACGCTCAATGTTGAGGTGTATCGGCTTGGTCTCGGATGAACGGTAATGGTCGCGCCCTCCGCACGGCGAGGTTGGAGAGTGCTCCTTCTTTGGTTACGGTCGCGATCGCATTTTCCCTGAATCGAGCGATGAAGGGAGGGAGGGTACGGCAACCGAACGGTCGGCTTGGACGCCGATGGGGAATATGCTTCCCTGTTATTGTTTGTCGAGGTATGACCGAGGACACCACGGTTGGCTACGGAAATGCTCGCGCTATCGGGGGTGATCGATCGGGGGGTCTCGCCGTTTGTTCTTCACTACGGCCTCAAGGACGGTCTCGGGATGGAGGAATGTACGGAGCGGGAGTGCGGGACTCGAACGATAGGCGCGAACGGTTGCGAAAAAAATCTTCATGCTTGGCAAGGTATGGTCGAAAGGCCACGGTTGGCAACGGTCTTGTTTCGCAGTAGCGCGGTTGGGGGATCGGTGCCATTGTATCTCCTGGATGCTGTCGCGGCACGCTCCGTTTAGAATGAACCGATATAGCGAGCATCATTTCGCTGCCCAAACGATGAGCTCGAATAGTTACGGAGAGAAGGGTTCATCATTTTGCAATGTATGGTCGAGGATGCCTGGGCTGGCCATGGACTGGCTCGCGATTGCGGTGGCAACCGATGGATTGGGACGGGTCATGGCCATTCGAGGCTGCTATGGTCGTGACATCTTCAGCAGGGAGCGGTAGTAGGCACGGTGGCGCGAGGGTGCAGGCTCTCTAGTCAGGCATGTGTTTGTTAGCCTTCGGGGCAGCAAAGGAAATGTCAACAATGAAAGGGTTAGCAGTGGCTTGGCCGCCGCCACGGCACTTCTGGTGATTGCTTCACCTGTGGCTGGCAATGGGTGTCCGAGGACAGAGGGAACTGATGGCTGGCATCGAGGATGAATGTGGTGGGAACACCCTGCGTGGTGCATGGGAGCCGGGGGAAAACATGGGGTTATCTGGGGAACGCGCACGCGTAGCTGACGCGCTCTCCATGGTGAGTGAGGATGATGACAAACACCTTGTGGACGAGAGATGGCTGGTGCTGCCTTTCCCTCCAACTCTCACTGCTACCCAGGTTGGGATGCGGCGGGCTCGATGGGAGGGTGGACACCTTGCTGCCGTTGGGGTAAACAAACCGACAGTCACTGGCCATTTTTGTGCGCTTGCACAACCTCTCCTCCTACAAGTGACAGGGATGGGTTGGCCAAGGTCATGAGGGAACGTTCATCGGTGACTTCCGACGGCGTAGTGGGTCCTCGACGCGTGCAGCAATTCCCTTCGCGCATAGGCTGTTTGTGCACAGCGGGCAGAAGTGAGGGAGTGAAGCAGCAGTCCATGAAAGTTACGCAGGATAGGTACGTTGTACACGTCAACAAAGACTTAACATGTCACAAGGGCATTCTTTGATGTTGGCGAGGGATCAAGGAAATTGATACCTCCAGGGAGGGGAACAAAGCAGGCCAGCATGGACGGGCAAGGAGTCTTTCAGATGGTCATGAAAGCACTGGACTGGCCACTGGGGGCAGGAGCAGGCACAGCTCCAAAAACAAATGACAGCCCAAGTCCTCGCCCAAAAGGGGATAGCGCCTTCCCCTATGTCACTGTTGGCGGAGCAACTAAGGTATCTCGGTATCCTCTGTGAAGGAGCGACAAAGTGCACGGGCAGGCGTAATCCTATTCAGAGCGATCGTTCCTATTGTGCTATTGTGCAACGGGGGGCGGCTCCACTTGGTTCCATCCATATCCCTGTACTTGCAGCTTAAGATCCCTACCACCTTCCGAATTCAATTCACCGGAGAACCTTGATTGGCTGCACCAATAGGAGGCTCTTTCCTGACAACTTAATCTCAACGACTGTCATCCAATGTGTGCCTGGTGTCAGGCTGCGCAACGAACTTGCCTCGTATGCGAATGGCTTATTTTTTATTTTCTTTTTTCTACTTTGCGGGTGGGAATCGCCTGAAACATGCCTTTGGCTGAGCCCTGTCAGGGCCATCCAGCGTTTGTCTGTATATAATAATGGCATACCCCTTCAGGCGACCAAAAACCTGTCCTTCTGGTCGTTCGAACTGAAGAGCCGCTATGCTCTCCACTCGGTTAGTCCCGACCAGCGTTCGTCTCTTGCACTGCCATCGCAACATTAGACGAAAGCCTGTGATTAGCACAGCTGTGACGGTTTCACTCGTTAGTCCTCGTTTGCCCCTACACTGACTGTAATGTGAACAGTCCCACTGCGCGGGCCTTTCGGGCTGGTGTGGATAGCGACCGTCAAAGTGGGTTAGTGTAGTTAAATTCCTCTTTAGCTTCTTTGATGTTTTTTGTTCGTGCACTTCCTTTCAACAACATCACGAGCTGAATTTCGCATCCAAAGTGAACAGCTTTTGAGAACACAACAGTCAATCAACAAAGCATTGCCATGGCCGACATCAGTCGCAGCCAGGCCCTCCTGGGTATTGATGGTGATCCTACCAAAGGTACGTAATGTATCAGCATGCATGAATGCATGCGCGGAAAGTCGGGAAGAATGGCTTTTGTTCAGCAATATACATGCGCTGACCTACTGCATCTGTGCCCCTAGAACACATGGCTTTCAAGACCACGTTTGGTGGCCACAATGACGCTTATCCTATCGAACTCCTGAAGGACAGCTCTTACGTCTTCCCGCACGACACCAAAGTCGACACCCATTCTCATGACATCATCAATCACGATCTTCTTGATGACGCCGAGCATTTGACCGACGACACCCACGATTTCGGCATCGACAAGGAGAAGATCGGTGCCTATCGCCTTTTTACAGACGACCTCATCGATCCGATTCTCCTCAACTGGGAGAAGCTGACCAAGACCGGTGCTTTCGCCATTGGCCCTTTCCCCACTGCCATTTCGACCACCGGCAACCTTCACATCGTAAACCCCGACCCTGTGGCTGGTTTCAATGCTCATCTCAGTGCCAAACCCGACGGCACCCATCCTCACATTGCGAGCCACAAGAAGAACACTCCCAAAAAGAGAAGCAAGAAAGGCCGTAAAGGAAAGCGCCCTGGTTACTGCACCGAATGCGATGTTCGTAGGGTTTAGCAGACCGGTACGAGGCGGTGCATGGCTTGCCTTCGCAACAGACCCAGCCAGGAGAAGCAGGTTCAGATTGCCGAATGGGCCGCCCAAGGCATTCTGACGTGCACGGACTGCATCCGCCGTCCTCAGCGTGCCCCGGGAAAGTTGTGCACTCACTGCTTCAAGGGCGGCAAAGACGAGTGAACTTTGTCACCTTTACCGACCCTTATCGTCAGGAAATGGAGGGATGGGGCAAGATCTCAGGAGGCTTCCGAAGAGTGGTTTCCTGTCGAGGAACTGCGGGGAACTGGGAAAGTGTATGTGCAGGAAGCTGAGGGTGCAGGGTATGGGGAAATCATCGGATGTAAGATAGAACATACCGAGATATGAACAGCGGAATAGCCAGAGACAGCCATAAAGCACAGTCTGATAGTCATGCGCTCTGAAGATCCTACTTCTTTAAATCACAAGTGAATTATATAACACAATCATCTTCAGCCCCAACGTCCTCAATCCCATTTTCGGGGCATCCAACACGACGCGCGATGACTCCATCCAACCCGCCTCCACACATCACATCGCAATCTCCACCGATTCCAACCTACAGGTCGCTCCCGCCGCCGGGTCTAGTACCCTCGTCAAGTGTCGGGAGTGCAAAGTGGGCACCGCCTAGCAGGTCGGGGCCTACAAATGCAAGGCCTGTCTCAAGAATCAGCCAGGCGCAGCTGGCTGGGCGCAGATCGCCGAATGGGCTGCACGGGGAATCCTTACATGCACCGACTGAATGAGGCGCAAATAGCGCGCGGCCGGTGAGCTTTGTGATGAGTGTTACGAGGGCGACGAGGAGTATAAGAGTTCGAGGAAGCGATCTTTGGCACGTACCTAGCGAGGAAGATTGGTGAAGTTTCAAAGGATGTTTGGAAGTTTATGGCGGAAAGAGCGATGAGCATCTGGGACATGAACCATCGGCGCAGCATACAGGAAAGTGCAGCATACAGGAGTTCCGCTCACCGGCCACAGGGGTCGGCCTGGTCCGGGCTTCCCGCTGGAGGCGCTTGGGCAGAAACGTACAACAGTTCAACACCAGATGAAAGTCTAGAATATATACGCCAACTACGCGTCAAATTTCTGACACTGATTTTTCTCGGTGAATTGGGTCCCCACAAACTGATTCTTGAAATGCGACCGTGGAATTGCAGAGGTACTTGTGGTGCGCCCGCCGCTCCGACCTGTTTTGTGCAGTCCTTTTACAAAACAACATCACAGATCCGCGTCCAACTTTGCGTAGCGTCCAGACCTCGATATCGGCGACGATCGCAGTCCTCACACAATTGACATAGTAGTCCAGTCCATGATTACTCCCCCTTTAGGCAACCATGGACCGCAGAAAGTGTACAGGATTTCTCCAAGTCTGCATTGAGGTAGACTTCAACGCTCAGTATCCCTGGTGCTGGTTCGATAAGCAAGAAGGTAAGAATTTCTTCAACATCAAGTCACTTCATTTATATGCACTGACAATAACCTTGTCAACAGTCGACGAACTGAAGGCTCTTCAGTTTGAGTTCAGGCAGATGGTAGACCACGTTGATGAGGAAACCTGGCAGTCGATTTGCAACCACTGGGGACGGCCTTTTCTGGAGGTTCTGAATGAAGCAGCCACAATTCGATCTTCTGCGCACATGTTTCCGTTGGGACCACCTCCTCTATACCCTGAGGTGATGGCCCTACCGAACGAGCGACGGAATTTTGGGCCCAATGTTCAATCGCAAAACGAAGCCATCATCGCTCAGAATCAACTTGCTTTTATGGGCATGCCAGATGACGGCGTGCAGCACCAAGATGTCGACATCCAACAGCACAATGTCGACATCCAGCACCCCAACGTCGACTATCAGCTCCCCTTCATCGATAACCACCACCACAATGTCGAAATGCAGAACCCAAACATCAACATTCAGCAACCCAACAGCAGCGTCCACCCTAATATCGCCATTCACCAGGCTGACATCGCCATTCAAGAGCCTGACTTCGCCTTTCAGCAGCCCAATTTCGGCATTCCGCACCCCGCAATGAACGCGGTCCAGAACATGAACTTGACCATCAACAACATCTATCCCCAGCCCAACCCCCCGGCGCCGGTCCCAATGGCTAACAACAACCCCCAACACCAGTTCATTGTTCAACCCTTGGCGGCCCCCCAGCCCGTGATGCCGCCTTCCCTTGATGCCCCAGTTCTTGCCATTGATCCTCCCGGCGCCCTTCCGAGACCTGTTTCGCCGTGCACCGTGTGCCATCTGCGCCCCATCTAGCAGACTGGGGCCAGAAAGTGCCTAGAATGCCTAGCGAACCGCCCAGGCCCTCGAAAGCGTCAGGCCATGGAGAGAAATCGGCTCAACGGATTCAGAACGTGCTCGAATTGCATGTTCCGCCCTCAGAGGGCGCTTGGCCAGCACTGCCAATGGTGCTTCAACGATGCTCATGGAATTGCGAACCCCCCGGAGGAGGGTTAAGCCTTGCAGTAGGTGCGGAGGATAATGGATCTAGTTTCGGGTGAACTCAATGAGAGAGAATAGGATGTGAGGGCGAGGAGTAGCGAAGTATTTGTGAGAAGGATTGGAGGAAGGGGCGACCCAGTCAATGGACTTTGATTTCTAGCGGTGGATGTGAGTAGGTAAGAAAGGGATCAATGAGGGGAATGCAGAAACTGGGCATTCAAATAGCAGAGCTGACGCATGCCCGCCCGACATCACGATGCGCGAGCGGGAATATGGATAGCATCGCTAGGCTGCATTGAAGATAGCAATTCCGTTACCGAGTAACCTCTAGCACAACATCACGTAGACTAATGAGAATGCTTCTTCATGTATATCTACTATCTACTAACACTGCTCGCCATCAACACGAGCTTCATCTAGCCTTCCAACCAAGGCCCACCAGACCATGCTTCCAATGCCAATCGCGTCCAATCTAGCAAACTGGCGCCAGATTGTGCCTCGAGTGCTTGGAGAACGGCCCCGGCGCGCGCAAGCGGGCAGCGATGGAACTAACGTAACCGACCCATGGGCTTGAAGACATGCTCCAAGTGCATGTACCGACCACAGGGGGCCCCGGGTCGCCATTGCCAGCATTGTTTCAATGCGACACAAGGAGGATGCAGAGTAATGGCGAAGGATGGGGAAGGTGTGAGGAGGAGAATCTAGGCGCGTAGCGATGGAGGAAGGAGACGAAGCAGTACAGCAGCTCCAGCCGCTGACGGACAGAATTCGAGGGCAGGAATGATCCGTCTGGTTATGACACTCGATGGACGTGTCGGCAGCTTGGCGCAGGATGCAGATGGGTCTTGGCCAAATCATGCTGGAACACTGCAGAGATCTAGACATGGAAGCCGCACAAGGGGCTGTAATGCAGGAAAGAACAGGGCACCCAGTGGTAGCACTCAGCAAAGCAAAGACAGCGCATGGCTGCTCGGCAGGGACCAGCGAGGGGGAATTGGGTTGGCAATGTTCAGGATTGAGGTGTACATTCTCTGGGACCAACATCGTCACTCTAGCAGTTTTACGTATCATATATTCCGACGGAACATTGCTGTCCTCTCTGTCTTTGCCATATACAACTCCCGAATTCACTCTCCATTTCGTTAATAATCTTTATATCACATGATGTCTGGAAATATCCTCTCCCAGCCCCACTTCATCTAACCATGCTCGATGACTCTCCCACGGGTCACCATCAGCGCAACTTGCTAAAGTTGGAAGATGTCTGCTAGGTCTCGGCGACATCTTTATTTCACCACGTACAATATACCTCCGACTTGGGTCTTTCGTTGTATTTCTTATTTTCCTTTCCTTCCCGGCTTCCCCTAACACGACAAGCAACTCCGCTGCGTAGGCGGCTAGGTTCAGGCTTCGCGGGACGTTATTGGGTGGACCAGCTCAGCTTCAATCAACAACAGATGGAAGTCCGAGAGATAATGGGTTGAATTCATCCCTAAAGATCTCTACCTATTACCGTTGTTCTCAATAACATTTCCAACCTGAAAATTGCACAAGTGAATGTGGTCCTCAGTCCCCACTGACTTGTGTGAAGTGCGAGCTGAAAAAAAACCAAGTACTTAATCCGCCCTGCCTTTCCTACAAAGTCAGACAAGATCTCGAACTGACCATCCAGAAGTTGGAGATTCTGAACCATCAGTCACTTTCCCACGGTCAGAATCCAGAACAATTTCGATATAAACCACTCGAACATCTACGAAATGGATGCGAGTAAGGTTCATGATGCCCGGCTTCCTCCCCTGACTGATTCTTCTTCCTCACCTCAGGATCAGCAAGGTAAGTCGCATCCAAGGCCGAAATGAAATGCGACAAGCTGAGTACTGACGAGAGTACTATATACAGCCCCGACTGATTCGTCCCAACAACCTCAAGTATGCCATCAGCGGGTTAACGACATTTCAAGTTCTGTTGTCTCTAGACTTAACACACCCCATAGCCTCACCATTCTTGAAGAGTTCGAGTTGTGGGTACGAAGTGGAGAATGGAAGAAGTCCATCTCTTTTGGAGACCTCGTCTCGGTCGGAAGCGAGGAAGTCCACAAGCTTGCACTGCCTAGCGAACCACACCCGATCACCAATGGCCCCAACAACCCTAGCCTCATCAGTAACCTCTACGGTCAAGGTAATAACTCTGGACACCTCCACAGTAACAACTTCTATCAGAGCCAGACCGTCATGGCCCATAGCAGCCACTTGCCCGAGCAGGGTAGCAATTTTGACCATCTCAACACCTTTGGTCAGGACAACAACTTTGGTCAGGACAACAACTTTGGTCAGGACAACAGCTTCATCCCCGTCAATGACTTCCACGCTGAGAGCACAGCCCTCGCCCCAGCCCCCTTCACAGCACAAGCGGACCTCCATCACAACAACACCACAGCTTCTCAGAGTCTACATGCTGGCCCAGCTGAGGTCCAAGGACGGCAGTGCAGCGAGTGCAACTCGCAACCCGTCTAGCAGACGGGTGCGAGGAAGTGCCGAAGATGTCTCAAGAACCGTGCTGGCAAGGGAAGGCTCGAAGCGCAAAGGCGTAATACCGCGATGGGTGTAGGCACATGCACCAATTGTCTGTGGCGTCCACAGAGGGGACCAGGTCTCTTCTGCCAGCACTGCTACGATGAGCAGCAGGATTAGTGATTTCTTACGAAGTAGGACGTCTTTGATTCTTGGGAAGATACTAGGGGATTGACATGAACATCTTAAAGCAGATAATGAACAGAACGAAGGCGTGACGCGATAGAAATGGGACGCGGTTTCAAGAGGATATGACGGTGGACGTATGACAGCGTCGGAAGATACATACCATCTTTGCTTTCTAAACGCGTACCGAAGAAGGGTCTGTCGAACGCATATGCTGCTGATAGGTGCCAGGCAGGGAAAGATGGAATGCTAGGTAATATTTTGCTCAAAAAGTGACATGTTTGAATCCCAATAATTGACCTATCGTGATGCGTAGAATGCCTTTTTCGTATATGAGCAAAGGCAAACCGGCGTTTTCATCTGGAGTTCAACTGCGGCCAAGACATTTCAAGGGGGAAGTGGGAGGAAGGAAGGAGGACGGGACTTTCACCACGCGGGGTCAGCAGAGTGCTGAAAGCGAGAGTACATGTAGCTGAGGTGTCTAGGATGCCGGAGCAAAGGTGGCATAATCTGCGAGTAAAATTTGGAAGTGGGAAGGAGAGAAGATGGCGTGGGCGACTGGTGGGGTAGGAGCAGAGTGGGGCAGCACACACACGACGAAGCCGAATCCAGCATCGAGACATGTCGAATCAAAATAAAATCTGTTTAGTTGCTACTCATGGTAAAATCTATCGCAAATCTGGGGTTTCTTGAGAGTCGTACAAAGAGAAGAGCGTGTTTGGCCCGAGTTCGACCGACGTTCTAGTTCTGCCAAAGTCGCCGGTTGTTCCTGTCAGGCTCGGGGTATCGGCATCGAGGATGTCTCAAAACTCGACTTGCCCATTTCCCTGTGCTATCGACATGTACCTTCCTCGGAACCCTTACATCCATATCAAGTCGCCGCGAAATCAAAGCATGCAGACCCGGGACAAGTTTGATGAAACCACGAGCACATAGCGCCTCATGCCAGTAGGGCGTGCCTGCAGGTTGTCAAAACCCTGCAATTGATTGGAAATCAGACATGATGTAATGCTTGTTTGGTTGCTGACATGTGATACCCATCCCCTCGGGAGGTCCAAGGTGGTCTTTGTCCCCAAATCCTAGAATCCAAACTTTGTCTTGCTTCCTCCTCCCTCAAACACCGCTATTAGCATCATCGCCCCCTTGACTTCAACTGCTTAACCGAGTACAGCATCACCTTCCCGGGAACGGACCTGTCCTTCTGTTCAAACATTTTGTCACATATACCGAGAGCGAATCGAGACAGTCGACCGTACCTCACCGACGAAAGGACATGGCGATCCTGAAAACGACCATGCACCTTGAATCATATCCCCGACAACCGGCGAGAGCTGAAGCGATCTGCGATCAGATTATATTCACGTTGGTCAAGCGAGCAAGCGAGCAAGCGGACATACCAAACCCATTGCTAGTTATTGTGATGAACTGACCTAAACTGCCCGTGGAACCAGTCCAAGCATGCCTGGGCCAGGGTATTCATGCTAACACGAATCGAGGGCAACCTATTTTCCCGAAACCTATTTGACCGCATGGCTTGTCCCACAAAATCGCCAAAGCGTACATGGAGATTCGATCGATTGTACCTGCTGTCGCTTGTCGTGAATTCAGATCCCTGCTAATCGCCTCTCTCTACCACAGCCGCGTCCAAGTTGAGCCTCCTCCCAAGTTTCTACAAGTCCACCGTCTTGAAGACCTCGGTCGATCCTCAAAATCTTCATGGCTGTTGATTCCCCTCTCGCATCAAGTGCCTCCGAGGAAATCAGTGCAATATTCGCCACACATGGACTCACTAGTGGCATGGGATTCCGTGTCCATGGCCGCGACGGACACTGTCTTCCGGAGGCTCAACGACTTAGGTCGTACTCGGCTCAGTTGTCCAAACCGTCATCGATCGATACCTGCGCAAACTGCGCAGCAAGACGTCTAACGGCGCCCTTGTCATTTCAAGTAGGACAATGCTGGTAAGTTTCTACGGCCATTCTAGCATAACAGCTGGTGCAAGTGCCCTCGCCGCGGCTCTGTCTCTTGAGGATGGCAAGCTTCGTAAGTAGGCCTAGTTTGTTTCCCAGGTGGTCCAAGCACTTGGATAAGCGGTCGCGCGCCTTCTAAGTGCGAGCAGTGCATCCGGGGTAGCTACATGCCTTGGGATGATCAGCGTGTAGGACTTCCGCCGCAACCCAAACGGTATCTTCCACTTCCTCCCTAGGCGTGTGCTGTTTTACAGTGAAAAGCGCCTGGAAGGCGGGATACTGTCCTTGGGTGTGGTTGATTGCGACCGGATGGTTCATTGCAAGAAGATGGTTCACGCCAGGAAGCTAGTTGGCTCCGAAATGGTGGTTGACATAAGGAGGTTCATTGGCCGACACCAGACGATTACGATGATCTCTACCTTTTTGAAGGATTGAGTATTCGCCACCGTACGAGACAATAAACATCTCATGCCCGACATTCCGCTCTTTCGTGTCGTCCGTATCACAAGGACATCCGTTACGCGTTACGTGTCCTCTAAGTTGATTGAAGGATTTCTATATCAAGGCAGCCATACGTCGCCGACTGAATACATAAGGATTTTGACAGACTCTATCTTAGTATATACAGACCCGAAGTCTCATCGACCTGTGGAGGCTACGAAGCATTGATGCAGGCGAGACTTCGCCTTCAAAGCCATATTCAGACATCTGTCGGCGGCTGTCAAAGTGGATAAGTTAACATCAACGTTGAGAAGTCTGGAACAAGATAAAGTATGAAGACCTTCTCCTTGATGGATGTAAACAGTTTGAACTATCTACCGGGAAGGTCGTAATGCCTGGATAACGGTACCTCTACGCATCCGGAAAGCATGAAGTTCAACCCATTGCCCCGAGGTCCAGAGGACTAACTCCCACACGAAGGTCCTGACCGACGTTGAACAAAATGAAATTTCGAGACCTTCTCCTTGATGGAGGTAAATCGTTTGAACTATCTACCCGGCAGGTAGTTCGTACTGCCAATCCCCCTAAAGTTCAATCCCCTCCCCATAGCCCTCGACGTCCTCGGCCTCGACACCTCGGTTGGAGAATTTACTTCTAAACCCTGCTTCGATTTAATCCCCGTTCGCTTGTCTGGTCTTATGAGGTACATTCCATGGCGCCAATGCGGGAGATCCATTGCTATTGTTTGACACTCCATCTTCGTAACGGAGACTGGCCGTGAGTGTCCCTCGTAGGCCATCTCACTTACTCCGCCTCGCCACCAGCTTGCGCCGCATGCTGTATTGCGAGACGTCTCGCAACGCCTCTGGAGTTGCACTGATCGCAGTATCTGCCGGTCTCAACCGGCATGAACGCGTAGCAACTGCTACACGTTCCTTCTCCGCGGGACTGGCGGATCAGAATCTCCACCGTCATACTGAGACCGGGCCGATTGCCCAAATGCTCGAGGCACGAGCGACTACGCGGCCCTGCCTTCTAAGCGCGGGCATTGCAGCCAGCGCGGCCATTGCAGCCAGCGCGGCCACACTGCTTCTGGTGCTGTGCGTGGAGCACAGCTGCGGCTTCCCTGACCATCAGTTCAATTTCATCAGTTCCAGTGGCCGGAGTGATGGTCAGGAGTGCGAGCACCGCCGGATGTTCAGCTTCGGGATGGGGAATGATTTGCTGAACGGGAGGAACCGGCTGTTGATCAAAAAGGGCCGGATGCTGATGGGGAGCCATTTGCTGGTGGGGAGCCATCTGTTGATGGGGAGCGAATTGCTGATGGGGAGCCATTGGTTGCTGGGGAGCCATTTGCTGATGAGAAGGAACCGGCTGCTGATAAACAGGAGCTGGATGCTGCTGAGGAGCAACATGTTGATGCGGAAAAGCTGGCTGTTGATGGAGAGGGAATGGTTGCTGCTGATCAGCCATCTGGTGGTGAGGAGCCGGATTCTGGTGAGGTGCCGGATGCTGGTGAGGAGGATCCGGCTGCTGGATCTGGTGGTGAAGAGCTGTTTGATGATGAGCCATCTGCGGCAGATGGAGCGGGTTAGCGGGAAGCATTTGGTAATGTGCTCCCTGGCCTTGCGGGCCCACCGGAATGCCCTGATGGGGCTGGGGTTGCTGTGAAAAGTTAGCAATGCTCTGCATCTTCATCTCCTTTTAGGTCGAGTACTAACGTTAAACTGGTTGAAAGCGCTAGGATTCGGAATCATAGCGGAGGCTTGATCCACGACAGCCAGGTTATTGCCCTGGAGGCCATTGGCGAAGCCTGCTCCCGGGTTCATCATGGGAACGCCTGGCTGGTGGTTGACTCCTTGCGAATGAGCAAAGAAGACTCCATATTGGGCGTTATAAAAGCTTGCCCAATCCATGGTCGCTACCTAGTATCTGGAGTTCTTCCAGGGTTTAGAACTCTTGATCGTGAACGTTTTTGCGATCAGGTGTTGACTGTACCAAAATGTGGTGTACGGTGCAAGAATGTGGTCGGTCGAGAGAGTCGTCCAGAGGAGAAGAAATACTACCACGGAAGACGGACCACTCCGGCGCCAAGAATCCACTACTGCACTGCGGTGAAGGCAAAAGAGCAAACGGAAATATACCTATAGAACGGCACTAACTGGTATGCTTGTGGATGAAAGGGAAGAAGCCGAGGGTCGGTAGGTACAAGGATGCTTGCTGAGTGGCTGGCTCGGCACCACGGAAGGGCGATGAATATTGCAAGGTTTGGAGGACACGCCACCATACGATGATACAGTGGGGATTCCACGCCCAATATTTGGGTTCCTGGTCTCATCTGTATCAGAAAGAACATCTGTTATTGCCTTTCACCGAAGAGCGTGGAAGCGGTTGAGTGCTGCTGTGGCTGTACCTATGAGGCCAGGACATGAGCCCTGCTAACTCGGGTAGGTACGTACCTCGAGAGGCAGCCCAAAAGAGCCACTCAGTTCTGTGAATTGTGGGCGAACTCGGGATGGCTTCGCGAAGGACTGCCGTCGCGGCTAAGGCTGATCATAAGCGCTGGCGGTATACACACACTCTGGTCTCTGCGACACTGTGCGATACCGGCACGCTTAACGACTTCTGTGATAGCAATCTCTTGGATCTTTTCTATCTAGGAGAAAGCTTCAACGTGAACGAGTGGAGGAAAAGAAGCTTGAGATCTTGACGTCGTCTTGATCTATCCTAGGTCGCTACCTAGAGGTATGTACAACTTACGCCCCCTATTACCTATCTATATCAAGTTTCCGCGTGATCAATGAACTACCCTCTCACTGGAATATTACACCGTCCCATCTCAGTAGGAAGCCTGACAACTCCGGTACCATTTGGACAAGAGGAAAACCGTCATGTCAGGAACGGCTTTGGCCACCCCGACCATCATCCAAAACAACCCCCAAAGATATTCATTGCAGACTTCCCCTCATCGCCGAAATCGCGAGCCTCGATCATCCAATAATACCTTGAGGTAGAAGGACACTTGAATCCCGTTCAGCCCGATCTCAGCCTTGCAAGTCCGAGTATGCTCTGTCACCGAGGGGAGGAACCGCTTTCAGCCAAAGCATCTGACTGGCCTTAGTTCAAATTGCCAGCCATCGTAACAGCTGCCTCGGTAGCAGGCGGCCCTTTCCCTACACGGCTCGCATAGAGTGCCCGTTTCCCTGGGCATCCAGCGATAGTCTCCCGAGCATGAGACCTCCCCGTGGGCAAACCGTTCAAGGAGGGTGATCTTTGTCTCCGAAGAGATCCTGTTGAGCAGATGATCGAGGCAGTACTCGATCCGCCTGCCCGCCCACTGCCTTCTACATTGCAAGTATAGGCCAGGCGGTACACGTACCTACCTCTTGGTAGTACTCGATAGACCGGAAGTTCGAGGTATCTGTTAAAGAGAAGAGGCGAAGCTTTGCCACACAACCGCTACCTCAGCCGGGAAACAGATTTGAGACCAAATGAGCGAATTGAAGGGTATCACGAACGTCTATATCATTTTCTGGAGGCAAAAGCTTAGTGGCTATAGGGTCGATTTTGGTTATGTTTACAGCTATATACAAGTGTTGTCCGACCCTTAGAAGGACCGGCGTGCTGTTTTTTGTGTTCTTTTTTGTTTTTCTTCGTTCTTCTCTTGGCCTTTTCCTTTTGGTTCCCCATCTGTTCTGGGATCGGTCCAGAGAAAGAACTCTTCGCGGTGATTTGTCAAAGTTTATCCAGTCAACTTCAGACCATCTACCCTAAACGAACGTGTTCGTTCACCCCCTCTACTGGAAGACGTTGCCCTCCGCCATCCAACCTTCCTGGCCTTGTACTCCAGGAACCATTGCGGCAGCGTTTGCGGCTGCCGCGGCTGCCGCCGCTGCCCGCCTGGCATCAGCCCTCGCTCTGCAGCGAGGACAAAGGGTGCCAGTCTCCCGTTCCATGAGACGGTAGTCTCCTGAACAGGTGCCGTAGCCTCGGGCTAGGCGTCGCAAAATGCGGACCTTCATGTCCGCGCCGATTCTATTAACCAGATGGTGAAGACAAAACTTGATGCGGCGCCCAGCCTTCTAAGCATGGCCCGTGCACTGATGTTCCACATCATCCTCTACCCACTTGTGCTGGCACTGCCTGTGGTCCGCGTGGAGTACACTAGCTGCAGCATCGATAATTTCATTGATATCTTGGTCCGGATCTATATACTCCAAAGCGAGTACGGCGGGGTGGTTGGCCTGCGGGTGAGGCGGTCCAGGGGTGATGGGATTAAGCTGATCTTGGGGGATACCAAGGTCTAGAGGATCAGCGGCCGGGATGGGCTGCACCATGTCCATGGGCTGGGGTTGCTGAGGAACATGAATTTGTTGCTGTTGAGCTGGGGCGCCTTGGATTCCCGTCGGATGGGCAGCCGGAAGGTGATTGGGATAAACAACTTGAAAGTTGTTCGCATGAGCAGCTGGAGTGCCTTGCCCCATGGCCATGGGCTGGGGCTGCTGCGGAAGTTGCATGTGATGCTGTTCGGGTGGGACGAGTTGGAAACCAGTCTGATGAGCAGCTGCAACGTTGGTGTGATAAGCAGCTGGAAAGCTGTTCGGATGAGCAGCTGGGATGTTGTTCAGATGAGCAGCTGGAACGCCTTGCGCCATGTTCATACCGGGTTGTGGCTGCCGAGACAGTTGATGATGTTGAGCTGGGATGAACTGGAAACCATTTGAATGAGCAGCCGAAACATTGTTGGGATATGCAGACGGGAAGTTGTTCGGCTGAGCAGCCGCATTGCCTTGCAGGATGCCCATGGGCTGGGGAGGCTGAAGATTTTGATACTGCTGGACTGGGACCCCTGGGAAATAGTTCGGACCTTGAGAAACCGGGAGGGCTTGAACACTGCCCATGTACTGAAGCTCTTCAGCATACGCGTAGTGTTGAACTGCAACTCCCTGAAAGTTGTTCGCGGTTTGTTGGTTCAAATGACTGAATTCCGAAGCCATGGGGTGGTTTCCATAGTTAGCACTCGGCGATGCATTGGTTGGCTGATGGACAGCAGATTGACCAGGCTGCTGATGGTAAAGGGCTCCCACAACATCAGGAACAGTGTTAGAACCATAACGGTTAGGAAGAGAGACCTGGTCGTGGTCTCTGTGATGGGAGATTCCCGCGACACTGGGATGAAAGGTGTAGCCATCGAGAGGGATGGCGATGGGGTGTTGGTTTTGCTCTTGATAGTTTTGCTCTTGATGGTTTTGCTGTTGATGATTTTGCTGTCCATGGTGATGCCGATGAGGGGCTCCGGCAATAAGAGAATGGACGTTGTGGTCACTCAAAGGATCGGGCAAGGGGTGTCGGTTGTTATGGGGAAGACTGAATACGTGCTGAGTGCCTGTGTTCAAGTTGTTGACAGGGCTTAGATGGGAAACATTGGAGTACCTTGCACCTGGCGATACCAGATACTGGGAAGCCTGCGCCGTAATGGCGCGATGCTGATGGGAGGATCCAGGTGAAACGAGATTGTTATTTCCCAAGCCGCTGGTGTCCTTTTTGTTGGCGATGGGCGTCTACATGAGGATATTAGCGGGCGCTACGTCTCAACTTGTGGTGGCTTTGGGGCTATACCTCTACGTTCTCACCCTGGCTGGGTTGGGAGGGGACCGAGGCGTGATCCGGCTGATTCACCTTTCGGGCCTCCTTGCGGGACTTCTGTTTGTCTTGAGCCATCTTGCAGCTGAATGTGGCTTCCAAGGCGCTGCTCACAGTGACAAAGAGGCCCGCTTTGGTGTTCCAACGTGTTCTAACGATACAGGCAATTGATTGACGTTTGGAGGTGTCAATTAATTCGATGTCTTGTTCGGTTTATTGTGGAGGGAGAAAGGGTCAGGAACAGTCAAGGAGAACCGCCTTAAATGGTGCGGAAGGATCCGGTGAATTGAAAATGATCAGCCCTAAGGAAACCTGATGCGGCTGATCCAGGTTAGAAACCTTTACTGAAGCACCTTGGCCACTGCCTGCCCCTGTGGCTGAGCTGGCAGGAAAGAGCGACGCTCAAAATACCTACCTACGTTGTAGGAGGGCGGTAGAGCGCGAGTGTCATGCTCCAGAGGTCACCGGTACACTGCCGTGGACATTCATTCACCCACCCATGCAGCGTCCACGGACAATGAGATAATCTTTAAGATCTTTGATCCGTGACGACTAGAACCTTCCACTTCCATCTTCAACTTCGCTACCTTGAGGTACTTGGGATGTTCCGAACCAACGTCCTGTAAGTCATATCACACAGACAGCGCGTATGATGTCTCGGACAGTTCGCAACTTGCAATCCAAACCCAAATTGTTCCCGTTATGTCCTAGGCCGGAGCCACTGCGGAATAGTTCCACCTCTAGAGTATACAGGATTATCGGCTCATGGAAAATGCCCCTTGACAGTTGATATATCACTTGTTCAGGTACCCTAACAATGCCTGTAATGATCAATGGTGTTTATGTTACTAGAAGTAAGGTATCTATACCTAGAATCATCCCACTTCTAGGTATTCTCTGTACCGGTATGCTACGGTGTCGGGTGTTCCCTTTCAAATCCCATGACAAAATGTCCATTCATGTCTCCAGCCCTTAAGGAAATATTCAGGCCGGAGAAATGCGCCCTTACTGCCTCGCAAGCAAGCTCGAGGTAGCATCTTGCAAACTCCGTCCTACCTAACCTAAGCAACGTTCACAAAGCTTGCCGTCGTCGTAGGGTGTTGGGGCGTAGCAGCCCGAGCAAGTCCCCTCACCGCGGGACTTGCGCATTAAAATTGCAATCTGGGCAACAAGTGACAGACGGTTGCCGAGATGTTGGAGGCACGAACGACCGCGAAGTGCCTTCTAGGAACTCGCGGTGCAACGCACCTCGACTCCATCATGGCCCAAAATCATCCTGCGGCATTGGGGATGGCCCCCAAAGAGAACCGCAGCTGCGGCCCTAATGAGCTCCCTAATCCCCTCTGCATCCAGATCCTCTCCAACGTCGTGGAGAGCGACTATAGCGGGATGATTAGCCTCTGGATGAGGTGTCGGTGGGCCATGGTCGCCCGCTGGGCCCGCGGCGCTGGGAACAGGAACCGGAACAGGCACTTCCGGGACCTGGTGTTGGACCGGGGCTGGATGTTGAACAGCAACCTGATGATGGTGAGGGACCGGGTGCTGAACGAGGATTTGCTGGTTAATAGCGGCCTGGTGCTGAAGGTGAGCTTGGTGCTGTAGATAGGCCTGGTACTGCATTAAGGCCTGTTGTTGGATGTGGGCTTGGTGTTGCATTTGGGTTGGTTGTTGGATGATAACTTGGTGTTGGACAGGAACCTGGACCTGGTTATGGATCTGTTGATCAACGGAGAGATGCTGCATGTGAGCTCCGTAAGGGTGACCATTGGGGACAGCATAATGTTGTGGATTAGCCGGCTGTTGCAGATTATGGGCGCCTAGGAGGTGAGGTGGCTGTTGATGAGGACCACCATGATTGTTCATCATAGACTGGTGAGCGGGTGGGCTGGCAATCGGAACGTTCTGCTCGCCCTGCTGATAATTCTGGACCTGTGCTGATGAATGGACGTTGACATGGGAATCGTTGTCTTCAAAGAAGCCGTTGCCGATCAAGAGGTCATGTTCTAGGAGATGATCAAAGTGACTAGGCATGTCGTCGAAAAGCTCACCGCCATACATGTCGTCAAAACCAGGATTGTGATGATCATGTGGAGGGGGGTTGACGGGTGGGTCGGTGAGAGCTTGGGGGGAGTGGTTGCCATGTTGGCTAGAACTCTGCTGTTGGTGCTGGGGGACATTCATGGGTAGAGGTACTACGTTGTTGACATCCTCACGGGGAGAAGTGTCGTGTTGACCAGGACTTTGCTGGTGAACTTGAGAGCCCTCTTGATTGCCTTCTTGGTCTTCGCTGTTCTCTGTGTCAGAAGCATGTAGTTAAAGGAAATATTTCCAGCGACGTCAGAATGAAGCAGAACTAACCTGAGGGCAGACTCGGGGCTTTGATTCGAGGTAGAGGTACCCTTCTTGCTGCTCGGGCGCTGAGCAGCTTTGTCGGCCGGAGATTTCATCTTCGCAAAGTGAAGCTAGAACCGAAGACAAAATCGTGCGCTTGTGGATCTAAATTATGGTCAGTTGCGTCCAGAGAAGGTAGGTAGTAGCCTGTTTCCATCGTAGCGAACATGTTTAGGACTTACATAGGGTGTTAAGTCGATATGGCTGGTAATTGCGGGATGGTGGCGCACAACTGGACTTGATGGACGACACTGATCCAAGATACGTCGCGAGGTGGCTTTTGCCTGCATTCAACAGCAGGACTCTGATAGCAGACGCCCCGCGGCTTTCGGGAGCACGTACGTGCAGCGCGCGGGCGAATGAAGTATGATAACCAGGATGATTTTACCTTTTTGCCTGCCCCTGGGTGTGACGATGATGGGGGTCAATGTGCGGTGTAGATGAGGGTAGAAATAGGTCTAAGAAGGTGTACAGTTGGCAGGATGCACTCCACACCAAAGGGGACTAAAATTGACCTACAAATGGTGGAAGGAGGAAGGAGTGTCTAGGTGCCCAGCGGCCGGGGGGAATTTACCTCTGACACTGATTCCACGTCACGTGGGCACCGAAGATTTGGAAGATTTCAGGTTGCGTAGCGTACGTCTCCACCACACTGTGCCGCTATCGTAGGTACTTAACAGAGTCCCTAGTCAAATGACTACTACCTAGCTCTACTGTAAATCGGGTTTATCAGAACAAAATATGTGGATATTGGTAGAGGTAATACTCATTTTCTAGAGGTACCGACAAAGTTCGAGCCTCAACTCCCATGCTGCATCTTAGCAAGCACCGTGAGAGCTCGTGTGGTACGATCATACCTCTATATACAGCTACTCTACAGACTTTGAAAAGATCCGAAACTCTCACCATTCAATCTTTTCACTTTTTTTCTCATTTTCCCGGAGAACAACTCTGACTACTACCGCTCATGGGGGGCTGGGGACTGGTGATAATGAGCAATTGTATGCAGATTGTGTCTTCTCCATTTCGGATGAGACGGGAAAGCCGAGTGTGAAGAGATAGGTGGTTTGCTAGCTTGTAGATCTTGACCCGTCCAGCCGTGCTGACCCTCCTGGGGGTTCCCTCGATTCCACCAGCCAAGTACCTAGGTCGGAAAAACCCACTGGTAATGAAGCTGGTATATCGTGATCTCCATTTTAAGAACTCTCTTGATGGGCTTCTAGGTTTCCTTTTCGCTGTTCCTCTTTCCAGTGCTTTCCCTCATTTGCGACAGATTGTTGCGTCGTGTCGTAATAGCGACAATTCACATACTCGCGCCGCTTTCTGACAATATAGAAGGAAAGAGGAGTCATCATCTTGACCTTGGCGAGACTAGGTACCTTTAGCCATCACCGAAAACGCCCAAATAGAGGCACCTAGCGGCACCTAGTTGTACCCAATCGGATTACAGCGCGCACATAACCTTCCGTCATCGCGGGGTGTGGCGGCATAATCGCCAGAACAAGTTCCTTCGCCGCGGGATTTACGGAGCAGAATCTCGACTTGTCTGTCGAGACTCAGACGGTTCCCAAGATGGGCCAAACAGTACCAGCCGCGAGGCGCCTTCTAGACGCGTGCGGTGCAGCGCCGCTCTATACCATTCTCGTCGGGTAAATATCGCTTGCACTGCCCGTGTCCGGCGTACAGCACGTCTGCTGCCTCCCTGATGATGTGTCTGACATCGTCTTCCGCCATGTTGACCGTGATGGTTCCGAGGGTTAGGACGGCCGGATGGTTTGCCTGGGGATGGGGCGTAGGGGGGTCATCAACAGGTAAGTCCACTTGCTGGTGGTTAACAGCTGGGTGGTGCTGGTCTAGAGCTTGCTGGGCTACACCTTGCTGGTTCAGAGCTTGCTGGTTTGGAGCGTCCTGGCTCAAAGCTAGCTGGCTGGATCCCATCGGATGGCCGCCCAAGGGGTAGATCTGGGCCTGATGAAAAGTAACAGGGTGGTTCATCATCTCTTGAGGCTGGTATGCTCCAGCAGTCGATAGAGCGAAGTTGGGGTTTAAAGGCAAATTGGCGAATGACAGCTCACCCTGCTGAAGAAACGGTTCTTGTTCCGAATGAAGGTTTCCGTCGAATGCGTTGCTTGGAATGAAGTGCTCGCCGAAGTCGACGTTGTGACCCGGAAACGGACCATTGAAATTGGGAGGCATGAAAGGATGGATATTGTGGTACATGTTCTGGTGATTAGGATTGTGGGCATGGTGCAGAGGCTGGTGGTGCATGGAGGGAACAGAGGGGATATCACTGATGATAGGGATGGAGTAGCCATTATGACCAGGGGCAGGTAAGTGCTGGTTAGAGGTAGGGTTGTTGCCTTGAGGGGCAGAAGGGATGGCCGGGAGTTGGTCACTCTCTGGGCCCTGATTGTGCCCATGATTTTCGCTATTTCTATGTCAGCAGTGCACTGGTTGGGGTTAAAGTCCTGTAGTGGCAGGATGAAGCGAGGCTGACCTGAGGAGAGATAGGTTGGGTCCGTTGCCCATCACGTTGCTCGCAACTCCGTGATTGCCTTGGCCTTGGTTCTGGGGAAGGGAACCCTGCCTCGCGCCGGCGGCCCGGCGATTCTTCGTGTTCTTGGACATGGCTGCTTGGCAGGCCCGATCAAATGATGTCGGAAGCTGATACGCTTTTCTTCGTACCGAGATACCTCCTATTTGCGCGCAATGGCTGGCAATTCTAGGATCGAAAGGACTTGAGAACCAATGCGTTGCAAGGTTGAAGTTTCAGGACTTACGGAGAAAAGTGGAAAGAGCAGGTTGAAAGGTTGGGCCGTGATGAAGCTGCCACTGGAGCGGAGGTCCATCCCAGGGTCCAAAATTGTAGAGGTAGGCGTGCCGGTTAGGTACCTGTTGCCGGCAAGGTCAGTGGGCTCCACTTCCTGTCACTTGTTAACTCCAAATTTAGGTTGGCCTGCCGGCCTGGAGATACTATAGCATCAAATTGGGAGTAGTGGCGACCTTGTTATTCCAGGACAAGTGTTTATCGACCATTCCTAACAGCTTAGAGGAGGACAGAAAGACCGTGCCCTACACATTGAGGCCGTGCTTACGCTTATCGTAGCTTATTGTATCTTCGTAGTCGTCGACCGGGCAACCGACGCCGCAGACAGTGTTGCTTCGCGCAAGGATAACCATATATACGACCAGGACAGGTGTCAGAATGTCCATGACATCACGGATTTCATTAAATAAGAGGTACTTGGAGTGTTAGAAACAGAGTGAGGTAATAGGAGGCGTAAGTCAAAAGCAAAAACACAGCGAGCGGACGAGTCACGAGAAGGAATTACGATGTTGAAGAGAGAAGATGTTGACATTTTCACTGATAGGGTAAGGTCACGAACAAAGGCCACTAGATTTTATTTGCGCTACTTCTATCTGGTGTAGTAGGTTCACTTAGGCGTAGTAATCACGTAGAACGAGTTCACAAGGGCAAGATGGCAGTAGCAAAGATGTTTTGAGCAAGTTGGGTCATTTCAAGCTATCTGGATGTTTTGTATCTGACATAACCCTTATTTTCCTTGCTCATAGACCTGATTTGATCAGCTGGTTTCCCTTGTACTTTCAACAAAATAATCTGAAGAAGTCTGCTTCTCAATTTAGGGACAATCTGTTGGTGTCCTATATCATCATCCAATGTTAGTTCATGTCGATGCCTCAAAGAAGATGTGGTAAGGGATGAAGGTACTTACAATCTTGGTATCGGTCTCTGTGTATGAGGTCTGATGATTCAGATATGGAGGTTGGCAATCGCTTCTCCCGACATCATCGAGTCATCAGTAGAGGTGGCCTGGCTGGTGTCGGCTCCGTCCTCCTGAGATTGCTGAGCAGGCTGTGCTGCCGCGGCCGCCGCCGCGCGGTTCTCCATCCGGTTCCTCTTCATCTCGACGCACCGGTCGCACCGCTTCCCGGTCTCCTTGGGCATCCAGGCGAAGTCCGTAGAGCAAGTGCCGTATCCTAGAGCCTTGCGACGATAGATTTCCAGGATGGTATCCTTGCCAGGCCGATTCCCGAGGTGGGTGAGGCAGTACATCGCGTTCCGCCTCTAGCAGAAGCGAGTGCACTGCACACCCTTGGTTCTACGAGTGCAACGGCCGTAGGCGCTGTCGAGGACAGCTGCGGCCGCGTCAATGGCTCCTTGGAGGTTGCCGATTGTGTTGATGGGGTTGAAAATGTTGCGGACCGCAGGGTGGCCGGCGTACTCGAAGTTGAGAGGTGTTTCGAAGTCGACGGGATAGTCGTCAAAAACGTCCTCGAGGGTCTTGATGTGAGCAAGGTGCTGGTAGTGGATCGGGTTGAAAGGGTCGTCAAGGTACGAAGGGGGAGCCATGTTACTGTCCTGGCCTTGCTGATGAGCGCTCTGTGTGTGCATTCCTCTATAATAGTTGTCAGCTATCTGACATCTCACAAGCATCATGTTGTTAGAAGTCTGAGTGACTTACCTATCAATGGGAGTGTTAAAGTCGAAGACGTTGAGGGGGGGAATGGATGACTGATGAGTGCCGTCCGCCATTTGATCCTGGTTGTTCTGGGCGATGGGTGTGGTGGGGACAGTTCCGTCGTGGTAGTTGCCCATGTTGATGTTCTTGGAGGTGTTGTGAGACATGATGAAGAAGTCTTGGAGTGGTTGGGTGGGTGATGTGTTATGGTGTGTGAGGATGCTTGTGCTTGGTTGACGTTGGGTCGAAGTCGTTGGTGGTGATGGAGCAGGAAGAGAAAAATTTTCCCCAGAGGAAGTTCTGATCTGCCTTTTATGCTATGGGAATAGCGACACTCTAGGCCAGTCCTCAGATCCACTGCCTTGCGAGTCTGAGGGTGAACAGCCATGAACAGGAGAAGCATACCGCACACAGATTGCCCAACTCAGGTTAACCGGCATAGCTCACCGAACACCGAGGTTGTTCGGCTGCTCATGCATGAGAGAACAGCGAAAAATTTGATGTCTCATTAAATGAACAGAGAAATTATCCTTCTTGTACACTGTACAGCTCCGGTCAGCCAAGACTGGCCATTGAACACTGAGCCTGTCCACATGTCGGTGTATATAAGAACGGCGTGCAATGTAACAGCAAAAGGAGATGAACATAGGAACAATACCACGCACAGACTGTTCAACTCGGATTGACCGTTATAGCTCACTGAACAGCGACCGTCTTCACATACTGGCGGGATGTGAACAAGAACAGCGCCGAGTAGGACCATCCTGTATCCCAGGGCCTGCGTTAACGTCCATAGTCCACTAGGGGTGTTCGGAATACCTACCTCTGGTGAGCGAACTAATCAACAATCCGTGAACTGTGGTAGTATGCGGCTGTGAACAGCCGGACCGGGTGAAATCAATCTCTCAGATTTCGCCTCACAAGAGATATGACCAGTAATCATCAGTGAAAACCGAACTGGCAGGGACAATTGTTGACAGTGTAACTGAATCTGAACACATATGCCGTCTTGGTTCACGGGATGAAGTCAAGAATGCCGTCTCCAGGTCTTTTCCTGCGTTCTGAAATCTTCCATGTCAATTGCTACTTCCATGTCGTTCATGTCTTTTCCGATACATTTGTTCATATCGGCATGCCGAACGTCAAGTACAGGTATGGACGCCGTGGCGCTCGATTTTGTTGCCTGCGTTGGGGGCTGGCATGAGATCCACATGCGAAACCGATCAAAATCCCGTGTCCGTCGTTTTTGGTGTGATTTGAGGTACAGATTGGGCACATGTGAGAATATGATCGATTGTGGAGGATGGCCGCTCCCGCGTCGCCGACGGAAACAGCGGCTGCTGTATACGACTACGCCCGGCGGCGGAAGAATCATGAAGGAGCTGTGGAAAGAGAAAAGATCAAGTACGCGGAAGTAATGGCGAGCTGCGATGAACTTTGTAATCGAGAACAGAATTTGCTGCGATTGAACTGTGGCTCATTAATGAAAGCGTCGGCCGTTGCCAGGAAGGCGCTACGGCCATGTATGCCCCTGCAGCCAGTATTCCACAGCAAGTGCAAATGGACCGCGGTTGCCCAGGGACACTCGTAAATTTGACACCCCTTCAATTTTGCAAAATGTCTGCCAGCTCAGGGAGATTGAGAACCAAAGCACTGCTATTGCCTTGAGCAATTTCAAGTACTTCACTCAACACTTCGCTCTTCGATGATGATGCGAGCACGGAGGTCAAGTTCGCTGTGGTGGTCTATGCGTGGAGACTCCACTCACTAACAGCGGCTGCCCTAAATCCCCCCCTGCAAGACCGCTGAATCAACAAAAAGTGTTAGCGCAAAAGACTCCATGCACCGCTCAGGGTCAAGTAAACAATCCCGACCACGGGCTTTCATTCCAAATTCCCGTCGATTGCCACATGGCAAGATTACGTTTCTCCTCTTGAAATGCCAATCAACGGCCTACGGACAACCACAGAGATATAAGGCCTGAGATGGGGTGGGCGCATCGGACCCATCACAAAGGTCCTATTCGCAACAAAGAAACACGCCGCTGAGTGGACAATGAGCGAAGGACCGATGAAAGACGAGGATTATAGAAAGAATGGGACAATGACATGGAGTGCCACAAAGGAGTGAGGGATTCTTTTATGTTCACGCTAACAGGGCTGACTCGCTCTTTCCTAGCAAGATGACTCGATCCTGGTTGAGTCTATCGTCCTCTTCCTGCCGGTGAGCCAACCGGTTGATCAAGCCCACGTCTTCATTGGTCCAAACTTGACTCATTCAATTGTTTACCAACTATCCCCATCAACTTCTTACATCCCTGCTCTTTCCCGCCGGAGGGCATCCTTCCTCCTACATCCGTCGCAGAGTCTCCCATCTTCCCTCTCCTTCCAGGCATAGTTGCCTGAGCATGTCCCGTGGCCTTCCATCTGCCTCATCAGGATCTTGAGCTGCGTCTCCACTGAAGGATGCCTCTTGAGGTGGCTCATGCATTTTCGCGCACCCGCCTTCCACCTTCGAGCTGGACACTGCTCGCCAGTGACCTCGTCCACATGGCGGCATCGGCCATTGCGTGCGTGGAGCATCCTGGCGACATCGGCGATGATGGCCCGCAAGAGCTCCGGATCAACGGTCCGGATGTCAACTGGGGGATTTGAATTGGCTATCTCGATCAGGGCAGCCCGGACTTCATCGCTTAGAAGAGGGATTTCTGGGTCGATGTCATCATCTCCCTGTTGTGGCTGAACAATGACAGCCTGGTTGAGCGCGCCGCCGGGCTGATAGCCAATGACGTTGTCGTTATTGGGTAAGTTGTTGTTACCTGGTTGTGGGTTTGCTGGGTTGTTACTGGCAAACTGTTGAGACTGTAAGACGGTGTCAGAGGCCATGAAAGAAGTTAGGTTGCGATAATAAGGACTAGAGTTGACTCACTTGAGCGGCGACGGCCTCATTTCCCAGGAAAGAGTGTTGGTCATTCCCCTCGATGCCTTCATACGCGTTCTGGTCCTCCATTCTTCCTGACTGTTCCTGCAGTTGGTGAGACGTGTGGTGATCAAGATGCGTCAATGCTTGTTCGGCTATGCTTGACCGGAGGGGAGAGGACGGACGTTTGGTGATTGTGGAAAACGACAAATAGAAGTAGATAGAGCTCGTATATAGGACTGTAGAGGGGACTCTCATCTCCCTGGAAGTATCCGCCCCATAATGACAGCATGGACGAGTGAAGGGACCTCTGTTGTTGTCAGCATCAGGCCTTATCGCCTGGATAGAGGTGGGATTCGAGCCCCACGGGCCTGTCCCAGGTAAGCCAACCTTGAAGCTAGGAGGGAAGTAGGCGTATATAGTTCAACATAGACCAATGAGGAAGCGTCATAGCTCGCTGATACTTGTAATGGACAAGTAAGAAGACATCTCCCCCCATTTTACCCTCACCGCAATGATGGGATGAGATTGGAGCCACCATGGGGATGACTTGACAGCAGACATTACACTCTTCACTGGTGTATTTGCACGGTCGCAAAGCAGCCTATGCGCTCCACTCAGCTCAACCGTCCTTATGCGTCGAACTCGGACGAACCTCTGTTCAAAGCCATCCTCTACCTCCCTTGTGTAGCGCATCACCACACACAAGTACTTGCGCTCGTGCAGCGGTTGTCGACAAGTACAAGAGGAAGATTTTAAAACTCGAGACCGTCATGGATTCCAACGACCCTTTAGGTCTGGGGTTCCCGGATGAAGACGATTGATGCAAATCGCCACTGCACTCACTGTCAGTCGGCAGTCCGGAAGTCAAATCCTTTTCTAACGTACCTACCTCTATTAAGTCTTTTCAAGTTGAAGAAGCGAACATCTCGTACTTCTTCGAGGAAGCTATTGGCATTCAAGATCCGATCGATAGAGATACCTCTACCATCAAACGACGCATAAAGTGCCCCCCTAAGATCCTACAACCGTTACAACGCTGGTAACGTAGGAAGGGGATGTACATAGCGCCAGTGACGATAGCGAAGAGGTCTATTATCTCTCGATAGTCCACGTGTAAGACTGCTCGACTGGCACGATAGTGGTCAGTTCCTTCTAGTCAACAACAATGACGGCCGACAGTCCACTACGAGCACCCAAGGTCCCTCTCCAGTCAAGGCCGCCGACCCCTGGCCCACCTGCGCAGGCCACCCCAAGCATGGCATCCGTCATCCATGCAAGAGCGCGCCTGCACACCGGACCTGGAAGAAAAGTGCCACTCAGTGCTTGGACTGTCTGGCGAACGCGCGCAGCGCGGGACTCAGAGCCAGTATGGAGAGTCGAGTCGCCGTCGGTACCTACCGAACCCGTGCTCAAAGTGTTATCGAAGCGATGCCCGTTCGGGTGGCGGCCTTTGCCAGGAATGCGTGGACATGGGGAAGAACAACCTGGAACTGAGGAATGAGCGGAGGGGTAAGAGGAAGCATGCTCATTTGAGTCAGTACATTAGTTTGAGGGTTTCTTGTGTTGGAGTTGGGGAATACTCGGAGGGGTGGTGGCACGGTGAGAATGGTAGTTGTTGCCGTTTCTGCTGACTTTTCGAATGATGTTACCACGTTGAGGTGTGTGCGGCTGACATACATGCTATGAGGAAGGCGCCATTCGGCTTTGTATGCCCCTGCAGCGACGATTTCCACAGGCCATGGAACGGACCCACTCCAGCCAAGCCGCCCGCTGAAGGGACACTCAACAATTTGGCAGTCTTACTATGCTTCGAATTGAACATGAAATGAACCGTTTGTAATTGAGAAGAAGTGCTTAGTTTATATTGAAAGTTTGATTCATTTCAAGTTTTGCGTCTGGGTTTGCGATGAAGTGGCCTCAGTGAGCAAGCTCGCTACAAGGGTTCATGCATGAAGACGTGATGCGCTAACAGCGCAAGCTCTAGAAAAGCCCTGTAACACCGCTATAAGAATTTGCGATGTTAGCAAATGGAAGAATAGAACAGAGATGATTTGGAGTCGGGCAACTTCGGCATCGTCTTGAGTTACGGCAGGAACCTGTGAATGGAGATAGATTCCATCAATGTGACTTATTTCTCGATCTGGCCGTCGTCTTTATATACCACGAAGATGTCGGACTGTACAATCGATCGCAAAGCTTGCTGATATGAGTCACAACGCTTGCTAAAAAGAACAGTCATGATCGCGGTAGATGAGTCAATTCAGGAACTTCCATGGGAGCATCAAACTTGAGAGCCACCGACTTCAGTCAGGCACCAGAGGTATATAGGGCGAAGACGGTTATGTCAAAGTGTCCATATCTACAATGCCTCCTTGGTTCAACTTATTGACTGCACAGACCTCCTCTTGCGACCGCCGTCATCGTTGATCTAATTCCCTAGGGCAGCAAGCAGCCGCCGAAGTCCGGCCACGATCTCTTGCGACCAACCAATCACCTCGCGGATCTTGCGGCGCTCGGTGCGCAAGAAACTCTTGTACCAACATTCGAAGCAGAGCATACCTCTCTCTGCGTCCTGCAACACATAACATCCAGAACAAGTTCCGTGGCCACGGACCTGGCGCATCAGGATGTCGACTCGAAGGTTGATCCCGGGACAGTTGTGCAGATGAGCGAAGCAAAGCCTTGCTCCCACCTTCTATGCGTGAGCAGTGCAGCGTTCGCCCGTCGCTTTGTCGTTATGAATGCATTGGGTGTGGTTATGGTGCAGAAAGGTAACGGTCGCGGTGATGACGGCTTCGACGATCTCCACGTCGATACAGACCGCTTCCGCAGGAAGGTTGGTGGCGGACAGAACTTCCAGAGCCGCGACGAGCTCTGCCCGTGACATCGTGTCCACGGCGAGAATGTCTCGGAGAAGATTGGGATGAACACCAACGGCGTCGGGGTTTTCCTCAATATCAGGGCCTTGGACGTTGGTTAATTGCTCGCCGACGTCTGCGATGTTGTGGAAGACATTGTTGTCATCATTTTCGACGTTATGCGAATGCTGCGCGGACGAGAGGGTGTTTTGCACTTGGTTCTCGGACTGCCTCTGATCCTTGATATCGCATTAGAGGCGCGATGAATGAGAACACGCTCGCGACATCGACGAATTATTTACTCACATCAGAGACCAGGAAATCACTGTTGGCATTAAAGCCGTCGGCGATTTGGTTGTCCGGCGTAACGAGGAATGCGAGCTGGGATTGGAATGAAGATAATGGGTACCTTCAGTGTAGGCGGGTACCTGGAAGTCCTTCGACGGAAAGAGCAAATTCGATAGGGTCGTATATAGAGGTAAGAGCAGGTAAATCTAACCCTGAAGTACGGTATGGAGGGCTACATCAAGTTGGACGATTGAGTGGAAAGTCAAGACGAAACGGGATCCACTGCTTCTGCTATTGAGGGACTGGATATCAATGGCCACAATAGAAACCAAGCCACGCGTGCCTGCTTGAACTGACCAAGTGTCCGAGCTATCAGGAGAACCGGCCAATAAGGAAGCACCAAATTTTGACACTTAGCGCCAAGATGTCTATGCCGAGTAAGAGCGAAGATGAGAGGGAGACTCGAGGGCTTGGGGAAGGCACGACTCCAACCACCTTGTGTTCGCCTTTCACTATTGTTTTTTTCAAGGTCTCAAAGTAGGCCCGTGCATTCCACTTAGCTCCCTGTGCCTTCCCTAAACAAACGGCCGCTGTCCCTCTACCTTTTATTGACCAATCTCTCACATCAAGGTCCAGTGGCTGTGGAGATCCGAATTAGCGTTCTTTTACTTTCGTCCATTCAATATAACATAAAAGGCCCCCTCTTCGTTTTTACCCTAGTTGAACCGCACACTGTTGCAGGCCAAGACGTCCTCTTGTCGTGGGAAAAAGACCACGATTACATCGAGGATTCCCTTTAGACAGAGCGGGCGAAAAAATTGGTAGTCAAAAATATTAGAAGACGGCGTCTCGATTGAACGAGTCGTTCGTGTCTTCTAACGAGTTGAAGGCAGCATCGAGTTGCTGCCAGTGAAGGCGCGCCGTATCGTTGACTAGCCAAAGGTATAAACACCGACTCATTGTTGATTCATTCGGCGCGTAACTGACCACTGGATCCTAGCATTGTTGGCGTGCCGGTTCAACGCCATGGCGGGTAAACCACCTACCGGCGCTGGCAATGGCGTCAAAAACGCGGTTGAGACGCATGAGAACGGAGAAGAGGGCAACAAAGAGCATTTTTCGCGGGTTCAAGGCGACATCGTCATCCAAGAACTGGTCGACAACGTCGCCAACATGAATCTGGACGTCGAAAATGCCATCTTTGCTGGATCTCATGGAGCAGGATCGTCAGCGTAGAATGCCCACCTTCCACTCCGCGAGCCAATCCAAGTACCATTAGTGGTAACTGCCGACCCTACCCCAGCAGGTGGTGGACACTTCCAGAATGCGATGAGCACTGTCCAGCCTAGCACTGTTAACAACGGTTACCCTCTCGCCACCAATTCTCCCAACCACAGCAACTATTATCCCAGCCCTGGTGATAGTAGTTACCTCAATGGGGGAGGTAACCACTACTACAACACCTTCAACGGCTATGCAACCGGAATATCTAATCCCAACACTAGCAACCATCTTAGCAACATCAATTATGCCTCTGACAGCAATAATCCAGGCATTTCCAACGGGTATCCCACCAACAATTAGCCCAACGGAAGCAACCATTTCACCGACAGTACCTCTAATTATCCTGCTGAGTATCTCACCAACGGTATCAGCAGCGGCGCTCATTATGGCGACAGCCTGGCTGGCCAGAATGGGCAGGTACACATCAACTACCACCAGGGTCCGACATGGGACGGTCCGAACGTCGGTCTTATCAACGCACCACTCCCCATCACACCCCGGCCTGCGGCCTTGCCTGCTCAGGTCATTTCTCAGCCCCCCACCGTCACTGCTGGTTCCAGACGAGTGCGGCTGTGTCAAGGATCAAGAAAGAAGGGAGTGCCCTGTATCCACAACCCTCCCAAGAGGGCGTGGAAACAGACTGGCAAGGTACGGCAGTGCACCAATTGTCTTGCAAACCCACCTGCCAGAGACGTTCGCGACGGCATGGACGCACGCTTGGACGCTGGAAGAGTACCCTGCTCAAAATGTTTTCGCAAGGACGCCCGTGACGGGGGCGGACTTTGCAATACCTGCCTCAACATGGGCAAGTCCAACAAAGCTCTACGGAAAAAGGGACAAGGGAAACGGTCCAAAAAGGCGACCAGGAACGACGATTCGGGATCCAATCCTAGGGGTGGCCCGAGTGGTGGCCCTCCCAAGGGTGGTGGCAACGGTGGACAGGGTCCGCCCCCCAGTGCCGGTGCCGTTGGGGCCGTCCTTAGCGAGAGCGTTCAGTGGGCGTACTGAGGTGCTCGAGGCTACCCAGAGGTACTGTGCTTTCAGTATTGGGAACAATCATCACTACCAGTTTCTTTGTTGGCGAAGAAGCTGCGAGGTCTTTGTCCGCTAACCTAGGGCAGAGCCAGCCGTAAAGTGTCGGTAAAGGACGACCTCAAACTCAAGGTACCTCTAACTTGGCAGTTATAGGAACGATGAAGATTGAGCGGTTAAAAGGGGAAAAGCACAAATGAAGCTGGGAAAGCAGGAAACGATAGAAAACAAAAACAATCACAAAAAAAAAAGCACGCCACATCCACAGCCTAACAGCTTGAATGTGGACATTTAACAATTATTTTACAAATAAAGGAAATACCTATAGGTTATATCTGCCGTACATTGCAAGTACGCTACTGGTAGCTAGCAGAATAGAGTAATAACTATAGTACCGTAGCGGAAAAACCTGCCAGGGAACAGGCCTTCTTAAGCTTACTACGGCTTTGAAGCGTTGTTGTTTTTATAGGCCATATTGAATCTACAAGGCTTGTTGGCTGACGGAGGCTCCTGATTGGTCGATTAGCTCACAGTTCAGATCTCCGCTAAAGACGGTCACTAAAATCCGCCCCCCCCCCCCCAAAATTCACTCTATATAATGAGAGAAATTTCATCTTGATTTTAATCAATGGGCCAGTGGCTCAATGGTTTTTATCTTTGCCTTCTTTCTGGAGATTGTCAGTTCGATTCCAAGTGGTGTTAGTTTTTTTCGCGCGAAAAAGTTTCGCCGCAGTCATCCGGACTTTGAAGCCAAAGTCAACCAGCCAAAGTCAACCCCCCCCCCAACCTCCTAAAGACTACTATAATAACCACTAACCAAAGACCCTTATAATGACCTCTAGAAGGTTCTTATAGGGGTCTTTGGCTTTTGCTATTTTGTACCCAATTTCGACCAATCGGAAGCCTCCCTTAGTTCAACAAGCCTTACAGATTCAACATGCCTTGTTGTATATATATAGCACAGATATACAACAAGGCCTGTTGATTTTAATAAGTCCTGTTGCGCTCCTTATATTTCCGCTGCGGTAGAGGTCGCAAACTTGCCGTAGGTCTCCGAACTTCGCAGTCTTCCAAAGCCAGCGATAACTGACCACCAGCTAGATCACCGAGGCTCGCTCCAGAGCAAACAATGAAATAGCAAAACCCTCCTTGCCTCCACAAAGCTTAATTTGTGTCGGGCAGCCTGTGTATTCATAAATGTCGGCATTATCGCTTCCTTGTGAAATAGAGTCTCTACCTAATCATTACGATCTGATGAACATTTGTTCGTTGGACAATCTGTCGGCCTCTGTCCATTGTCTTGTTGCAGTTGCTTGATTCGGCATTTTCTTGGATTCGATATGAACAGTCGATTGTGGCCCGCGGCGGTTGAGGTTTCCGTCCTACTGCAGGATGTTGTCTTCCTGGTGTGAGGAGATGCCCCGTGCTGTCTTCGTGGACCGCTTTGAGTCCCGCGGGAGTAAGTTGTCCTCCTGGTTCTTTACGCCGCTGAGTTGCCTGCCTCCTACAAAGATCATTGGCGCAAAGATTTGTCGCCGCAGATACAAGAAAACACTCGAATTCCCTTTTCTATGAGACCGTTGTGATGCTTGCTGTGGTGCGACGTTGATGGAAGGAGACTGAATGAGGTCCTTGAAGTCAACCGAACCCTTCACGAGAAGCTTCAAAGGCGCTATATGACTCTCGATTGGCGATCAGGAACGTGTCTGCGGCCACAGCATTCAGCGCTGCGTCTAACGCAGTTAGAAACCTCTCCTGAGCTTGTCCAAGCAGTAGGTTTAGTCTCCTCCGAAAGCCAGCCACCTCTCTCATAAGCCCTGCAGCGAGCACATGATTCTTCTCGGTGCGCGGCTTCCTGTATGTAGCAACGGCTATAATAGAATCCCCCGTTGTGCAGAATCTCGTTCATGCGGCGGCGCCGCATGAGACCTGGTCTGCTGTCCAGGCAGTCCAGGCAGGCATGTCTTAGCTTGGGGAAAATGTACGTGTCTTACTCCACATTTGCGACATCACGGGAGTGTCTCGAGATATTTAAGCCATCCAGCCGGCTGATGGTCGAAGGGATGGTCGGCAGCTTGATGATTGACATCCTGGTTGTGGACAGCGGGTTGATTCTGATTGATCGCGGGATTGTTGTCCATGGCTTGATGCTGGAAGGTGCTTCGGTCGTGGATGGGAGCAATCGGGAACCTCCGCTTGGTTGTGATAGATAAGTTGACGGTGTTCGAAGCGTTGATCTGGAGAGATGGCTGAACTGTTCTGGTAAGGGACACATGTTAGATACATCGTAACCTGTCATGACAGATGGAGTCGCTGGGTCAAGTTGGACGGAAAGCTCCCAATGTCACACCCCATCTGGTGGTGGTGGTGTAAGCGAGCGAACTGGTTTCAGCCCCTCAGCTCCCCCAAACTGGTGTTCTGCTAACTCACAGCTTATCCAATCTTGTCCGATGGTGGGATGGGCCTTTCAGCGGGAACAGGAGATGTAAGACGGCCGTAAGGCGTACTATCTCTCGGTGCCGTTGACGGTTGCTCTGAAAAAGAGTATGCCATGAGGCAGTCGACTAGGGTGCGCGGAATAAGTCGAGCTGAACTCCTTTCTTTTTTGCTGTGTTCAACCCTTTTTCTGGGCAATTCTGGAGCTCCGCCGGAATGTTGACGCACAAATCCGCTAGGAAGGCATGGACCGGCTCGCCAAGCAGACTTGAAAACGTAAATTACCAACAGCCCCTGTACATACTCAGGATTTTGGGTCTGCTTGGGAGTTCGTCCAGGCGGAAGGGACTAGTTGCCTGCTAGGCAGAGTATATTCGACCTGGCCTACGCATCCCCGGGAACATATCGGGCGTAGCATCATTGTTTTGATTATAATTTCCATAGAGTATATATGAGTTGCACACTCTCCATTGTATGTTGGGCCTTAGCTTTCCACCTGCGGAAGCAGGTTGTATTGCTGGCTCAGGAAATGCTCGTTCACGAATGGTATATCGTCGGGGTAAATCTCAACGTCGTCCTGCTGCTCAAGTACAGCATCGATGGCGAGGTTGTCGTCGTCAAGGGGGAGGCAAGAGGGAGGTCGTCTACGTGATGACAGTTTGGTTCGCGTTATTCAGGCGCGGCACGTGGATCGAAGTTGGGGCCGAAGTCGTAAAGAATTAGATCGGCTTCATCCTGCTGGTTACTGCTGGGTTAGTCTGGAACAAACTGCGCAAGGTTTATATCGTGAACTGTATCCTGGCCGTCCGGCTGAGCAGGAGATTGAGGCGGGATAAAGGTCTTGGCTTCTCCCAGCCGATCATCCAATAGGTGCTGATGGTTACCTTGATACTGGTGGGCAATGGCGCCCTGAGGCTGTTGGGAGTATTGAGGCGCATCAAGAGGGTTGTTGTTATCACCTGCCACAGGATTTTCCACTTGGTGCTCATGGTCGCTGTGGTGATGTTGGTGGGTGATATTGGACTGAAAGTGTTAAGGGGATCCAGGCGGAATGAAGTTGCTGTTTTCTCCCAGCGAATCTTCCACGTGGTGCTGATGATCTCGGATCATAAGCTACAGGGCCATATCGCTTAGGAAAGGCTCTCCCATCTCACAGATCACCGTACGAGTAGGAAAGTACCATAGATCACTGACAGGGGATCAAGGAAAGATCATTAGGAGCGAAAATAGGGAACCATACACAAACTATGTAGGTATTCTAAGGTAACGAGCGATGGGAACAGCTTTGTTCTCCAGCCGCAGTGTAGTAAAAGAGATCTCAAAGTCATACAATACTCCGTTCGAGTATACCCCAAAGCCAACCAACGCCTAACTGTAGGCTCCCCAGGTAGCAGCAACTGAACCACCGACGGCCGTATCTCTCTCACCAGGTACGATGGAACATGTACCATATTTCGAACCACAGCAAATCTTAGCCATTGATCGAGTTGAGGTACATCCAGCCCGGTAATTTTATCGTCTTCTCCCCCAATCCATACAGTCCGCAACTCCTGTGGTGGCGTCTCAAACTGTCATGTTGACTCCCTAGATGATACCGCTCTCGAAGAAACAAGCGGATCACCACTCAACTGTCCACCTATATAGGGGATGGTACTGCTGGTTCTGGTAATAGGGGTTGGATAAAATGTCGTCCGGGTCAGGTTGATTATTGTCGTTTGTCTCACTAGGCGCAATCGGTGGAGCGATGTTGTCCCCGTCCATCAAGAGATTGTCCTAATGCTGAGGGTTTTGGTCGGGGTGTTGAGACATAAGTTCAGGAACGGCGTCATCCGGAATATCGTCGTAGAAGAGGTTGGTCTGATGCAGCTGATCCTCGCTATGCACTTGAGAAGCAACTGGCTGAAGGTTCCACTTGGCTTGAGCGGCGTCGTAATTCTCATTCTGCATAGCATGGCCATCGTGATGCTGAAGGGCTGGGGCTTGAGAGGAATTGTCACCCTGTTGAATAGGATGGTTCTGCGCATCCTGCTGCAGCGGTGTCGACGGCAAGAAGTCGTCGATGTTGGATAAAGCTTGTAAAAAGGCCTGACCCAAGTTTCCCTGTTTTAGCCAAGCACTGGCGGCGGAAACAAAGGTATCCTTTGCCCAACCTCTGACATCCCGGTATAGCTCCACGACGCTAAGCATATTCGGTGTGGCGGCGTCTGCCTTTGCCGCATCGAGCTCAGCCATATCGTCCAAGATCTCTTGCGCGGTTTGAAGAATATCGTAGACGATGGGTATCATGGTGACGGCCTTCATAGCATGTTTGATGGCGACGAGAAGGCTGTCTGCGTCGCCAGCAGCCTCCACCGCGCTGTTCGCCATCTCCAGGTTTCTCATTACCGCTGCCAGCAAGACATTTAGCTTCCGTTGAAGCTTGTTCGCTGCTCTCGAGTTGGCGCATCGCGGGCACGAATGTCCAGGCTCGGGGGCCTCACGGATGTAGCAGCTGCTACAGTAAACGCCTCCCTCATGCACAATCCGATACATGGCCCTCCTGCGTAGGAGACCAGGCCTATTTCCCAGGCACTCGATGCATCTGGTAGCTCCGGGAAGATGTTGGTGGTTCTGATTACACTTCACACATAACGGCAGTGTTCCCACATATGTGATCCAGTCGTCGGGGAAGCTGTCATACACAACTTCTGCCGGCGGGTTGTTGTTCGCGTCGAAATCCATGGTGGAGGGGGTCGGCGAGAGATCCAGCGACGAGACCTCGACGGGAGACTTTTCAGTGGTTCTGTTGCGACAGTGACTACCCCGTGTCGGCTGTTTTGTCTTTCGCGGTTGTGGTGGAAGCCAACAAGAGTCAATTTGTGAAGGGAAGAAGTCGTGAAATCGCGAGCTTCGTCCGCTCGAAGTGAGTGTGCCAACGTGGGCAGTGCAGTAATGGAAACCGAATCACCACCAAGGACAGGGAAGTTTCTCTGGTGGGAGGAGAATCCACCACTGTCGGTATGTTGTGGTTTCGATGGATGGCTTGGGAAAGTGTGGACTGGTGAAGAGAGAAGGCAGCGGAATCATCCTGATGTGCAAACTGCAAAAGCTCTAGGGTGTGTCGGAAGTCAAGCAGCGGCTCCTGTTTGGGCAACTTTGAGTTGGCCTCGATGGGGACAGAGTTCGAGTTGCGAAACAGAAAAAGAAGAAATAAGATTTCCGTGGGGGAGCCGCTAGGTACAAGCGCTGCACAAGCGCCGCCCAGTCAAATGGGGGGCTGAAGTTGTGTCCCGCCGGTGCTTGGAAATCGGGTACCCGTCCAGACGAGAATGGGACCGTTGGCTCCCACAAGATGGACGTGTGAGCTGAGACGAGCCGCAGGACCTCTTCGCCCCAACCCACGACTACCCAGGGCCTGGCCAGTCGGGCCTTTTTATCTTGGTGACCTCTCGTCGTAGACTTTGCTAGTGGTATCAGCGCGCCCCGCGATCCAACCTGGGCTGGGTTTGCAGTCGATGGGACCTCCTCCCCGCCGTTCACGATAGGCGACTAACACTGTCTGCTGCTATAGTTTCTGGGCCCTCAGACAGTTAAGTAGTATCATTCTCGCTGATATATGCTGAAACATGGGCCGCAACCTGCACATAGTCGGTTAACCGGACCATTCGGCCTCCCCCGCTGTCCTCACTGACACTCTTGTCATGACACATAGGTCATCATGTCCATCAACTTGCCTGCGCAGAAATGAAGAAGACTTTCTTGATTGTGTTCTCCCAAGCTCGATGGTAGTTGCCGACAGATCCTTGGCGCCTTGCTGTCATTGCAGTGTTTTGCCGCACTTAGTGCAAGCTGGAACTGCCCCCAGGAGGCTATCTAGCGCGGCAGCAGCTGATTCTGATCAGGAACTGAAAGGACATGACAACCAAGCAGCTATATAGTACTTGGGAAACAGCATACTTTCCAACGGTGGAACGTAGATAAGCCGAGCATTGCAAAGGCAGAGCGAACAACAGCCAAGTAGAAGGACAAAATAGGAGGACTTGGGGAGTCAACGTACTTTACTTTCTCTGTACCAGTGTAGAGAAGACGGCCAGCATCCGAGGAAGTCGAAGAAAGCAATACTGGAATGATCAAGGCAGAAACAGCCGTACCGTTTCAGTAGGAAAGCAACCAACCCGAAGTTATTACCCATTTCAGCCTCGGGTATCTTGAGACAGACAAGGAATGCCCAACTCCCATACCAGACGTAGCTACCATCAACTGTGCTGGTGACTCGAGGAATCGGCCTGTCATTACAGCTATCATGCTATCCTACTACTCCGGCACAGATCTTGTGCGATGGTGGACAGTATGAGGCTTGTAACGCAGCGTCTCGAGTAAACTTAACTCCTGAACGTTGATCGCGAGAAAACCTGCTCCCAGCCACGTCCGTTAGCTACGGGCCGAAAGTGATCAAGACGGCGGTCCATCAGACCCCTTCCCATCACGTGGTTTTTCCTTGAACGCCCTTCCAAATATGTCGCTTGACCTTTGTCTGGATCCCTATATGCGATCTGACTGCTCCTCTTTGGTCCTGTTGGGAAGAGTGACTGCGATGAGCATCACCAAGTCTTGAGGTTGGAGAGGGAGAGAGGGTTTTGACGAGCTTCTGAACCACACGAATTGATGAGGTCTACCGGCCTATTCTTGCGATCGTCATAGTACAGGTTGTCACTGTCTCTATCGTGATCGGCTGCTTTTGCTAGGGCCACAGAACAGGGCGGCTTCGTAGCCAAAGGAAGACAAGAGTGAGTGAAGAACGAAGAGCCACGCAAGGACTTTATACGCGTAGGAGTCATGACAAGCGAAGCAATGGAGAAATGACGAGCGACGTACCATGAGCAATACATCATGTGATTGCTGCTTAGACGGACGCATGCGAATGAGGGTTGGAAACATCCAAGCAAGCAATGTCAATCAAGCGCAAGACACTGTAGGAGCGCACGGGTTGACAAAATAGACAAGCGAACTAGATTGATACAGGTAAGTAATCATGACAGGAAACAAATTGCCCCCACAAAGTAGCGAGACAGTCGCTGGCCATCCTTCGCGGCTTTAGGGCAATTCGAACGAGAGAAAGCCGACTGCGGCAGAAGAGCGTGGACTGTGTGACATGAGCTGACAACTCTAGGATAGAGACCATCAAGCACTGGACTCGACAACGGAGTTGCCAAGGGGAAATGGCAGGTCTGGGATGGGTGGTGAGGCACGCGTCGGTTATTGGGCATCTCGCTGGAGCCTCCCTCTGTGATAACCGAACTTTCATGTGGGGCTGCCCTCTTGACCACGATCGGGGATTGCGGACAGATTTATCGCGGTGAATTTGACGTTGGACTCGTGACAAGCCGGCATCGTGGGTGGTAAAATAGGAGCAAAGGGCTTTGTGACAACGGCGGACCGAAGAACACCTGGTGCGGGATCGGAGTCAGCAACGAGAGGATCAAAGAAGGGGGATACCGTCAAGCGGCGAGCAAACCTGATCCGATAGAGATATCTGTTTCGCAATGGTAATGTTGTATTCGTGGTTTACTCGGGTGATGGGAGTCCTGGCTTCGAAGGTATCCATGTACTCTGTTCGTCATCATGGCGGAGGGAGCGTCCTTGAGAGGAGAGGGCCGAAGGTATTCACGCCAAGGGCACAGCACAGCAGGGATTGGAGTAACGAGGTACACGATCACTACGAAAGGCAGAATAGTAATGGGTCATGGGTTTGAAAGTAGAGGAAACAAAGTAGAACGTGACCGCAGAATGAGGTGGTATGCAGTTCTGAAGGATTGGTCGTGTGCGAGTGTCCTCAGCGACCCCGTGAGGTGGAAGATCAAACAATGACCAGCACCCAACTGAATGAGTGATGGTCCCGGGCGAAGAACCCAAGAATCAAGGAAAACTTGGAGGGCTCGAGGAAGACGGGTCATCGGCCCATCACCACTGCAGCTACTGAAATGACAGGAGTCCTGATGCGTTCTCCACGAAGGAGGTGTGAGGCAGCAGCTTGCAGACGGGCTGGGCACTGCATCGCGGGATTCATTGTTACCCACATCGTAATATACCTGTAAGGCTTTGTGACTGTTACATAGGCAATATGCACCGTAAAATGGAGAATCCTACATGCTGCGGACAATGCCAACTCGGTTTAACAAAGCAATGGGAAATACAAAGCGTCAAGCCGCGGCTTGTCCGTAGACCTTTCTTTGTTAAAAGAATCCCATTGTCATTGATGCATTTTGCCGAGAACTTGTTCTGTACGGTGGCCACTACTAGGCCATTGTTACGGTACCTGCGTGGTAACGACACCGATCGGGGTCCGCCTCGATCTTACCCCTCATCTACCCGCAGGCACTCTGAACAAGATCACTTCCATTTTGCATTTTCATGACGGATTTCTAACGCAAATGGGACTCCCCACGCTTCTTGTCGCGCAAATTAGTACAAGGCGAGAAGAGCAGATGCTTCGGGTTGCCCCGTGCAACGTGCATCCCCGGGAAATACAACCGCGTCAACAACCCCCTTTGCCAACTGAGCCCCTCATCAAGCTAGTCGACCCGAACCACATGGGCGGCGTTCAAAGTCGACAGTGCCCGCCGTTCATCCATCCATATTCCTTCCAAGCTCGAACAACGCACTCGGCAGAACGCGCCCGCGAATCCAATGCCGCGAATACCACTGGAATCCGTCGCCGGTCGTGGTCATTGATGGATGGAGCCTCGTGTCACGTCCTCACCCTGACGTCATCGCCCTTGTCGCCGCTAATAGCCGGCCTACCTCTTACCGTTCGAGGCCTACACTACTCCGTGAGAGACACATCGAGTCGAGGAACCCGTCGGTCTGTCCCAGAAGCAGATTGGGCGACGATGGACGATAATGTTCGCGGCTGACTTCCTCCAAGTTGCCACTTCTCCAAAAGCCCTTGGCCTCCGTTGTCTAGGTGTCGCTGAGTAGCCCCTTTCCTTTTATAACTATCATGCTCCTGATGCGTCGTATTTTCGTTTCCCTTTTCTTGCTCTTTTTCCTCTGCGTAAATTCTTGTGGTCCTCTTACCTCTCCTATCTGCGTAATAACCATGAGTATCTCACACACTGCATGGGAATAGACACACTCTCGAATGAGGACCGAAATTGTTCTGTTCGTCTTGACCCTCCATGAACTGAGGATCGCTTTCCTTTACTTTACCATCAGCACTCTGCCACCCTGTCCTCCACTCCCTGCATAATGACTGTTAAACAGCGATGCTGATGCTTTGAAAGGGATAGAGGATTTGGCTCAGTTACTCCTCGCCATACCGGTTTCGAGATTCCTCGCGCCGCGAAGGATACCCGATGCCCTCGATGAAACGCTGCACTCTCAACTCTCGAACCAAACCTCGTAGAAAAACTCCAAAGAGCTCGACGCTCAAGAAAACAAGCCAGGGAGTCACTACTATATCTCGACATCACGGTCATGCGGAGTGATGAGGGCCGGGCCGAGGGCAAATAAAGCGATACGTAGGGAATGACGAAGACAGGCGAGATCAGGGAGAGAAACATGGGAGAGGTAATACAAGCACAAAGCGATCGAGATCTCGGATCCTTCGTATCCCATCGCGCAAAGCCCTCTCGATGCCCATCCGTGCTTCGAAAGCGTATCCTCGACAATCCCCATTGCGTCTCTCCGTTAGCCCATAACAGTTGATTCACGGCGCGATGGGACTTCAAGAACGGTTGCCGGAACGCCGACCCTGGAAAAGAAGATATTGTAGATTCGCGCGTCAAGAGAACTGATTCGCGACGAGAGACGGGGAAAAGAAAAGAGACACAAGCACCCAACACATTGACACGCTCCATCTCCGCCCGCACAGTCGCACCAACCCCCAAGCCTTCTCGATCACCGTTTCACAAAGCGCTTCCCAGCGAGCCCGACGCCTCTTGCCCTCCTCTATACGATCCTCCCCGATACCATCCTCCTCGACACGAATCCCGCATAGCCATCGAGGCCACGACCGATCATATCCCATTATAGATCCTCGCCGCCATCGCCGCCAGCTTCCTATTGAACCCATCATCCATCGGCATGTGATGTCCGCCCTCGATCCTGAACACCTTCCTTGCCGACGGCTCAAAGAACTCGATCATCGACTCGCTCTCGTAATTGTACGGATCGCCGCTCGCCAGCACATGGATACTTTCGGTCTGCACCTTGCCCAGCTCCAAGCACGCCTTCGCATACGGGCTTCTTCGATCCTGTGGGTCCTTGATCCCTTGAAACGGACAAGTTGGACACACCGTGATGACAAAATCAACCGCTCTCTCTCCGCCCCTCTCCCGCTCGAGGTGTCGCAAGAGATGCAATGCCGCTTTGGCACCCTGCGAAAAGGCGACGACACCATCGAACGGACCTTCGCTGTGGAACACTTGGAGCATATCTTCAAGAGCTGGGAACGTGTCGAGCTCCTCGAGATCGGGCGGTTGGTCGTGCATCCACTTCAGAAAGGGCTCCATGCCGGCGAAGAAGGGGAGGACTCCAGGCCCGGCAGGACACTCGATGGGAGCCGAGACATAATGGAGGTCGAAGAATTGGGAGAGGGCAGCGTCGAGCTTGCGGGCTTGGATGCGGAAGATGTCCGGCGTGGTGCCGCCACCGTGTATCATAAGGATTTTGGGTCGCATGGTTACCACTCGCAGCTTTTGGGCTGCCGTTCGAAGAGACGGGCCGTGTGCGCTTGCTCGTCGCGAGCCAATTTCACACGGTGTTCGATCGTGCGTCAAGGTATATCTGGATCTGGTGTCGCGAGAGCTAGAAGTGCCATGAGAGACTAACGAGAGCGAGGTCTAGGAAGGCAACAGGGAGAGAAAACGGCCGGTTGTTCTACGGGGACTTTCCAGCATATCAAGCCCAAATCTCGCCGATGTCTGATGTCCGGCAGCCATGCGTCCGAAGTTGTAGTACAACGTAGGAGGTACAAAGGCCCTTGCAGCTTATATCTCCCAAAGCGGCATGAAGTCTCATGGTTACACTCGCGAATCCGGCAGCTTGGCACGTCGGTATGTCAGATGTTCACCTGTACGACGATAACACAAGAACCGCCTCATCAAGGATGAACTCGACCGTTGTGTGGAAGCGATAACATACAGCAGTTCAACCAAGCGGCTGGACCATGCCCGTAGCGGTGTCGTGGTTTTCCCCAGCCTCCCGAGCGCTGACGCCAGTCTCCTTTCTCAACACCACGCGACTCCAAGTCCAGCGCAATCTACGTACACCCTCTCAAGTCCTTTCATACGATTATCGGTCCTTCTTCCACCCTGTCCTCTTGCTTCTATAACGATCAACCCCCGCACTGACGACTTTTCGAACAAGCGTTCTTCTCCCGACCAAGAGTACGGCTGGCGACACCCATACCATTTCTACACTCAACCATGCGAGATGCCGGAGGTTGACTGGCAACGGTAGAATTGACAAGTCCCATGGCAGACAAGACAGGCTACCGCGGGCAGATATCATCTTGCCGATGGGGAGTGACTTCGGCAAGCGCTCACAAATAGAAGGGCGTTACCGACGCCATTCAGCTGTCAACGACTGCCGCATCCCCAACTTCACGCCGCGAAGAGAGCAAGGAACCAAATGCTTGATTTTCCCGTGCCTTCGGGAAAACTAGGCTCCCTGAAACTGGGAATTATATACCTTCGATACCCGTGTGGGAACCACTGAAGTGATGAGGGCTTTGGATTGACGAGAGTGGCTAACAACAGAGAGAGGAGATGTCGTGTGGAGTGATCTCGAGGCCTATTACGCTGCTTGCATAAGCCAATGCTAACGAGGAATTCTAAGACAGATATCAATGAGGAGCTTCGAGTTGCCACGCTCAACGAGACGCACGAGCAAATATCCACGGGCACGCGACTGCAAATGCACCATTCGTTAGCGAACCCTCCCCGGCCGAACCGCCCCGATCAAACTGTCCACGAAAGGACTATTCCCGAACAAACCATTCTCGAGCGAGCCGTCACTGAGAAGTCCATTCATGAATAAAGCATCCCGAGTGAGCGAGCGACCGACATATGAGCTGCTGACGAACGAACCGCCTACGAACTTACCGCGCGTATAAGAGTTGTCTAGAAGCAAATTATCCCCGAACGAACACTCCTGTCGACCCACGGTTGTTGCTTGTATGGCATCTCTGTCCCTACACCCAGGAGCACGCGCGATCTATCTACTACCACGATGAGAGATGTCCTCCGAAGGTCAGACCGAACAACGTCTGCATTCATGGGAGAATCAAGCGTGTACGACACGGCGCCGAGAGCCACGGGACTGAACACCACTGTTCGACGGCAACGAACAATAAGAGAAGATCGGGGGATAGAAACAATAAGCGGGGGAAGGCGTCAACTCCCAATCAAGCACACACGAGCGAAAGGCGTATGAACCATGTGATCGACACTCCCTCAAGTCTCATCATTCGAAGCCACTACTGCTTGAAATAGTCAGTCGAAGTTAGTCCGCATCTTTACGTATGGTACAGCCAACGGACAAGTTTACCTCTGCTGCGGCTCAACGTTATCCCCTTGCTCAGAGAAGTATCTCATTGCCGCGGCACTCTCTTAACTTTCTGTCTTTGCGGCCGCTTCTTTTCCCTTGTCACGCGAGTAATCACGCAAAGGGCTCAACTACCTATCACCCGGTATTCGAACAGCAACGCATGAACGTATTACTATCGGCGATTGGAAAAGGGGAAACCGTCCTGGTTACCTCAACTTCACAGCGCGCTTTTCAGCACTCGAAAAGGGTAAAGCAGTCGTCACCAGGACTATATCAAGAATTCAAGCTTTGAACGAGGGCTTTGGGGTCATCTTGCTTAGCTGAGCTCGAACGAGAGCCTGGACAGCAACCTAGTAGAAAAGACAATAACGTGAGCCGCGCCTGTATCCTCGTGGCAGCGGTTAAGAGTAGTGACTCCCATAGTGTTGCTTCCTGTGAAAGTTTGAATTAAGAGCTGCCAGTCCAGCGCTAGTGGTGCGTGAAACAGGCACTTGAGTGACTACATCTTTGGAGAAATGCTATCTGCAAGTAACTGCGCGGAACGGCTCTTCCAGCTTCACACACCAAGTCAGCGAAGTCGATAAAGATGATTGAAAAAAAAAGGATGCTCCGCCCCAAGAAAAGAAAAAAAAATGACAAAAGAAAATGATCCGACCCAGGCTCGATCTGGGGACCTTCAGTGTGTTAGACTGACGTGATAACCAACTACACCATCGGACCGTATTATTTGATATTGTGTGCATCACCCAAAACTCCTCATAAGCCTCGAATTATATCGATATTCAATGGCGCCCGTTTTACTTCAGCTTCGACAACTTGACAAGTCGACATTTGCGCCGCACAAGTCCAAGGACAAAATAGTAAGCGAAAGGCGGTATCTCCAGGTATTGGCAGGAGATAGGGGTAGGTAATTAGACTGATGAACGTTGCGAAGAAGTTGCGCACACTAATGGTGTTGGCGTGTGTCTCTTAGGCTGGTGAGTGGTTGCTCCAATCGATCGCACCTAGTCCGTCCGTCCGTCCGTCCGTCCGGCTGCCATAGGTAGGCGTGCGCATATGCTTGCCAACTCCCAACTCCCCAGACTGGGAAACGGAAGATAGTTTAGTTCCTTTGAGACAAGGCGCAGCTCAAACTACAGTTAATTCGAGTCGTTAATATATATCCCTTTCCTTGGGATTGTGTGACACAGTGATCATCCTCACATACTCAAGACAGACAGGAAATCTCCGAGGTACGATATCTGTGCCAGCGAATCAGGAGAGGAAAAAAGGCATTCGCATGCAGAGTGTCGAAGATGTCGGACCGTAGTCGGTTCCAAGATACCTTAACTTGAGTTGACTGCAGGGAAAGAGCAACACAGCAGTCACGCGAGGGAGCAACAGAAGGAAGGAGTGAAAGAAGGGAAAGAGTGTGTGAATATATGTAGGTACTTTCTCCATCTGCAATTACTCGCATCCTCTCATTCGTGTGCCTTTTTACCTACCTTACACTACTCATCAATTGTACAATGGACGACAACCCAAGCAACAAAAGTATTTACCAGAAACCAAAAGCCTATGACGAAGCAAACCCAAAACTCCATGTCATGTATGCGACAACCATAGATATGTTTCCCCCATCCCATCCGTCACTCACAACCCACCAAACGGTTCATCATTCTGCAGCATCGGCTGTCCAAACACCGGCTGCTGCTCCACCACCTTCTTTTGCTCCCCCTCTCCATTTGCGCCCATGTCCTGCCCCTGCCCCGGCACCGGCCTTCCCCCAAACATAATCAACTCCTCTCCCTCCTTCTTCTCCTCCGCCCCGGCCTGCTCCGGATGCAGCGGCTTCAGCGCCTGATCCTCGACCCTCATCCGTTCCTTCATCTCCCTCTCCAACTCCTCTCTCCTCCTCTGCTCCTCCTCCGCCTTGCGCACCGCCTCGCCAAACTGTTCCAGCCGGATCGCCTGCTCCTGTTCCTTCAGCTGCTGCTCCCGCAATTTCTCCAGCTCCATCCTCCTCTCCTCCTTCAACTTGTTTTGCTCTTCAATCGAAAGCGACTTGTACGCCTCCACGTCGCGATCCCATTTCTGCACGCAGGCCAAATCCCAATTACATCTCTCGACCTCGCCGTACACGGGGTGTGCGTAGCGCGGGTGTTTGGAAGGCCAATTCGATGCGTGGTAATGGTGTTTGACCAACGCCCCGCGGGCATTGTGGTTACCTGAGTCCGAGTGGCCTTGGCCAGCGGCAAAGGCTTCGACGTCTAGTACCAGCACGCGGGAAACGACCTTGGATTCGTCCATGGCGTGGAAGTTGTCCCAGGTGATTTCCTTTGGGCTATGAGAGATGCGATTCATCTCCTTCAGCAAAGCAATGGTGAACGCCGAGGGTCCCGTGCCGGAAATGACTTCGTCAAAGTCGAGGTGCAATTCCGAGAGGTGAACCTGTTGTTGTGCGGCAAGCGAGATAAGCCAGGTCATGATGTTTTCGACGAGGTTGAGCATGACGGGTAACCGAGGCTTGCACATGAAGGTCCATTGGCAGAAGGACATGCATTTGGACCCTAAAATCGGGTGGTCGCGGAATTCGGGCTGGTCGATCTCGATGCCGACCACCATGTCGATTTCAGAAAGCGAGTCCCAGTAACGTTCGGGCACGAACCGCTTGATGGGCCGCAGAGCCTCGACGTCGATGTCGGCGTAGACGCCACCTTCGGCGTACATGATGAGGTACCGGAGCAAGTCGGCTTTGATGATGGAGATGTTGACGGCCCGATAAAAGTCGATAATGTCCGGGCGGTTGATACCGTGGGGACCATACTGCTCTTCCACGTAGACCATGTCGTTGTTATCCGTCAAGACCTCGTAGCGGTAGCTCGGGTTCTTGGTGGTCCACGTCTTGGCCGTGTTAAGGTCGCGGGTGGCCATGTTGTAGGGGTCGACCTTCCAGGATTGCCAGATCTTCTTGGGAAAGCCATGGTCAGCAGGATGTTGTTGTTGATGGCCGTTGAGTATGCTGCTGGTCGAGGGAGGCAATGTCACGACGTGGGCGTTGAGCATGAGGAAAAGGAGGACGGCGACGACGGCGTACAGAGGGAGGGCCCGCCGAAGCTGCGTGGGGATCCGGTTCCTGAAGGCCCCCGTCCCCGTCTCGGACATCTGCCTCCACTTGATAGGTATATTGCCCAGAGTGGGCGACAAGGGCGACAGGGGAGATAACGGTGGAGAGCTCATGATCATCCGACTATAACAATAATCTATGTCTGGGGGCTATGACCTGTCGTGTATGTGCAATGCCCCGTATCCGTGGGATGAAACAAGTTTGGGACACGGGGTGGAGGGAACAGGAAGAAACAAGGGAGAAGAAAGAACACAAAACCAAAGCAAGTCACACGAAGGGGTGGGGGGATGGGGGAAGGACTGGGTATATCAAGGAAACATAATGTATAGGGTGCCCAGGTCCGTTCCAAGGTGTCAGGGGGAGGAGAAGATGGGCGAAGATGGCGAGTAACCAGTAAGCTTCCGTAGAAGCGTGCTGAGTAAACACAGGATTGTCCCTACAGGTATGTAGTAGGTAGGTAAATACAAGGAATCCGGGCAGCCAGGGGGACTGATCTTGGTCGCATCTAGTTGGGGGTCCCCGATGCACAGACCATTCTGGAGTCGCAACCAACTGTCTGTGATGGCAAGCTGACTATACAGAGCAAACAGTACACATGGCCATTGGTGAGGTGGTTAGTACAGTGCCCTGTCTGTTCATTCCCCAACTCCGCTCTACAGAGCTTAACACCTAAGAAAACCCTAAGAATCTGTACACAGAAACCGACATACCAACTACCAAGGACTCTTGCACGGATGTCTCCCCCCAACATGTCCCCAAGAAATTTGATGGAGACAATACCTTGGCAGATCCTTGCTGAAGGAGGAAGTGACTGGAGCTTCGGTCGGGGATTACCACTGCACCATTTACAATGGAGCTTCAGCCGGGGGATGGATGGATGGATGGTCGGAGCTTTCCGTTTGCTGAGTGGAAATGGATACATAACCCGACCAACCTCTTTGCAAGTTCCACAGGGGCAGTCCACGCACGCATGGGGGGGTGACGGAAGCGAAAACAAGCTTTTTTTTTTTTTTTTTTTGCGGGAAGAATCGATGGAGTGCGGGGGCCATCAAGACAAGCAAAGCAGTGTTGGGTGATCTTGAGAGGCAACGGGGATGGTATTGGACATACACAGCTTGTACTTGACTTCAGTTGCAAACTCGGGCCTCCGAAGTATCAGAGGGATGAGTATAACGAAGTCAACAGTCAACTTAGTGACCCAGTCTGATGACATGACCGGTCGGCTGTGGAAACCCCTCTACAAATGTGCCGTTGGTCGGAGGTTGCTTCTAAATTCAGGAACGACTTGGCGATCGTCAGAGTGGCTGATGGAGTCCAATATCCTCGTGGTCCCTAGAGGTAGTTCCCCCCAAAGAGAGACGATCCTCTGCAGAAAGCGGTAGGTAGGCACGTACATGTAAGTTGGGTGTCGTAGATAGGTAAGCCAGTGAGCGTGAACACGAAAGAAAGATTGGAGCCGCAGGTAGGCGTGAGTGTTACCCTGTAAAGTGAAGGCTACTGATTGGGTATTTGTGACGAGGGAGGGTAACATCAGGGTAACATTGCCAGGGCTTCTTTCGCTTTCCCTTCCTTCTCTGCCACCCTCCCTCGGCCGACGCCAGATGCTAGTTTTCAACGAAGACGTGGAAAGATGAAGCTGCCATTTTGCTTTCGGTTTTCCTTTTCCCTTTCTAGCCCCAGGTTAGAACTGGAGTGTGGTTTTGCCAGCCCGGAGCAAATCATGGTTCTCCGTATGCTTATGACAGGGGTTTACCCTACAGATATTCTTCAAAGTGGAACCCGAGACGGGCTGCTTACCTAGGCGGCGCTTGAGCGCATCATGTGAAAGTGATGCCATGTACATGTACATACCGTGGAAAGCACTCAATTGACTCGGACAGAGGCATGATGTTGGAATGATCGGGGTTCAATCCTATCCTTCCCTTTGACCCCGAATTCCGAACCTTCACTTGTCCGGCAAAGTGTATCGGAAGTTGAAGACAACTGAAGATGTGGATTTGGCCACGGGGAGAAACTGTCCTTAGAAAGTCAAGAGACTGTCAAATGTCTGTTCGCAGCTCTGGACTTTGGCTGGACTTTTTGTCATGGAGTGTTCGTGCCTTTCTTGTCGGCCTGTCTTGTCCTCATTTCTCCCCCGCAAACAACCCTGACGGTCCCCTGATCTGATCCATCCATCCCCGGCCCCGGCCCATCTCCGTTCTCCATCTTCACAAGCGAGGACCTCCCCGTTGCTCTCTCCACTTCCTTCCGCACTTCCCCCGCATATCGTATCTGACGTACACTGATCAATTCCCTCTTGAGCGGGTGTTGATCAATTGCCAACCTCGGAAGAATTGGCCTTTGGAGATGGCGAACGCACATTACCGAAGTCTTGCTTTACCTTTCCAATAATCGAGGTGCCAGATGTTGAAAAGAAGATTTTGCCGACGGGAATTTGTGTCTGTCAACATCCGTCAATCACCGTCCAACCAACTGGGAAGCAAGCCACACACCCGCCACAACAACTCTGTCCTCAGCCCGCCAAGCAACTCTCCAGCCACACAGCAACCGCATTCGGACATTGCACCAAATTCCATTCGCCGGCTTCCATTTGTTTAGCGGCCACTATCCCCCATTAACCCCCACCCTTTAGTGGATCAACAATCGCGACAGGTGCTTTATCTCCCTGTAACGACACGCTTTCAGTGGACTTGGCAGGGGTCATCACCTAACACACTGACACCAATAACATCTTGAGGATTGTTGCCCGAGTCTCGGTTGCGCATCCGATAACATCCAATCCCCCCCTCCAAGCCACCCGCCAAACAGACCAACCACAACCTCAGCTCGAGGTTGGTAGGTACGCGGCTTGGTTTCAAATCCAGAGTCGCGTCTTGTTTCCCCTCCGTGTCCATGCCTGGCGATCTCGACCACGACCTCGACCCCGAAAAGTGGCATGACAACCGAAACTCGTGTCGCTTCCCTCTTCTCCGGAAGCCCATCATCGCCATCATGACCGCCCTGACCATGCCTTCCTCGACGGCCTCGGGCCTCGTCAATCGCCTTACAAACATGTTTGCCCTGCCCAGCTTCGATGCGCCCGAAAAGCTGCGACCAACGGCCTACCTCGACGGCCTGCGCGGCTTCGCTGCCTTCCTCGTCTACTGGCACCACCACGAACTCTGGTCGCACGGCCTGGTGCGCGACGCCATCTTCGAACAAGGCTACGGTTTCGACGACCAACACTACTTCAGCGCCCTGCCCTTTGTCCGCAACTTCTTTGGCGGCGGCCACTATGCCGTCGCAACCTTCTTCGTCATCTCGGGCTACGTCCTCTCCGTCAAGCCCATGCGCCTGATCCACGCCGGCGAACAAGAAAAGTTGGCCGATAACCTGGCGTCGGCACTGTTCCGACGATGGCTGCGCCTCTTCATGCCCCTGATTGCCACCACGTTCCTGTTCATGACCTCGTGGCATGCGTTTGGCATCTGGGTCGACTCGGCCAAACCGCAGTCCAACTACCACGACGAGTTCTGGTGGTGGTACGCAGAGGTCAAGAATTTCAGCTTCATCTACCACCTCGGCGGCGAGCCCTGGCTGAGCTACAACTTTCATCTGTGGTCCATTCCTGTGGAATTCAGGGGGTCCATGGTCATCTACACCAGTCTTCTCGCCTTTTCGCGATGCACAAGAAAGGCTAGGCTGTGGTGTCAGGTCGCCTTGATCTTCTACTTTGTCTACATTGTCGACGGAACCCATTACGCCCTCTTTAGCGCCGGCATGCTTCTCAACGATCTGGACTTGTTGGCTATGAAGGATGACCTGCCTAGCTTCCTTACTCAGCTCGAGCCATTCAGCAAGCACCTCTTCTACTCCCTTTTTGTAGTCAGCTTCTACCTCGGAGGCGTGCCCGTTCACACCAAGGACATCAACGACCTGGCCAAGACTCCTGGGTGGTATTACCTGTCATTCCTCAAGCCGCAGGCTGTCTACGATTACAAGTGGTTCTACCTGTTCTGGGCTGGTGTCTTCTTGGTGGTCTCAGTTCCACGCATCCCCTGGCTCAAGCGATTCTTTGAGACGCGCTTCTGCCAGTACTTGGGTCGCATCTCTTTTGCGCTTTACCTGGTCCATGGTCCTATTCTTTGGACGATTGGCGACAGAATCTACACGGCTGTTGGGTGGGCCAGGGAGCCTCAGATTACCATGCTGGCCAACTGGGTCAACAAGTTCCCCTTGCCCATGGCTGGACCCTTTGGCCTTGAGATGGCCTTCTTGCTGCCGCATATCATTCTCTTGCCTTTGACTTTGTACGTCGCCGAGATCTCGACAAGGCTCTTTGACGAGCCTAGTGTTACCTTTCCCAATTGGCTCTACAAGCAGGTGTTGGGAAGTGGGCAGCAGCCTACAAGATTACCTTGAAACACGATAAAGTCATGTATGTGACGAATACGATATAATCAGGGCATGAGAGGAGCTTGCTTGGAATTTGATACCAGTTGCGCACACATCTATATCTAGACAGCAATCAGATATTATTGGATTGGATATTGACATGATCTTAATTCCTATTTCGATTTCTACTTGACCTCGCTGTACAAACCAAAACAAAGACAAGACCGACCAGTGCCTGATCCCGTACCGTCTCATCAAAATCCAAATCCATCCAGTTGCTCCGTCCGTGGTTCCGTTGGATTCCCCTCATCACATGTGTCCAACATAAATGCGACCATAGCGTCGCACCCCCAACCCCCAACCCCCACGACCCCCTGTTGACCAAGATCATCGCTCTGAAGAATCCCACGAATCCACACCACACTCACTCCCAGTGACGTCGATCGCATGCACGAGTTACATTGCAAATTACACAAAAGGAAGCTCTGAAAAACGGGACAACTTCCGGACGAGGCTAGATACTTGCTTGATCAGATCATCAAGGTGGTGTCCGTTCGTTTAACTGTCGTGTACGGTGGCCCAAGTGTGACTTAGGTCGTTTATAAAACTGGTCTAAGCTCCCAGTTGGGGCTAGGTGTTGGCCATTTTATATTAACGCCTTTACCACACTTACTAAAATTCAATACTCACGCCCAGACCTTGAACTTTAACTTCAACTTTCCTAGCTTCTTTCCTCTCTTCTTTCTTTCCTCTCTTTCTTTTTTCAACCTTTTTCTTTTCTTCTCCCCTTTTTTCATCTTCATATTCTTCTTTTCTTTCTCTTTTTCTTTTTCTTTTTTCCTTCTTTTCTTCCTTTCTCTTTTCTTTTTTCTTCTTCTTATTTTAGCTTCGGGGTAGGTTTAGGAGGGGGGAAGGGGGGAGGGGGGGGGATCTATTTGCATTATTACCTTACCCCAATTTAAAAATTTGGAGAAGAACTAAGTATAGAGCACTCTACTTCAAACTAAACTAAGCAATGAAAGTTAAGGTCTATTTATACTACTACTTAAAGTCTTGGCTCCTATCTGGAGGTAATAAAGCAATAAAGCAATGAAGTAGTAAAGTAATAAAAGTTAATGAGAGTCAATAGGAGTTAATGAGAGTTAGTGGGAATCAATAGGAGTTGAAGTAATGTTGCGGGAGACAGCTTATTAAGGCTATCTTCCAAGCTTAAGAGATTGGATACTACCCCCCAGTGCAAGCTTAATGCCTATAGCTGGTTAGACTTCTTGTTTTTAGAACTTTTGGATAAACGACCCAAGTCACACTTGGGCCACCGTAGTCGTGCAGGAGGGGCCGGAGAGGATGTAACCCTAGTTTATTCTTTTTTTTTCTTCTTCCTCGGCTCTTCGGGCAACCAACCTAGCATGGCGGTTTTTTTTTTTTTCTTCTTTGTGCAAAGCATACTTGTGATGTGGTCCACTACGAAAACAAAAATTAGTAGTCCTCGCTTTCAAGATCGCTTTTGTTCTAGGTTTTGTTCCTGACTGTTATGTACATACGCAGTAGTGTACATACATACATACATACCTAGTTGCCGAGGAACGTCGGTCTGTTGTCGACACGTGCTGCTTGCTGTTGATCGTACCTACCTGTACCGCAAAGAGTCGGACCGTCGTCAATCTTGGGAAGCTCGCTTACCTTTTAAGGATACACAATCAGACATATGTATGTATGCATTATGATGTATGTCCCTAATCTGTGCATTTAATGCTCGCAAAAGGGGGTTAAGCGAGCTTCCAAGATGAACGGCCCGAATCCTGATGGTATACTTTGTATGGACAAGTCACTGTCCAGAAGGTAAACGAAGGAAGCAGTCTCCCCGAGTCCCCTCAAAGATCACCACCACCGCTACTGAAGGATCACTGAGGCTGTTGTACTTCCCTCGAGTCTCCACAGATTCTCACAAAACGAGCAACGTTCAACCAAGCTTTTGCCAACCCCCGCTTGATCTGCACGTCCACCTTCGGCACGCAGTATGTAGGCATGCGGGGAGGAAAGCAGGGTCTCCGTCACTGCGCTATAGAATACTAGGTACCTATACTGTACATATTTCCATGTTTTGAGAATCCAAGATCCCAGCTTTGCCAGAGTCCACACCGGTTTGATGCTACTTATCCAAACCAGTTTTTTTTTTTTTTTTCACAAGAGGGGGGAACTAAACTTGAAATGGCAGGAAACTTGCATGCCATCTCGAAAACTGCGGATGAAGAAGGGGTCAAGCCCATGTCCACTAAACCTTTCCTGGAAGAAAGGACCGAGGAAGAGCTGTACATCCAATACTCCATCCATCCAAATCCACTCCAAAGGCTCGAGGCCCGGTGGCAGTTTCCGGTACTTTGTCAGAGACATCGTGATTCGAGCATTCTGGCTTGGCTCGCTTGTAGTCCCAGTTTCACCTTTTGTTAAGTTGACACTCGAGCCTTTTCATACAGTCCATTGTTACACATCTATTGACACCTCAGCACCTGAAAAATATCACCGCCATGATCGTCAGGGACCTCAGACGTCTCTGCCTCATCATCGGTTCCTTTCTTTGCCTCATCTCCATCACCCGCATCATCTGGGCGTTCCCTTCTCTAGCCGGGGTGAGCGGGACCAAAATCCTAACCTCCCTCCTCGGCGACACTTTTGGTGGTTCCGACGGCATAAGCGGCTCCTCATCATCATCATCATCAAGAAACCAAGTACCCTACCACGGCGGCGGCAGCAATTCTTCTTCTTCATCATCATCCAAAGATGGCACCGCCAAATCCTCATCTTCCTCCACGTCGGGAGCTTCAAACGGCGACAGTATCGCCTCGACGACGACGACGACGACGACGACGACGACGACGACGACGACGAACTTGAACACGCACCACAGCCATCAAACAATCTACTCAGTCTCCACCCCCAACGGCGCCTACTTCCGCATCCAATTCGCTTCCATGTCTTCTTCCTCCTCTGATGACGAGCACATCACACCCGCTTTCAATCCCAACATCATCCCCCACCCAACCCGGCCAGGCATCTTCATCGTCGTCGCGCAAAAGTGGCAAGACCCGCTTCCTCGCGATCCATCATCCCCTGCCGGCTCTGCTAAAAGCAAGAAACCACCACCACCACACAAGTTTCAGCACGTAACTACCTCGTCAGAAGTCCACTGTCTTGCTTCTTTTGTTGATATCACCCTTTTCACTTCCACTACCACTTCCCAATCCCAATCCCAATCAAAACATCCAGCGTCTCAAGAGAATAAGCAAAAGGAAAAGTCAAAAATCCTCCGATGTCTACCGGAGCACCCGCCCTACCCCCTCCTGATATCCGCAACACCAGGGAACAACTGCGTCGGACCCCTCTTGGGAGTCTTGACGTTTAATGTCGGTCCGCATGATGCTCGAGTGTTTTACGGAGGGGACGGCAAGCCGTATACGATTTTCGGAAGCAATTCGCAGTTTACATGCTTTGGGATGTGGATGCAGGATTTCCGGGTGGTGGTGGAGTGGTGGGGGGTGCAAGTGGAGGCGTTTGGAGCGGGGGAGGGGTGGCGGGTTGCGGGGGAGTTGCAGCGGCCTAGTAATCTACCTCTGGGAATGGGGGATGGCGGTGGTGATGGAAAAGGAAAGGGGGATCAAAAGGGTAATGAGGAGTTGAGGGCGGCGGGCGTTGCCGGTGAGGATACGGGTCTTGAGGGGAAGCCAAAGATTGCGCCAGGATGGAGCGAGGTGGAAAAAAACTGGTTTGTGTTTTGGGCTCCTCCCCTTCCCCTCGACTCTGGCTCCTCCGACTCCTCCCTAGACTCATCCCACCACAAACCCCAAGATCAACAGCAACTCCAGACATACATCCATTACGACTTTTACCCGCACCGCTCCTTCGCCCTCTTGCACGATGACGGGTCCGCCACTGCCATTCCCTCTTCTTTCATGTCAGCTCACTCCGACGAGAAATGTCTTTCTCACTTCTTGCCTCCCTTACCATCCGGAGAACCAGTGTCAATCCACCAATCGACCAACAGCCTCCGACTCACCCTGTGTAATCGCTCCGAGCCAACATGCGTGGTGACGGAGGAGAATACCTACATCTTGACCATGATCCAGTACAAGACGTTTTACCACTTTCATTCGGAATATGAGCCGTATGTGGTGTTGTTTTCCCAAAAAGCGCCGGGGTTTGAAGTGTTTGGGGTGTCGCGGAAGCCGCTGTGGATCGAGGGGCGAAAGAGAGAGAAAGGAGAGGAGGGACAGGAGAGAACGGACATGTTTTATGTGACCAGTGTCAATTGGCGTGATTATCACGGAGACCAACAAGGGCCGGGGTATCATGGGTATCTGGATGATGTTCTGATTATCGGGTTTGGCATTGAGGATAAGGAGAGTGGAGGGATTGATGTGTTGGCTGGGGAGTTGGTCAAGGGGATCGGGATTTGCTCCGAGGTTGTGGGCGATGTGAAAGAGCAGGCGACGACGGTCTCGGTGTTCGGTGGTGGTGAGAAGCAAGTCGAGCAAGGGGAGAACGCTCCTCCGGGGTCTGATGGGTTCCCGGCTCAGGACATTCCACCGGAGATTCCAGCTGATTTTCCGGCCAATTTCCCCGCGGCTGCTCCAGCTCCGGAACCGGTGCAAGCGGATTTCGGTTTGGGACCGGGAGTGCAAATGGACACTCCGCCGCCGCAACCTCAGCCCGAGTCGCAGAACGGAATCTGATGGGACACACAATACGATGGTGCCTCATTCCTGTTCCAGATCGTCGGGATTGCGGCGTCGGCCGTTGAGCGTTTCTGCCGCAGACCGACAAACACACAGATCGCAATCGCTCAGTCGAGTCGGGAAGGAACATGACGGACAAGACATCACCGGCGCCGAAAAAAAGCCACCATTCCGAGACAAAAACTCTTCTTTCTGTTGAGAAATTGGCCTGGATTGACACACGCTGCGGCGCTCACGTGGGCTGCACAACACCACACATTTCATGTCATCATTATACCCACACTAGTACCACACGATCCGTCCACGCCACCACCATCACCATCAGCCGAGCGTCTTCTTCGCACTGTCTCTTCACACCACCACCACCACCACCACCACCACCACCACCACCACCACACCACCACACCACCACTATCGATCTGAAGGAAAAAGATGGTGTATGACATGGGCTGCCTTCAGCCAGCCTTGCCTAGTGTCCTTCCCTTGTGGCTCCCGCTCGCATCTGCGCGGTGACACTGACGGTGACAGTCGCACACTTTACCCAACCCTCTTACACTGCGCGCAACCACATACTAGCACACAAGACTACAAGGGCGATACAAAGTTGGTGTTTGGTGTGTTCATGTCGGATGCCGTCCGTTGTCACTCATGGCCGAATGCGTTCGACGAATGCAGGTGTGGCAGTTCCGACATACGCCAGCTCTATACAGTCTGCAGCCAGAAGCAAGCAAGGTGTGAAGAAGGTGTATGCAGGTGAGACACTGAGCCGTTGATACGGTGGACGCCTCTACCTCTACCTATCTACCACGGGACTTGGCGTTGCAAAGTTCTTATCGTCAGGTGTTCAATATTTCTCTGTCGCTCCATCAAGTATTTCAGTTCTTTCCGGATGTGGTCTGGCTGTCACGATCCGTATCAAGGGATGAAAAAGACATGTCTTCTATTCGATATCTTCTCAGTTTCTCCGTCGTCTTCGCTTCTTCGCTTCTGTCCTTCATTCGATGCCGAAGAACTCGGACGCCTAATCCAACATCGGCTTCATTGTGAGTACCAGGCAGCGAAATCGGATCCTTGTCCCTACTTGAATATCCCTGAGAATGGACGGGGATCACCGGCTTGTGTGCTGGGTGAGGGTCAAGTCTATCCAGGTCTCGGCAAAGTCAAGGGCACAACGACAAACCCTCGCGTCCTCCGTAGGACTCACACCTTGTCCTCCATCACGCGGCGACACGACCAAGCTGAAAGACACAGGCACTAATTGAACTCACCAGTTCGTCAAAGGCGGTGGACAAAAGATCGGACAAAAAGGGGAGAAATAAGCGCATGTGCGGCGCAGGAACATCTTACCTCCACAAGTCGCTTACGCTCCACTTTCAGTTCGGCTGCGATCTGCAGACTGCAAGGGACAGTCCTACGCTTACGCAGTGGTCATCCTCAGGACACCATCGCGACCATCATCATCTTTTCTGCTCACCTCTCTGCTCACCTCGGCAACCCCCTGTTTTCTCGCCTGGACACACCGATACCTTTCGAACAAGCCACTAGGGTAGGGTATCTCCGAGTCTCACTTCGTCACCATTAGCCTCGCCTCGTCTCGTCTCGTCATCCGTCACTCAGCCACGTTCACGACCTCGCGGTGAGCGCCGTGACTCGAGATCCGTGACTCGTGATAGCCTTGGCTCCAGTTTGTACTCATATGGACGGTGAGTCCGGTGTACCATGGCCACAAGGCTTGGTGGCTGGGTGCACAATCTTGTTCAGCAAGTGACGTTGGTCGCTACGGTACGGCTGACGATCATTCTCAGTCTCACTCTGGTCATGTCGTACTGGGAGTTGCGGTTGGAAGGTGGATTGCGTGTTCGTGTGGGCGGTCGACCATTGACCTGGACGAGGCTAGTTGTTGCCGGGTAGATACTCTGCCTTTCCAGCCGAATGGGCCAGAGGGTTCGATGAGATTGTCCATTTGGGATCCAGACGAGTGCTATGCAAAGGACCTTTGAGAAGCGGGAGGTGAAGGACAAGGTTGCCTAGAAGATTGCTTGGGTGCTGCTCTGGGGTTTCAGCATACATTACAAGGACAGCGAACATTAAAGGCACCAAGGACCCGGTTCAGTAGGAGTTTACTCACCTGTAATGCCAGATTCTTTGCTTGATGGCTACCTTTCCTACCAGTATATGGACTGTCGGTTTTCCTGTGATAGAATACCTTCTATGTCGTAATTCTTCCCGTGCATCTCTTCCTTCAAACTCTGGTCCTTTTCCTTACGTCGCGATGTCCGTTCATTATGTACCTAGGGTAGGTCACTATTTGACCCCTAGCAGAAAAGAGTAGTAGCATCAGTTGAATACAGGCCTGTGTGGTGACTGCAGTCCTTCCTCCCCTCTCGACACACAATGTTAAAACAATAGCATTATACGATTCCGCGTCTTCCTTTTTTTCCTGGAACAAGGTGCCACGAAAGAGCAGGACACGTGGTTGTTTCGTTTCATTTCGTGATCATGCCAACCTCTCGAAACCGAAACCGAACCGTTCTTTACAACACAGCGAGGCATGTAATTTCCCTAGAAGCCAGGCTGGAAAGCGGCCTCCAGCAGCTGAACCAGCACCACATCACCACCATCACTACGGTTGATGGCATCCACTTGTAAGTATTCGCAGGATAATAGGTAGGATTTGACACAAAACCGTTCAAAACGGCCCCCAACTCCACCCACGCATGGTCCCAAACCAAACCCAAACTGCTGCTGCCTGCGCCGCCCGACAGACACCCCGCCGACACTTGGATTTACGAACTTGCATCCGCGCCGCATCGGCGCCGATAGTAATCTTGTCTGTCTGTCTCTCTCCGCAGGTGACTAACCCTCGGCCTTTCGTTTCGGCTGGTTCTTCTTGAATGTGGCTACCTAGAGGTAGGTATGCGAGAGGTTTCTCACCTTGTCTTTGTCGGGCGACCGATGACCGTACCAACCTACATAGCAAGTGGAATGACCATAACGAGAGGAGTGGCTCGTCCGAAAAAGGAAATGCGGCGACCTAGTGTAGAGCGTGTAAGTCATTGGACTTGACCTGGCACCTCCCTGTCCTGGCTCGCTACCTAGCTAGCGTAGGCGGCAGTGCTTGCAGCCCAGACGCTGCAAGAAAAACAGGGTCCTTGAAGTCTCAGAAAGCAGGGACCGTGGATTACAGGGCGTGCAGGATTGGCAGGGTCCTTGCTGGAAGCAGGCGCAGACGCGGGTGCCTGGGCGGTGCTTCTTGCTGGTGCTTGCTGGTGCTTGCAGGGTCCTGCTGGGGTGTCTCGAATGGAGGGGTGTACATACTCTAACAGATTTTTGTGTAATTCTCACCAAAATCTGTTACTGTTACAGTGGAGCTTGCTACAGTACTTGTACACAGGGACCTACCAGTGGACAACCCACGCGGGCAAAACTCCGACGGCGATCTCCTCCGCTTTCTCCTCCTCGGTCCACTCCGTGAGGGCAGTCCGTCTGCCACCGCGTGGGCCAATGTCGTCATTGCTCAAGGTGCTCAAGGAATGCGCAGGCAACATAACATCAATGGTCATTGTTTGGTAGTTCTTACTATGTAGGTAGGTTCATGGGATCTCATGTATGGCGCACGATGTTCGCCGCGATTCGATCTCTCGGCCAGTTGGCCCGATCATTCGCTACAAGTAGGGCAAATCGGCTATACCCGAAGGCCCGTCTGCCCGCGCCCGCCTAGAAGTGCAAACAAAACAAGATCCAAGCAAGAAAAGCAGTGAGGCGATGACGATAAGGTAAAGATGAAGATGCACATCATCCAAGACCCCCTTTTTTTTTTTTCGCAGTTTCGACACGAGGCTTGAATTCGCCACTAGTAGGAGTCTACAACCAAGAAACGGGGACCGAATCTCGTGATATATACAGGTCATTTATGATGATCTTTTCGTGTTGTTGGTAGGGTATGATGCCATCTGTCCCTGTTCTATTAAAGTTCAACGAGACGGGGATTGAGCCGAAGCGAAGACAACGCTAGACTACCACGGTACACTGCCACGGTATGATACGGTGCTTCTCGTCATTGTACATATAAACTTAAAGTGAAAACCGGGATACGTACGACCCTTAAAGATCGTCAGTCATTACGACCTAAATAACCGTGTTCAAAAAACTTCCCTTTGCACGCATCAACTCGCATCCCATCAATCACTCCGCTGGCTGGCAGGCGGCGGTACAGCGGTATGTACAGCGGTGCGACGGTGCGGCGGTGCCTGAAATGCCAAGCATCCATAAGACAAGTCGAACCCGCTGACCATTTGCTTTGCGACTATTCGACTGGTGCACGTAGTGTAGAGGTAAAATGCATGGAGGGTCGTGATGCTACATCGCCAAGTCGCAACGTCAATAGGAGTGAACTCACTGTATGGTACTTTTTCGACGCCGCAATTGACCCCAAGAGGTTGGTAAGTGGCAGAGTAGGAGCCCTCACAGGGCAGGTGGGGGCTACTTATGCATGCGGAGCGATGCAGAGCGTAAGCGCGGCGTTGTAGTGGGAGGTACATGTAAAGTGAGGGTTGGGTTGGGGTTGGAGGTGAAGATGGGAATGGTATCATTTTTGGATGTGCACGTGAAAAACTGTTGTACGAACTTGGATTGCTAAAGGGAGAGAGAAATTGGATTATAGATGATCAGAAAATCACAGCGTTGGTGCAAAAAAAAATGGAAACAAATTGGTGTATATGAGCAAAGGTCATGTATGTTAACTATCGTAAGGTATCGCTGACAAAAGAAAAAAATTCCAAGTAAAGTATGATCGTTGTAAGAAAAAACCAAGACTGAATCGCGGTGTAAAGCCCACAATGTGAAATCTTCCGAATGATACACTGGCACGACCTTTCGATCGCGCCGTCGAAGATTATGTTTTGTCGATTTCCATATTTCCGTTCATCGTGGATGCTCTTCCCTAGCTTCTACCAAGCTCCTCCATGACCACTCAATGATAATAGCTGTAGCGGTCCCCTTCCCACACCTTGGGACCCCTCTCCCTTCCGTGCCGTGCAGTGCTTCCACCATTATCCCTCTCAAACCTGCTCCTCAACCGATCGTAATCGATGCCTTCCACTGCAGTCCCGGTGAGAGACGAAGAGACGTTGCTCTCCCTCTCCCTGTCCCGAGTGGGGGATCCCCTGAGCCCCAAGCTCTCTACTGACCTCCTCAACTCCTCGACAGTCATGTCCACCTCTGCTCCCTTTCCCTTGTTGTTGCGTTCCTTGCTACGGTCCTTGCTCTCCTCGCGGGCACCAGCAGGCTTCTTGAGAATGCCCTTGAGCTCAGGCTGGTTGGTGCCCTGCTCTGTGGTCGGCTTGTTGGAGCGGCTGGCGATCTCGGCGTTCTGCTGCTTGATCTTGGACTCGACTTCATCAGCAAAGCGGACGCCGACGGACGAGGCGCGAGACCGAGATCCGCCCGAAACGGTTCTTGGGCGAGGTGTACGGCCGGCATCATCGTTACGAGAAGATACGCTGTTCCTCCGGCGGAGTGACTCCATGCCGCTGGGGCCGTTGGGGCTGGATCCGTAGCGGCCGGGGTTGTGGCTGGAGAGGGGAGGGCGAGAGGAGGTAGGGATGCCGGTAGTGGCCGTGGTGGAAACGGCATCAGACGGCTTGTGAGCACGACGACGTCGACGGTCCTCGTCAGTGGGGTTGCTCACAATAACATCGTAGCCGCGGTCGCTCTTGGAGTGCTCACGGTAGGGAATACTAGGGCTGCGCTTAGGGCTGGGTTCGCGATCGTGGGGGGAGCGCCGACGAGTCTTGTCCTCATGAGGGACGCCGAGGGTCTGCGTGAGCACGACGGAGGGACGCGTGTAAACATCCGACTTGTGCTTGCTGTCAGTTGGGCTGCTGCTATACTTGTAATTCGGGTAGTCGTCGTTGTGTTTGGTGGAGCGCGCAGGGTCGGTGACTCGAGTTCCATGGAGGTAACCAGAGTCCCGCTTGCCTATGGGCGAAGGCTCCTTGGATTCGCGAGGTGTGGGCGGCAGATGCGAAGGCAGGTATCCGCCGTACCTGGGCTCGCTTCTGCTTGACGGATAGTGCTTCCTGATCTCAGGAACAGCGCACAATCCGTCGGGCCTGCAGGCAAAAACAGTCTCGTTGACAACCCGAGCGGAGGCGTCGTAGGTGATATCCTTGACGCACATCTTGTCGTTGTTTTTGGTACCAGATAAGAAGGTTTCTGAAAATGCTGGAGATGTAGGAGACGGAGGAGCAAGGTGTCCCCGGTGGGAATGTGAGTGCGAGTGTCGACGATGAGGCTCAAACTCGGTGCCAAAGGCTGGTGATGGAAGAGGTGTTGGCAATGATGTAGTGTGTTTGTGATGATGTGAGGGGTCGTAAACTATGTTCTCGATTCGTACGTCCGGATACCGATCCATAAAGTCGATGTCAGTCGGCCGTGTCCGAGTTAAAGTTGTCCTTTGGGTACTGATATCTCAAAGACATGGGAACATGCAACGACGGTCGTGGTTGGGTTTGTGGGTGACAACTTGTCGATGAGACGGAGTCTGATGCGGCGAGGTCACTGGAGTGTTGATGTTGTTGTTGTGTTGAGTTGTTGTGTGGATCACCGGGCCTTGGCCTGATATGTAAATCTGTTTGGAGATGTTGGTAACAGATTGTGACTGACTTGTCGATGAAGATGATGGTGAGGAGGTGAGGATCAAGGTCGGGCCAAGTGGCGGGCGGCCTGCAACTTATATGGACTTTGGTGTGTAGTAAAGGTGAGCCGGAGTCTCGAGAGGTGTCATCAGCTTCTACTTGGTGTAGGTGTGTAGGTGGGCAGCCTGGGCGTGTGCCAGACCACGCAAAGTCTCACACTGTCCGCAGGGGCAGTTCATGACCCACGTACGAACTAGCGGGTGTAGCGAAGAGATGCCTCATAGGTTCACCTCGATCCACACCCCTCCCCAGGCAGTAACTGATCATGCTTCAATGAGAATCCGGCGAACTCGACTGCCTCCAGGCCGCCGGTCGGCAAAAGAGTCACTTCTCTGCGAAGTGGAGGTGGAAGGGGAGGGTTGGGGGGGTGTGTGTAGTACGAGCTGCATCACCCCCTGTCCAATCATCAACAGCACAGCCCGAGCCCAGAAGGGCTGAGCTACCCACATCGTGGTAACTCTTGTAACCAGCCGTTCTAGTACGATGCACCTTTTCTCTTCCCCATTTTTTTTGCTGGGATTATTCCGGGGTTCTCCGCGCCGGTGGAAATCCCAGAATATGGAAGAAATGTTGGATCGAAGATAAACGATGACCGCATCAGGAAAAGGGTGGACACGGGAATAGTTACACCACACTGGCGATGTTGAAAGGGCAGGGATGACGAGCCAAGAGGGAGCCCAGACTAGGACGTCCTAAAGCCCTGTGATTTCCTGTCATCTTGTACTTTTTCCAGGCTTCACTCCCCACCATCACGACCCCTGGTTGCCCACCCCTCAACACCACCCTCGCTCCTCCCCGCAACCGTCCTGCCATCATTGTGGTGAAGGAGATGTTTGTCAATATTGGCGACTGATGAAACCAGGATTCCCTTCAGAGGCAACCCATTGGCTGTGCGAAGGATTCATCAAGCTTAAGCCGGAAGGAGGTGGTAAGAAGGACAGAAGTTCACCACCGGAATGGCTGTCGCCAGGGAGACATGCTGCGCCAACATCGAGTTCGTTGATACTTCACACTCTGGATGCAAAAGCCGGAAAAGCAGTACAGTGCAGACCTACTAAGTACGGAGTTCATCACCGGGTAGGACCTTCTTCCAGATTTCGGAGATCTTCTGACGACAGCACTTTTAGACCATGGTTCTCCGTTCGGTGTCCTGACTCACTGGAGTCCACCGTTCGTGTCCCGAGTCCTTCACATTGCCCTATACGTACCGCATGTGTCGGACTCTTCTCAAGGGTGTGACAGGGCAGACAGGGGTGAGGACGACCCTGTCGCATCAAGCGCCACAGGTATTCGGCAGCCTGGATGAGCGGCCAGTCATCTCAACAAACCGCATTACGGTACCCCGCAACCACCGGCATGTCACCGCCATCTGCAAGTGATTAGCGTGAGTGAAAGCAGAGCCCGATTCGAGGACAGTGCTGGAGCAGACAATTGATGAGTGCAATAGGTGCGATTTGATCTCAGTGCAAAAGCAGGTACACACAGGGCAAACGTGCAGCAAACCATTGCTGGCGCCGCGGGGGCATTGCATCGTTGGACGAGGACCCGGCCTCCTTGCTTGCAAAGTGGAAGGTCTGGGGCTATGCTCTGCTAGATTGGTTCCAGCCCTAAAAGTGGGAGGAGGACTTGGCTGGGGCTACCGTGGAGGACCTCAGGACACAGTGAGGGTCTGAGGGCGCTGAGCTTTTCCCCTTTGGGACAGGTTTCGCACCCTTTACCAATCTAGAATGTTGATCATCGAGTCACTTGACGAGGAATGACTGGGTGATGTAATGAGGGTATCCGGTATCTGTCTGTCTTGATGCTGTTCAGCACTGATTACACCTCAGCCTCTATTCCAGGATGTTAGTTCCACGACAGTGACAAAAGGGCGTCTGCCAAACCGGCGTCTGCCAAGGCAATTTTGTGCCAGTCGCTTGATGGACCAAGCGCTGTGGCAGACGGTGGGAGAAGGAAGAGTGCTCCGGGAAAGCCGTATGTAGGAGTTTGGCAACGGTGCCGTTCGCGTTTCAGAACCAGCAAAATGGATACCAATCGAAGCGCTCAATGACCCGAAAGCATGTTCCTTTCTGGAAAGCAAAAGAAATTGCCAGTGCCATCTTTGACAGCTCCATCTTGGCAGTTTCTGGCCACTTTTGCTGGTACTTTGGGCTGGTGCATGGGCTTGTCGTACAAGACGATAATGATGACACAAACACGCCAGCAAGGCTGACTTTGGCTCCCAGATGAGCGTATTAATCGGCTGTTCCAAGTGTGTCGCTGGGCTAGGCATGGAATGATGCGGGCGACGACACAATCGCCCAGCCTTGTCCAGGAAGGTCCTTGATGTGAGTTCCTAAGCCGCATGACCAAGTTCCAGGCAGCATTACGGCGGAGAGGGGAGGTGTGATGACACGCGTGTTTGTCAGTGTCAGGTTTTGATCGAAGTGAAGAAGATGCTGTAGTGGATTGTGTGTGAGCTTCGTATGCCACGGCTGAAGGGAGCAAGGGCCAGCCCCCTGCATGTCTCTCCACTGCCCATCGGCCTCTGCTCAAAGAAGAGGTGTACGGAACGGCAGGTGTCAATGAGATGGGACTGGCCGCTCATGTTGGTCATTCCAGAAGCATCGTGTTCCTTCGGACCTCCTCGTGGACTCCCTCTTGGATGCCATGACAGAGACCAAATGTACACCCTTTGGGTTAGGTGGATGAGCTGACGAACTAGAAAGAGGCAGGCGGCTATGCCCACCAGTCAAAATCCGGCTAGCAATTTGGAATATGAAGGATGGACGTTGAAACACCCAAGCCTGCAGCAACGCAGGTCCGTAGCCGCCAACTCGAAAGATGGTCTCGTCTCGACTGGTGTCCTAAGTCTGGCTGCCATGCAAGACGGTTGAGCTTCTTCCGGACGTGTATGCAGAACGCCGTCGCCGTCGAGGTCGTACCCCAATGGTGGACGGGGATATCGCCGAATGCCTCCGAAATGACAGAATGCGAGTCGACGACGTTGAAAGGGTTGAGAGAGGCAGCCGAGACATGGGACCTTTTCGAGTAGCGCGTCTAATGCGCTTACTCGCTTGGTCCGAGCATGGCCACCACCGGGGTTAGCCGCCAACAGTGGATGGTCGCAGTAGTGCCTAGTCGTCGCAATGGGGAACGCCGCGGTGTGTCTTTATTGCCCGCCATATTCGTCTGGGTGTGAATGTGGGTGGCAGCCAACAGATTATGAACAGTTAATGTGTGTAGCAACAGGCTGCGGTACTGCGCCGCGGTCTGGACTGTTCTGATTCTGCGTGTGTGTGAATTGAGTTAGCCCATGGCAGATTTCAGTATTCCACCTCGGTTGGCGTCGCAAGCTGAAAACGGCTGCATTATTGTTGTGGTTGTCAATGCAGTGAGTAAGCTTGCGGATGTTGGAGCAAGGAACAGAAAGCGGGCAGGTAATTACTACCTACACTTGCCTCTAGCAGATGGCTGTTGACTCGGAACTGAATGTCGAATGTGTCTGGATGAGAGTGCCGGAATCGCGTGTTTGTTTGTTCAGTTGGCGGAAGGAGAGTTCGGACCGCTGCCGAGCATGGGAAAATTCCCGTCTGCCAATGTGCGTCGGTCGGAGCGGAAGAATATCACACCACGAACAAAGTCCTTCAAACCGGGCAGATGGGAAGTCGTCACGATTCCCAATGGTTGCTGGTTAAGTTGTCAGTCACGCCGTTACGAAGAGTGAGATGCCCGTCGCAACGCTCTTTCCCTGATGACGATCTATCTGGTGAATGGGTGGGGTCCAGTGTTGCCGAAGTCTTTGGGTATCTTACAAAACTTAACACAATACCAGCTTATCTGTGGCCCAAAAATACTGTGTGGTCCAAGCGCTTCGGTAACACAGTTGTATTGAAAAGCGGAGTTCCGCTTATCGTCACTCATCCTTATCGGCAGGCACCAGCACCGAGCAACCCCCTCACTTTCTCAATTCCACCACCACAAATTTCAGTTTCGTCGCGACAAATGGAGAGAACAACGCAAAATCAATTAGACGTTCGAATTGAGAACGCAACGAATCAATCGTCGCTAATCATCAGCAGAATAATCCTATCCAGCCCTTTCTTTTCTTCACGAAACCTGACTTGACATCATAAAAGCCGTCCAGTACCCTTGTCCCGTCCAATTGTTGTATCCCATGTCGCCATTCAATTTGACCAAAAGTGAGGCCGATGAAGCCGCTCAACCAGACGCCAGAAACACCCAAACTCAAAATTACCCGGTATATATTTCCGTTCCGCGCTCCGTCTATCATCCATCATCCATTACTCGTCCCTGATTATTATCATCAATTCGGCAAATTCACTTGCCGATGCCGCGGACCTTGAACCCGAGCGATTGGAGCTCAATGGGATCGACGACGTTGCGCCCGTCAAACACCCATCGGGGCTCCTGCATCAGCGACGCTGCCTCAGCCCAGTTGACTGGTTCCTGACTGATCTCCTCCAGCATGGATGCCGCCAAACCAAAGATCTCGAATCCTTCAGCAGTAGCCTCGGGCTTGAGTCTGTGGAGAGGGTCCTCGTCGGTAATGTTGAGGTCGCGCGCAACCATGGCCTCCAGCTCCAAGATGGCCATCTCGGTGAGCTTGCCGTTAACAAAGGTCTTGGTGAGTGGCTGAGACGGTGTCTTGACGGGTTTCTTTGTCGAGCGACCGAGCTGGGCGCCGCGGAACTGCTTCCACTGGGTCAGGATGCACACAGCGCTCGCTTGCTTGACAGATTCGCGCCAGTTGCTGCAAATCTTGACACGCTCCAGTTGCGCCTTGGTCAAGCCGATCTTCTCAATCTCCTCCATGATCTCGGTTGCGGCGCACCCAGGGTCGAAGATGCCAATCTC